ATCGTCGCCGGAGCCCCGGCCTTCTCCTTCAACAACCTCACCTCCTGGAGTTGCCACTTCCTTCCCCTCACCGGCCAGCAGGGCGCCGACACCTTTATCCCCATGACCATGTGGCCGACCATCCACGACGATATCCTGGCCCAGTGCGACGAGCTGGACGGCGTCAAGGACGGCTTCCTCGAGTCCCCCGACCTCTGCGACTACAAGCCCGAAAGCCTCCTCTGCGGCGTCAACAACAACCAGACAGACGCCTGCCTCACCCAGAGACAGGTTGAGACCCTCCGCGGTATCTACGCGCCCCTCATCGACGCCTCCGGCGACCTTGTCTACCCGCGTATGCAGCCCGGTGCCGAGCTCAGCGGCGCACCGCAGACTTACTTCAACGGGCAGCCCTTTGGCGCCTCTGACTGGTTCAAGTACGCGATCCTGAACGATTCGACCTGGGACCCGGCTACTATCACCCCCGAGGACTACGTGCGCTCATCGAGCCTGAACCTCTTCAACGTCGAGACCTGGGACGGCGACCTGTCCCCCTTCCAGAACCGCGGTGGAAAGCTCCTGCACTACCACGGCCTCATCGATGGCACCATTTCCAGCGACAACTCGCCCAGGTACTACGAGCACGTGTCTCAGACGATGGGTTTGGCTCCAGCCGAGCTGGATGAGTTTTACCGTCTGTTCCGTATTTCCGGCCTCGCACACTGCAGCGGCGGAACCGGAGCTGCGTTCATCGGTAACCAGGCCAGGAACATGGCGAGCCTTGACCCAGAGGAGAACGTCCTCATGGCTATGGTTCGCTGGGTAGAGGAAGGTATTGCTCCTGAGACTGTTACCGGTACCGCTTTCGTGAACAACACGGTGAGTGCTGGCGTCGACTACAAGCGTCGCCACTGCCGCTGGCCGACGCGTAACGTCTTCAAGGGAACTGGGGACTACAAGGATGAGAACAACTGGGAATGTGTGCCGATCTAAACAAAAGGTCTTCGTGATGACAGGAACTGGTCCAGCAACTTAGAAGTCAGCTTGTCGATACATGTATTTATCAGATGACGGTTCGGTCTGTTTGTGCGGACAGTCAAGATACCAGCTACTTGCATGATGTTCTTCTAACTCGCTCAAGCCTTTCTGTCGTGGAAAGAGGCCCCAATGACTTCGGCTAGCAAATAACGTGGTGATATCGTGTGACAATTTGGCAGGAAGCGAATTCCTTCAGAAGACTTCGAACCCGACAAGATCTGACAGAAAGAAGGCTAGTCATGAATATTCATAATTTTTAGTGCTATTTGTGTGATCATTTCCGACGTTAATCCAAACGGTCCTTGCTTCTAGACCTTTGGCCAGCCTCCTGGGACGGAGCTGAAGACTGGGAGCCTACTTCGACAACGCTCATATCCGACCGGACGTTGAAGGTTCGCCCTCTCCAGTTCACCGTAGAGCCGCAGAAAACAGCCCAGACCCAAATGGGAAGGGCCAGAAACTCTCTTCCGAGCCACGCGGGCAGCCATTCCAAGAAGGACCTCGGAGGTGCTCCACCAGGTGTCGCAGTGCCCCTGGCAAACTTTGGCGTGTTCTTGTCCACCTCAACAGTATACCCAGCATGAAGGCGGTTGTATGTGAACCAATCGCACGCCATCCAGATAGTTGTAAAAACTGTCCAGTAGAGGACAAAGGCGCCCCAAGTCTGCGATGTTCCAAAGGTGTTGTGGAACCAGGGGAGAGTGGTAACAGCGAATGCAAAGTAGCCACAACAGGTCAAACTCTCAACACCAGGCTCGACCAAAGTGGCGGCGAGAACAGTCCACTTTCGCGCACGAAGCCATCGGGCGCGACGGGCAAAGTATGCGTGTACGGACATGCCGGCCATTGGTTGAACGGCAAGGTCGCCCATGACGAGTCCGTGGTTCTTCATGCCCGGCAGACTTGACTTCCACAATAGATCGCCAATCAGATGATCCTCGCAGATGTACTCGGAGAAGTAGTTGATGCCCTTAGGTAAGTTCTTGTTGGGTAATATCGGGTTTTGGGCTGGGTCCGTTACGGTGTCCAGATGCGATTTGCGAAACATGTTGCTCTTGCCCACGGCGCAAGGGGCGACGCCAACGGTGTTGATCGCGCTGTAAAACTTGGCGTGACTTGTGGCCATGAACATCTCGTCGAGTCGGCCTCCGCCTTGGCTTTTCGCATACTCGAGGAACGAAACGCTTTGGCCTTTGCCGATGATGTTTTGCGAGGAGCTAGAGTCGGATGTCGAAGATAGGAGCGTCTGCGTCTCTGCTGAAATGTCTCCTCGAGACACAGTATCGACGACGATGGGCAGAAGGTGCACAAACTTGTACGGCGTGACTTTTATACCACCCGGCCCGTATCCCAACAGCTTGTCAACCATCCGACCAGCGACGCCCTTGGCAACCCAGATATTGCAGTCCATGACCCAGATGATGTCTCCTTTGGCTTCTTGATATGCGCGACTGATGTTTCTGATCTTTGGGTTGGGGCCCAGGTTGTCGATGTGGCCATCGGTGCCATGCAGTAGCGGATCTTCCTCCTCAACCAAGACTCGAGCATCGAAACCAGGGAAATCCTGTACCAGCTTCACTAAGACGGGGTATGCCGGATCGCTCTTTTCGGCCACGCAGAGGTGGATCGTCAGCTTGTCGCGCGGGTAGTCTTGTCTAAACGAGGACGCTATGCAATCGTAGAGACCATGCTCGAGACCCTTGACAGGGCGGATGATGGTGATGTGCGGTACATCTTCTTGGCGAAGAGAGGGGGAGACGGCGGGTCGCAGACGAGACGAGTACGAGAGGAAGCTGAAGAAGGTCAGTTGGAGGCCCGCATCACCTAGAACTATACTCACATTCTGACGATACCAATGGATTGCACTGCGTAGACAAATGTGCTCCATCCAGCGCAAACAATCGCAATAGCTTGCGCCACGGTTGACCAGTCTGCCATTATGGGATCGAGGCCGTTTTGCGCTGCGCGATGCGCGGAAAGGGGGGTTTGGGATTAAGGATAGCTGGTGCACCCAAATACCATGAGGGGGAGGAAACCGCGGCGGCAGAAGGAAAAGGGAAATTCGTCACGAAATTGCCGGCAACATGGCAAATGTCAGACTCCCCAGAAGCGAGGAGATTGAAAATTGGCCGTAAGCTTAGCGGAGACGGGGCCGATAACCTTACAAAAGTCGGGAGGACCGGCTGGGAGTCGCGTGGCATGGGATTTCGACGCGACCCACCAAGCTCGGAGCTTGAAATTCTGAGCACCAGCCACATGTGGTACCTTGTGGCGGTGACTGTGGCGGGAGCTTCGATGAAGCCTGAGGCTCGGGCCTGATCTGATTAGGTAAGGTATGAAGTACGAATACTCCCATCGCGGCACCTGTGGACTGTCCCCACCCGAGTTATTCCGGCCGGAGGTGAGAGCCGGGCCTGGGCACGGACCAGTGGGTGCAAGCGAACCTTGAAAGAGTCAGACGGCGGGGACTCTGACGGAAGCGAGCGATGGATACGGCGGAGACCTTTTTCTACGCTGAAATTTTCTGCGAGCAATACCGATTTCTCCTTCACCATCCACACACGTCTGCCGAACAGGATCGAGCTGCCTCGAAAAAGTGAGGTGATTTCCGGCTTGCATGGCCCAATTGACGGGTGATCTGTCGGCTAGACGGGTGGGAGATTCCTCAATCAAGTAAGTTGCTACAACGTTCTCTCAACTTCTTCTTCCCTTGGTCCATGAGGTGGTTGCCGCGGTTGGCCCAGCCCTGCTTAATCGTTGCGATGACTCTATCGCGTGATTAAAAAAGGTTGCCTTGGCTGCCCTTCCACCTGAATGTTTGCTATGATGACACCTATTACCCATTGTGCGAAGAGTGCGTCTTCATTGAACCTCTGTGCCGCGAAACAATATAGACTACAACGGTATCTGATGCAAACTTTGGACATGATTCTTTCTGTTATCCAATTACTGAGCCATGGACTATAAGCTAATTAGTGCCCAAAAGACAGACATGATTTGCTAGTACACAATGTCGCAAACTAAAATCACGGCTTCACAGCCGGCGCAGGCTACGATGCCTGCTCAGAGCTCCTCGAAGTCTCCGACGACGTCGCGGCCGCGAGGCCCCCCGTTGCACAAGATTTACGAGCTGCCTGCTCCCATACGGACATTTCCGCTTCCTAGCTTTTATCCGAATAATCCAATTTCTCTATTCCATGTCCTTTTCGCATGGACAAAACAAGCCTTGTTCCCACCGCCTGCTGAACCGTTCATTGTGCACGAGGGTCTCTGGTCCCCAGAATCCAAATCTGTCAACATCATAGACGAAAAGTCCATGCGCGCGCTGTGGGAACAAGGGTTCTACGGCAAGGGCAACTTGAGTCGAAGTGAGCCCAACTGGTTGAAGCGCGAGCATGTCAGGCGAGGACTGGTGCCGGGCCAGGTCAGCGAGCTGGTAACGGCCAACAGACGTGAAGAGCGAAGGCAGATGAAGTGGGAGAGAGCCAAGACAGAGCAAGAAGCCATCAGACAACTGCGAATCCAGGAAGCCCAGTTGGCGACTCAGGCGTCAGAAGATGGCGTAGTCAACTCTGCTGCCCTGGTCGCAGAGGCTGGCGCCATCCTTGATGCAACGAACAATGATGATCCTGAGCGAGAAGCCTCGACAGACGCGGATATCCTGCCTGAGCCACTTGTTTCCCTTGAATCAGCGCTTGCCGCCAAGTCCAGCCACCAAAAACACGGTGTCGATACGATTACAGTGGCGCCCGTCGCCGAGCCTGAGGCTATCGGCCAAATCTCTACCGAACCCTCGACCTTCCAAGAGACACCTACTATTATCGAGCCGGCTAAGTTTGTCAAGCCCAGTGACTTCCTTCATTCGATCCAGGATCCGGAGGCTGTCATCGAATCCGGAAACGCTTTGTCAGTGGATCAAACGCCTTCGTCGCCTCCTCTTGTCGCACCCGTGGGCCCATTGCAACTGCTGTGCCTTCCCAACTCGCATGTTCTGTCTGCGACAGCAAACTCAACTGAGATTGAGAAGTTGAATGGTGGTGCTCAGCAAGTCAATGGCCTCCACGAGCCTACGGCATCACAGGAAGTTGGCTTTGGTTCCTTCGAGCTGCAAGCCAAGGAACCACTCGTCAACGGCATCTCAACTGTATCAGCGATTGCGTCGCCGGTTGGACCCCTGGAGCTTCTATCTCTTCCCAACGCCGAGCCTATCGCCAATGGGACGATGAACGGCGACCATGTCGCGGTGATGAATATCATCGAGAGCCCCCTGGCCGACACTACCCCCTCCGAAACACCAAAGCTTTCGACGATTCACGAAGACGTGGGCTTGAACGGTCACCTGATAAACGACTTGATAACGAATACCAATGGTGACAAGATGCTTCATCAAAACGGGTTGAACGGGGTGGCAAAATCCGCTGTCAGCTCTACCGAGATCCCATCAACACCAAAGTCGGCTAAACGCCGCAAGAGCGTTCGCTTCTCGCCCAAGGTCGAGTCAGCCACATATCAGCTGTCCGACCCGCCTAGCCCCAGCCTCGCTCTCTTCAACGGCAACAATGGAAAGGCGACACCGCTTGTCAATGGCACGCCATTGGGCCTTAGCGTCTTGGAGACAGATGTGGAAGAGGCGACTGAATCTGACGATGTTAAGAAGCTCGAGAAGCTACCCGAAATTCCTGCGGAGCCAGTCGAGGTCGTGAACAAGGAACACCTCCAGCTCACATCCGAGGAAGCGTTCTTCCTGGCTTTCGGCATGGGCGCTCTTCGAGTTATCGACCCTGCCACCAAGACTCCGATCCCTACTCTCGAGCTGTTCGACCTCTTCAGACAGTACTCTTACTTCCCCCGTCGCCCCACCGAAGAGCTCCAGCCGGACGATGGATTCTTGGTGAATTATGCCGTGTATCATCACTTCCGGTCCTTGGGATGGGTTCCCAGAGCAGGTATCAAGTTTGGCGTCGACTGGATGATGTACGCCAAAGGACCAGTGTTCGATCACGCAGAATTCGGCGCCATCCTCCTGCCATCCTATTCCCACCAATGGTGGAAGGATAGTGACCGCAAGATCCCGCGTAAGACCTGGCACTGGCTTCACGGGATCGTCCGTGTCCTCTCCCACGTCCAAAAGAGCTTGGTTCTGGTCTACGTCGACATTCCGCCGCCTCCCCAATTAGACGAGACGATGAAGAAGGGGCCGGCTGAGGTCTTTAAGTTGTACAAGATTCGCGAAGTTATGGTTAAGCGTTGGTCAAGCAACCGCAACAGATGAATTCCCGCATTTCATATTCACGATCTGGGCGGATGTTGGAAAAGGGCATAAAAAAGTTTGGAGGCGAATGATACAAGCCTGGTCTTGGGCATGGGTTGGCAGTGCTTACCATGCATGGGGATCCATGGTGTATACGAGTATTGGGGAGTGTCTATGCTGGCATAAGCATTGGACACATTGTATGAATAAAACGGAAGACTCGGACTACGGCATATTCGGCGACAGCATGCCATGCCTTTCTTGCTACAGTAGAATACCCCACCATGAATATAAGATGATGATGAGGCAATCTATCCTGTCAATTCACAATCGTCTCGGATCACTGGCGTGCAGGCTTACCTGGTGTTTGCAGTTTTCATCTTTTCCCCACGAGTCACGTCTTCGGCCTCCCGCGGATTAAACGGGGTGCTTTCGCCGCTCCCCGGCCCCGGAGTCAATGTCTGTTCTCGGGCTGTCCAAGACTTGACCAAGCATACCCAAGCCAATTCTTTCTTCCCCCTTCATCACAGAGCCCCCCTTCATCACAGAGCCCCCTTCACAAGTTGATACCACACCATGACCACTCAAGCTTTGCACAATGGCACCAAGCGGCCAAGACTCGGGTCCTCGTATCCTATTCGGACGAACTGCGACGGTCAATTTTATTCCAGGGACCGAGCCAACCCCACACCGCGCATATGGATTGGGAATAGTGGTGTTTTCCCCGACCTCGCCCCGAACACCCCGCGATCTATCTGAATCCTTCTAGAGATCTAACTGGGCTAGGTGCCGTCCGCTCGCCCGGCGTGCAGGAGGGTAGGTGAGGCCAATGCCGGCGACAGAAAATGGAGGGTGTGGTGTCTATACCTGCAGCGGATGACGTGAGTAGCATCTCTGCTCAATTCAATTTTCTGCCAATCCCAACCCTAGCACAACAGAAAGAAATATGAGACGACGGGAACGCTAGAAGGCCTGGGAGCTTTAGTCTGCTCAAAGAGCTCATTTGTCTCGGAGAATCGTTGCATTCCTCCACCAGTTCCGAACGTGGCTAAGCTTTTGGGGGAGTCGGGGGGCCAGGGGGGAAAGACAAGAGGGGTAATCTACTAAACTTTGTCTTCATCCCATTGACGGAAGAAAATTCCCAAGCTACGGCTACTACACCATCGCGAGTGGGGGACAGCCAAGTATCCCAGCATCATCCCAGACCTGCCAGGGGTGTGGAGTAGGGTAGGTACAGGTCGTTTCCTTTGCCTTTCGCCAGATTCTACGGTGTAATACCCTAAGCTTTTGTTGCTCGATCTAATTTTCCCTGCAGGACTTTGGACATTCGGGCTCGGTTTGTCTAGCGAAAGGGGAGAGAAGCTGGGTCCTTGGCCCTGGGAGGTGCGGCTGTCTACTTGGGTTGCATCAAGGGTTCGAGAGCTTCTCCTTGGCTGCACCGGCGGTCGACCGGGGACGGCGTGGCAAGGTTTAGGTGGTAAACGAAGCTGTCGGTATACTCGTAAAGGGTAAAGGGGGACCCGAGATGGTTCTCGTATATGAAGAGGATGGGCGTCCGGTGCGACGAAGGACATATGTCTCTAGTGTTGCTCCTGCTTCTTCAGCTTCGTCCTCAGCTTCACAGTCATTACCACGCAGAACCCAGCAACTAGCAGCAGCACCTCCTGAAGAAGAGTCGGATCAGACGATCACCACAGAAGACTCCACGATGAAGCCTCAAGCCATCCTCTCCGCCGCGGCCTTCCTCCCGGCCTTCGCATCGGCTGCTCCGTCAGCGGACAAAAGAGCCGCAAAGCCTCCCGCGTTCTTCCTCGCCGGTGATTCGACGACCGCGGTGCAGTCCACCGGTGGTGGCGGTTGGGGCAACGGCTTCCTCAGCTTCCTGAAGAAGCCTGCGTTCGGCACTAACTACGGCCGCAACGGACGTACTACGGTCGACTATGTCAGCCAGGGACACTGGGCCACCGTCAAGGATGCAGTCAAGTCCAACACGGCCAACTTTGATGTCTACGTGACGATTCAGGTGAGTCCAATACATACCCTCCGATCCTCAACATCATGCCACCTCAAACCTGCTAACACGCTATCAAATAGTTCGGCCACAACGACCAAAAGCCCGAGAAGAACATCTCCCTCGACCAGTACCAAACAAACCTCGGCAACCTCGCCAAGGAAATCAAGGCCCTCGGCGCAACCCCCATCCTCGTCACCCCTCTCACGCGCCGCAGCTTCAACTCGGCGGGCGTGGTGACCAACAATCTCTCCAACGAGCGCGAGCGCACCATCGCCGCGGCGACGGAGACCAAGACCACCTACATTGACCTCAACCTCAACAGCCGCAAGTACGTGCAGGCGATTGGCGAGACAAAGGCCCACTCGTACAACCTCGTCGAGAGCGACAACACGCACCTCAACGCCGAGGGCAGCGTCGTGTTTGGCAGGCTGGTGGCGGACCTGGTGCTGCAGAAGAACAAGGGGCTCGAGCAGTGGTTTACGCCCAACAAGACGTTGAGCGATGAGATTTGGAAGGCGATTAACAGCTCCACTGTTTAAGGAGTTTCTCTGTGTAAAGCCTGTCCTATCGTATTTTATTTTTCGTGTTTAGCTGGATGTTGATAGTATTTATTCAAATTGCTTCATAATTTTGCCTTGTTGATGCTTGCTGTGATGCAAACTTTGCTAAAATTGCGAGACTTTGCCATGGGCAGAATGTCACGCATACTTTGATCAATGTCTGCGAACCCTCACTCTTGTCACTTTTTTTTTCCCTCCAAGTCTATAAAGTAAGTCATAAGAATCCAGTGCAGGGGTCGAATGTGATAGTCCGTGAGTCAAGCGAGTTCCCTCGTATGACTTCATACTAAGTGTGAGCAGAACGAAGCAAAGAATTTTCTGCTGGAACTTATGTAAGTTCAGAAAGTGTTCCAAAATAATATAAAATCACGAGGATAACTCTGACGAGTGACGAAGGCTATTTCTGGATATCAGGAAAAGCTTGGTTCAACACTATCGAATTTTAGTTCGCAAGTTTAGTCGGGGAATCTTCACCAGCCTCGAGCTTCAGATTCTCCATATATCCCGCCGGCTCGGCTACGAGAAAGTCGGTTCTTCTGCTACGCGTGTTTCTTACAAACCAAAAGCATCAGCAGTTTTGTAGTACATCAATAATGCGCGGAGAAAGGGATCTTTCCAACAGCAAAATACCTACCACTCATGGAATATGTGCGGCATTGATGACTATGCCAATAGGAAGCACAAGCAACTTGTCTTCATCCTCGCTACTTGCATTATTACGAGTCGCCGTGACTTTCTCTCAGGTTACGCTTTAGGTAGAAAGTCCACTGGCTTACGGAGGAAGAGATGATGATGCATCATGCAAAAAATCCAAGGCCACGGTTTTGCATTTGAAGATTCATGTGAAGGGGTTAAGATACGCCGCTCGATATCCTAAGTGTTGCTGGCGCAAGTCATGATCACGAGGGGTGGCTTTGCGTGGGCCAATGCATCGCGCACGGCATGTGATATCGGGCCATCTAGACATACTAAAGCCTGGGGAAGGTGTGTGGAACAAAGAATTGAATTGTCCTTGAGCTCAGGCACGCTAGAAAGTATGGCGATGAGAGTGTCTTCAACGCTGAAAAATCAATCTTGCCCATCTAGAATATGGGCATTATAGCTTCGGATCAATATTAGGTTGCAACAGTGACACAATTTCAAAGTTGAAGGTTGAGATGGAAAAGATTAGATAAGATGGAAGACTGATGGAAGCTTGCTTTCGCAGAACGCACAAAATGCATGTGAAGAAGGTGCCCCTCAGTGAAGTTACAGTGCGGCACACAGTAACACAGCTCCCCCGCCTTCCCCAGAAAAAGATGCCATCCGACCGAGGTTCGTCCCCTCGTTTCGGGCCCTTCCTGTCCTGTTGCTGCCGCTGCTCCCCTAAACTTTGAGGTGGGAGCTTCCGTCCCGCCGTCAACGGAGAGTCGAGACCGGAGCTTGCCTTAGGGCAGTGACGAAGTGGGATTGGACCGACCAACCTCCCCTCTTTAATCGAATCATTGTCCGCTCATCCTGTCTTTCCCATCCGCTCGTAAGGTTGTACTTACTTAGTCTCTTACCTTACAGAGCCCCTCCCTCGGCTCTTGCGATACAACCAAGGTCGCGACGTCCCACCGAGCTGACCAACTCCAGCCACGCACCTCTTCCTGTTCTCCTCGTCGCGCAGCTTCCCAGTAGCTGCCACAGCCTCCGTGTTCTGTATCTCTTGGTTCACAGCATACCCTCGCTCGACAACACTGCATTCCACGCAAGGCTTCAACTATGGTCCTGGCACGAAGTCTCCGCCCCGCGGCCCGCGCGGCACGTCTCCTCGAGCATGCGACGACAAGACCGAACCTCTCCTCTTCTCTCATCCGCCGACGTGTTCTGCCTTCGGCCCTCGCCAGCGTTCACACCACCTCTCCGAAGACCCAAGAAGCCGCGGCCCTGCGCCAGGAACAACATCACGACGTGGCTACGACGATACCTGACGCCGCGTTGCGAATAGACCCAAAGACACATACAGGGCCAGAGAAGGTTAAAGTTGCTATCTTGCCTAGTCGCCAGGAGCTTCTTCTTACCGGCCAATCTTTTGGCCAAGAACACGCGAAGCACATCGACGTGGCTTGGCTCCGAGACCGCTGTGGTTGCCCGCATTGCGTCAGTCCTTCCTCGGGTAACAAGTCCTTCTCCACCGCCGAAATTCCAAGCGGCATTGCCTTTGAGAGCGCAAAGGAGATGCCAGATGGCTCCCATGAGATCCGCTGGACAAACGACATCCCGCGAGCTGCCGACGTTGGCCACGTTTCCGTCTTTCCCGCCACCGGCCCCCAGAGTCTTGCGGGGTTGTTGATCGAACGGCCAGTCCTTTTCTTCCATCATGCCAGCGTGAAAAAGGCCGAGAGATATATGTGGAAGAGGGAAACTCTTCTTGATAAGCTTGAGAGGATCGACTATAAAGACTACATGGAAGGAGGCCCGGCTTTCAGGTCAACTGCCCTCTCGCTCGCCAAGATTGGGCTCGTTTTCCTCACCAATGTGCCCCAGACCGAAAAGGCAGTAGCTGAGATAGCTCTGAAATTCGGTGCCGTCAAGGAGACATTTTATGGCCACACCTGGGACGTCATTTCTAAACCCGATGCTGAAAACGTCGCCTATACCTCCTCTTACCTGGGCTTGCACTCGGACATGCTCTATCTCGAGTCGCCGCCTCGCATCCAGCTCCTCCATTGCTTGGAGAACTCATGCTCGGGGGGTGAGTCCATCTTCAGCGACGCCCTACACGCCGCCACCTGGCTCGAAAGATTCCACCCCGAGTCCTACGATGCATTGACTAAATACCTGGTTCCCTACCACTACGCCAAGAATGGTTTCTTCTACCGCCAAGCGAGACCCGTCATCGCCGACGAACATGGAAGAGACCGCGAGGTCTGGTGGTCCCCGCCCTTCCAGGCACCTCTCCCAGGTACGCCCGATAAATCAAGCTCTGAAGCTTGGCAAGCCTGGATCAAGGGAGCGCGGATGTTCCAAGAAACCCTGGAGCGAGAAGACAACATGTACCAGCACAGGCTCCAACCGGGCGAGTGCGTGCTGTTTGACAACCGGCGCGTTCTCCACGGTCGCCGAGCTTTCGACACGGCAAGCGGGCGCCGCTGGCTCAAGGGCACATATGTCGCCGATGAGGATTTCAAAAGTACTCTACGGCCGTTCCTTGAACCCATCTAAAGATCCGGAAGACGGTGGATCGGAAATCTAGAAGCCAACTTAAACTTGATTCAAAGCGCTCAGTTAGTTGAGACTATGTATGTATATATACCTTAGTCTGGTGCATTGCGGAGAACCGATATTGAGGCGTTAATCTTAGTCACACCGCATGTGTACACAATGGAGTTACATGTCCAGACGGAGATCGTGGCAAGCTACTCAAGAAAATTGTGGTTGCTAGTCTTCAATTACCTACGTACCGTCCAGCAACTTACTTGTCGACCAACGAGGCCTAACGCTAGACTCGAGAGGAAAGAAGAACATGCCTTCTGTTCCTCCGGTGATGCACTGCTTTTTGTATTCGCGGGAGGACAACTGCCCAAAATCACTGCCAAAACGCCCCGTCGTCAATGTCATATCATGATGTCCCTCGAACCATTCCTACCAGGCGATATCAATGCCTCCCAAGCCATACCAGTGTCCGTGTCGCATTTCACTACTCATCAGATGAGTCTCATTTGAGTACCATCAGCCGCCTTGAACACCTCAAGACTCCCAGTTCTTAGCCTCGACACCTTCGGGAGGCACAGTCTCGACCTTGCGGTTTTTGACGTCCTCCCAATCGGTGCTGAGCGAGGTGCCGTTGCTCTCGGTAAAGGATTTCATCATGGCGCGTCGTGCCTCTGGCGTGGCGTCCTTGTACAGCGTCTTGAAGAACCCGTTGATATCGGAGCTATCATCGTCGTCGGCGCCTTCGAGCTTGTCCCAGTTCTTGGGTCCGGACTTGGAAGAGGTCGGGTATGCGGGGCCGGAGGTCGCGGCGGCCTTGGGTTGCGCGATTGCGGTTGTAGCGGGCGATGGGTTGGACTTGTTCGCTGCCGGGGCGACGCTGTCGGCGGGACGTTGCAGTGTAGGCCACTTGACGGCCTCCGCCTTCTTGAGTTGGAACTCGATCTTGTTCGCGGTGACGGTATGCTTGGAGCCAGCGGGGTCGATGCGGCCGTGGAGGTGGATCGTGTAAGAGGGCTCATGGCCGGGAATGTGTGACATGCTGATCTGTTGGAAAGCTCTATTAGCATCTGTCCGCTTGTTTGGACCAATCTCAAACTTGGAAGAGAGACATGCCTCAGACTCGCCATAGTCGACCTTGAAGTCGTCCTTGGGGATGTTCTTCGCAAAGACAGTGACCGTCAAAGTGGTACTGCTCTGGAAGAAGTCCACGCGCACATCCTTCTTTGGCTGCGGCTTCGCGACCGCCTCGGCCTTGGCCACCTCAATCTCCTCCTTTGTAAACTCCTCCACCTCGTCCGTGTCGGGGGCATCGAGCGAAACGTCAGGTGCAAACTTGACCGTCACCTTTCTCTTCTCGTCGTCCTCGGCAAGCTTCTCCAGCCCGCCCAGGATCTGCAGCCGCAAAGCGCAAATGGAGTTCCAGATCGCGCCAAATTTACTCTGCGCCGGATCCTCCGTCTGCCGGACAGCCGTTATCTCGTCCTGCAGCACCTTCCTGGTACCCTGCGCAAACCCCTTGTCATCGACTTCGGGAGCCCTCAGCTCAGCCATGCTCTTGCCCTCGACCATGCGCTGGGCCCAGGTCGCGCAGGTATCCGCGTTGGCCAGCTCGCCGAGACGGAAGTGGGCGACGGCGCGGCGGTACTGCGCGTCGGCCATGAAGGGGCGGTTGTTGCGGCCCGCGGCGGCGACTTGAGCGAGCTCGGCGTCGCGGAGGGCGCGGCGGAAGTCCTTTGTGCCGATGTAGGCCTTGGAGCGGCCGATGAGCCACTTGGGGGATTTGATGACCTTGATCGCCTTGGAGAGCTGAGTGATGGCGGTTTCCCAGTCTCTGTTGTCAACGGCGGTCATGCCGGCTGCGCCAGCTGTGTATTCGGACATTGTTGGTTGGTTGCTTCTATGAATGCTTCAGGAATGGAAGGTGTTCGATGCGAGAAGAAGTTAATTTGGAAAGTCGGTTGGTGCTGTGTCGTGATTGTAACGGCGACACAGTCTCAAAGAGAAGGAACGTGGGTTGAAAGGAAATAGATGGCAACCCGATTGAAGTGGGAGGGAGAAAAAGCAAACGGAGAAAGAACAAACGGTGATGCAGGAGAGGTAGCTGCAGGTCCAACAAGGTTCGGTCGGTGCTGCCTCCAGTTCAGAGGGGTCAGACTGTTCTGGAAGCTGTGGTGGGGTAGCCTCTCCACTTTCTGCCGCTAAGCTCCGCCCACATCCTCTCACCGCCCGATTCACCGAGATTGGCCTGGCTCACCGAATATCCATCAACGAAGCATCGCCATATTGATAAAACATCCTGATGCTGTATTGCAGAAACAGTATATATATGAACCATCTCTACTTGGAACAGATCAGGTTTCTGAGTAGAGCATAGGGGTCACTAGTAAACTGGTATCCTCGCTGAATATACTTACAATTGGAGTCAACAAAACGTCCAAAAAAAAGTGACCACATGGTGAATCGAAACACCGCCGCCTGAAACCCTCGGGAGCATCACCGAGGGAGTCACCCGATCAAGCATCTCGACTCGTGGTGATAGCCGAGGCACATTCGCTCCCTATAGCCTCCTCCTGCCTCATCCGAAGCCCATTGCGTCTGGCCGTTCCAAGATCTCATAATACGCGTCTCCTGTGCCATCACCTGAGATGGTCCCGGCCGCTGTAGTCCTCGGCTGCCTTGCTTCGCAGTCTGGAAATACCAGAGTCTATCAATACCTAAAGGCAGAAATCATGTCTCATTAAGATTAATTATGTTCTACTTTTGATAAATGACCATGTTCTAGAAGTGAAGGCAACGGTCTAGATCTCTACAAGTCTCCCTTGTCGCTGATGCCAGGGGTGATCTTCTCATCTGGATATTTGCGGGCAAACATGCCAAGCGCCTTGATCGGAAACGTGAACTTGTAGTTGGGATACGCAATCGTGCAACTCTTGTTGAAAACGCCCTCCATCGTCTCCTGGAGCCATTCACCATTGGCCTGCTGGCGTTCCATAATGAACTGGATACCCTTTCGAAGGGGCTCCATGTGAGGGTACTCAGCCTCCATCAGGCCGATTAGGGCCCAGGCAGTTTGCACTACCAGGGATCCTCTCGGGTGTTCGTGGTACTCCATTGTCTCCGAAGCCTATGATCGTTAGTTCTGATGCCTGCATTCATTGCATTTAGGAGCTCACTGACCTTGTAGCTCTCGGACCATCCGCCATCCTCTCTCTGCTTGGAAATGAAGAAGTCGCAACCCCTCCTGGAGACTTTGCTAGTGGTGTAGGTGTCTCCTGCGAAGGCCAGACTCTCCAATGCAAACATACCCGCATAGGTGAAGCAGATACCCCAGCTTCCGTACCAAGAACCATCAATGTTCTGGTGGGAACGGATCCAGTTCACAGCACGCTTGACAAAGATGCGGATGTCATCCTTGCGGTAATCGGGCCAGTGCTTCTGGAAGAGCGACAAGACCGTGACACAGGCAGTAGTGCATTCGGGGTAGTCGTACTCGATCATGATGCGGCCAAAGACCTCGGCGGCATTGAGCAATTCCATGTACTCGCCTCCGCGACGCTGTTCGTATGAGCCCACGCCTCCAGTCTCGTTTTGATAAAGGAGAATGGAGTCGATGGCATCAAAGATACGCTGGTCGTCGAGAAGCTGAGGGTAGCCCTCGGTCTTTTGCAGCAAGATGACGGCCTTGAGCGCCTCAGAAATGCAGTCACTGACAGCATAGCCTTGTTCTCTGTTGCTGAAAGGCCAGCCGCCCTTGCGCTGCTGGCGGTAGCACTTGTCTGAGTCTTTGCAGTTCTCACGAATCTGCTGTCTGTCGAGGAATCCAAGGGCCTTCTCTAGCATTGGACGCCAACGATCATCAGTTTCGAGACCAGCGGCGACGACTGACTGGATCATGAAGGCGGTGTCCCAGCATTGAACGCCGTTGGTACCGTTGCCCAGCATGCCCTCAGCATTGACCCATAGAGAGTCCATGATTCTGTCGGCGTGTCGACGGACGGTGTAAGCCCCGGGCCCATCCCGAATGTAGCAGACGATGTGGTTCATGGGACCGTTGACTGGCGCCAGACCTAGGTAGTCCGTGTTGGCATCCTCCATGTCAACCAAGTCGCTGGTCCAAGCTTCGGCTCTCTCCTTGATCCAGTTGGTTCGCAGGTAGGGGTTCCAGATGTTGACCAGGCACCAGTTCACCGTGTTGAGCAGCCATGACTTGGGGTTGTAGTTGTCGACCTGTGCAATGCTGTTGCGGTTGGCCTTCCAGTTGATAGATGCCCAGTTCTCGGGGAAGAGCTCCTTCTTGAGGTCGCGAATGACTTCAGTCTCTTCACAAGTCCAGCGCTTGGAGTACACGTAGGACATTGGCAGGAAGACTTGGCGAATGTGAACCCACCACCGCCAAGGGGCGATAGGCACCCAGTCTGGCAGCAGCCAGATCTCGGGAGGAACAGGGTTGACAATTTCCCAGTCCACAACTCCCAAGACAGCGAGCCACCACTTAGCCCAGTGCGGCCCTTTCGTTGCGCCGCCAAGCTCGTGGAGTCTTGCTCTGGCCTTGACCATGACGGGCTCCTCTGCATCGACGCCGATCAGGCGCAAGGTTGTGTAGTTCATCGAGGTGCCAAAGACGGTGCTGATACCTTCGGTATGGAGACCCCAGCCACCCAACTCAGGGTGCGCACGAGCAAAGAGGTAGTTTTTGATCTCGGTTGCGAAGGCGGACGAGATGGGCGTCTTGGTGACGTACCAGGCGATAACGGCACTTGGGAGGAGGAACATGGGACCGCCGTATTCGCAACCCCAGTCGCCGTAGGGAAGTTGGAGCTTCTCGACGAATTGGAGGCCATTGCGTGTCGCGTCGAGAGGTTTTTCGGGTTCGGGAAGAATTGGGAGATCCTGTGTGTACGGGAGAGGTGTTAGCGAAGAACAGTGACATATCCGCCATCTGAAGTCGCAGGAGCAAAAGGTGGACTGACAAGAGGAAGACCCAAGTAGTACTTGTCGGCGTAGGTCTGGGGCCAGTCCTTTGCGGCATCGTCGCCCTCCAAATACTTCCAGGTGTGTCGACCGTCCTCGTCCTTCATTCTCCATTTCGTGCGATCGGTTTTGGCGTCGATGCGGGGCTTCTTGGGCCATTCCTGCTCGGCGATGGCTTCTGCGACGCGCTTGCGAGACTGGACGGATTTGGCTCCGAGGGTGCCATTGCTCGAGGCAACGGATGGAGTTTTCTCGGCGACCATGACAGGCGGTATTTGTCCTCTGTGTGACGGCGGTTGAAGTCGTCGTGGTGCAGAGGAGGAGCGATGTTGAGGGTCGCCTGGGCCGATTTGCAGGGTGGTGGGATGGGATTCATGCACTTGTTAAATGGTGGCCCAGTCAGCTCGTAGAAGGCGGCGCCCCCTGCGCGTCTCTCTGAGGCGGTGTCCCTCCAATGACAGGAAGATGCATGTAGTCGGGGGAAACCCACCACATCCTCGTACGAGATCCCTGCTGGAAATCAGGATTTGGTGGAGATGGAAACAAGGCCATTCGAGATGTTAGTCCGTTTTGATCGACGTTGCCAGTTCTTTGACTCTCGAGGCATTGTTGCTGGTTTGACGCAACTGACTTTGGCTCAAGATTGTTGGGGGCATTTCAGCTGTACATAAGGTAAGTTGACGGGCGAAACGCAAATTCCCCAGGCCATTTGACAGGTGCCAGGATGTCGCACAGTCGCAGTCCAGCGCAAAATAAACTTCAGCGGCACCGGCTTTCGAGAGCCTGATACCAAAGATACCTTACCTAAGCTGTCCATCACTCCATCTTCTGCTGATTAGGTAATGACCCATCATCTCCCCATGTCGCACGGTGCTCTTTCCACCAGCGGCATCTCTCCCATCATTGGCCAATGGCATTTTGGACGTGGAGCGCCTCCTTCGTCTGTTCCTGCAGCTCCCACCTCCAGCTTCTCTTGCACACCCTCTTCTTCGTACCAACCCTCCAATGAAAGACGATCCGCCAATATCCTAGAGTCTGACCAAACTTTGCACGCGTTTGGAGGTTTCCGATCTTCATCAAGCTGTCCCTTCATCTGTGTAATCGTTACTTTGTTTTTTTTCTGATTTGATGGACCTTGCTACACCCCCGTTGCTCAACGGCCGCCAAGAGGGCCAACTAACGGCACAGCTGTCTAATCCGAGTCAATCTAGCAACGTCGTGAACATCCCCGATCCGGATCCCCACAGGAATGCCACCGGTCTCGCCATAGTGAAATTGGAAGATATCCTGATATCTGCCCGAGAATCACTGCTACAGTCTCGAGAAATATCTATTCCCTTCAGGACCCGGCCTTCCACAAACCGATCCGCGAGCAACCATGGCCCATCTCGGACAACCCGACTAGCAGTTCGCTTCCCGGGCCGCACAGTCGAGGAAGCAACCAAGTTCAGTTCGTAATCATGCTTGGTTAGCGGTAGTTGTCCCTGACGCTTATTCAATACAGCCCGCATCATGCGCATCATGCAACTCTCCCTGAGTGCGCTGACGGAAGGCCGACTGATCACCAAGAGGTGTGCGCTCCATGTTCTGCCTCTTGATGGTCTCAAGTGCTGAGAGCATGGCGGAACAGGAACATCTACTATCAGGACACCGATTTGTTCAAAAGACAGTCCATTGTCGACAACCTTGTTGACGATCTGGCCTTTACTCTTAGCCTTGGGCGGGAGGATCTCGGTATAGTGAGCCGCCCCCATCTCTGAAAGACGTCATCTTCCAACCATTCCTCAGGTTGCTGCAAGCAAGGGCCTTGTATCTGGGCCTATTATTCTGCGTTCCAGGACTTCCGAAGTTGACGCCTCTTCAAGCGAGCATGTATGGAGCACCGGAACTCGACCACAGCTATTGCTAACCAAGATCCAGGGGGTCCTCATACCTTCAGCCAGGATTGTATCCGAGATTGACTTTGGTCCTGCGCAATGGGTCTTGGTGATTGAGAAAGAGGTTGGACAGGGCTGATGCTGGCTACGGAACGTTGCTGACTGGAACAGGCAATCTATCGGACACTGGCATCGGCGAGGTACTAGGAGACTTCTGCCTTTGGCACGGGCATTCTTGTCACGGTCAGTAGAGTTGCCTACGGGAACAGCAACACTATAACTTTCTGACATGTTCATAGGGAAAAGGTTACCCAGATTTGAACACCAAGCAGTTCGTACACCTTCTTCACACAGCCAAGCCTGAGCTTCCAATCTTCGCTCTTATGGACTTCGACTGCTATGGTATTGCCATCATGCGCTGCTACAGCCACGGCACACGAGGTCATGCACACGAACAGGCAACGACTGTGCCTAGCATGCAGTGGCTCGGCATAAAAAGCGACGATCTCGCGTTCCGTCAGGATGCAATACCAACCCGCGGGCTCGACGTCAACGGCAGTCAAAGGCGACTTGGTGCGAGCACGTTCGACTCTTCCAGCTCTCTCACTCTGCGAGATAGAACGCGCTCTATCAACATGATCAAGGAAATCGAAGAGGACGGCCCTGATAATGACCGAGATTGCCGACGAGAACTACAGGTGATGCTGTTTCTCGGCATCAAGGCAGAGATCCAAGCTGTGGACAACACAGGAGACATGTCGCGATGGCTCGATGAGCACATGGGAACTTTCTGATCTATCGCATTTGCGCATGTGCGTTTCTGGGGGTTTCTTTGGAGTCTTTGTTTCGATTTAGGTGCTGACTTGACGTTAGCTTTTGGGCTGGCACAAGGTGAACAGTGATGTCCATTGAAGAGGAAGAGGAGCCGTGCGGAGTGCGCATATCAGCTTCTAACACTGTACCTCCACACACATCACCCGAAAATTTCTACCTCACTTTCAAGACTCATGTTAGGTCCTCAGACAGCACTCACAAAATCTCACCGAAAATGGCACCCAAACTCTCAGAAGAGGAGATTGATGATCTCATTTACTTTTCAAGAGCCGGCGAGCTCGCTGATCTCGAAGAAACCCTTAAGTCCCTGTCGGAGCGCGAAGGCGCTTCCGTAGGCGAGATCATCACCGCCGCCAAGGATGACGGCAAGTCGACCTGCCTGCACATGGCTGCCGGTAACGGCCACCTCGGTAAGTTCTTACCTCATTTGTGCGCTTCAAAAACTCCAAGAATTTTCAACTGAATCGTCGTACAGATATCGTGAAGGCCCTCATCACAGCCTTTGACAGCCGTCCTGCAGACGAGAAGAAGGCGTACGTCGACGCCGGCAACGAGTTTGGCAACACAGGGTTGCACTGGGCGTGCTTGGGTGGCCACCTTGAGGCCGTAAAGTACCTCATCAGCCACGGCGCTTCCCCCGCGGTAGCCAACGACAAGGACCAAATTCCTCTCGACTCAGCGCTTTTCAACGACAAGCGAGAGGTCGCGGACTGGTTCCTGGCGCAATCTGAGAAGATGGAGGGCGGAAACCAGGAGGAAGGTCTGAGTGGTGCTGCGTCTGGTATTGAGATTGAGGATGATGGTGCCGTTGAGGAGGACAAGGGCAAGGATAAGGCTGGCGAGAGCAGCAAGAGTTCATAGATGGGATCTGGCTTATGAGTTAAAGACAAAAAATCAAATGAGTGAACGACTGTCAACGACGCCCGAAGTGGCTCTTGCTGTGGTGCGAATGTAGGCTACCTACGGATCTCACCAGACCATTCTATAGTAGCAAACTGCAAGTGAGTTGACCTTGTAAGGATCCATTTGTCACGAGCTGCAAGAGTCACTCACTACACTCGCGTCTCTCCCCGAAGTCGACCATCATCGACCGCATTTTGACTCGCAAAACTATTACAAGATTCGAAAACAGGAATTTTCCCTTCCGAAACAGCTTGCATTTGCCCGGCATTAGTCTTCGATATTCGTGCTCTATCAGTATTTGAACATCACATCACATGGATTGATTTCTGTAGGATGAGAGATCTGGGAGCACGTGTGCCAATTTATTTGAGCCGGTGGTTAGCCATCACATTACGATGCTGCTTCATGTTTAGCTGCATGCGGGTTATATGATAGCTATCTAACCATAAGCTTACATCGAATGAGTGAAAGAAGTAAAGTTGTTAAGGATGTTCTGAAATCAACCGGAAAATAACGAGAGAATAGGATGAGCCAGCGAATGTTCCGCACTCCCATTCAAAGACGCAAAGAAAGACGGAGAGAATCTCAACTACGCTCTTCTGAATTGCCACCCCAGTGATACTGTGGTCACACGTCTTCTGGGTTTTTGGCCCCCAGTCTAAATAGCCCGCTTCTCAAGCCCACACTTCTTCAAACACTCCTCAACCTTCAACACGAGGTTCTTGGGAATAGCCTGGCGCACCCGGTCAATATCCTCACCAGCAATACTCGACCCAAAGGAAGCGCCAATCACGTCGTCGCTCAGCGCAAACAGCTGCGCCGCCACCATGGCGGTACCGCCCTCGTCCGAGGTAAAGGACACGACGGCCGAGGCAGGGGTACACTCGGGGTTCACCTGGGTGTGGAAGGAGCCCTGGGGAAAGACGGTCATCTGGTTGGCGCCCAGGTCGGCGCGGATGATGCGCTGGTTGCCGGAGGCGTCGAGGACGCCGGCTTCGGGGACCATTTCGGTGATGAGGCGGCCCGAGGTTACGACGAGGAGTTCGGAGGCGCGGGGGTGGAGGTGGAGGAAGGATATTGCGCAGGCTTTTGTGCGTTGTTAGCTCAGATTTTTCACCCTTAAGAGATTCCTTTGGGACTGTTGTTTGACGTACCAGGCAAAGAGGCGACGGCCATGCTGCCGCCTAGGCCTGTGACGGCGGGGAAGGTTTGGCGGTTGGCGAGGGCGACTTGGGATTTGTTGAAATCGTAGATGAAGTCTTCGTCCTTGGGGAGAAGACGGTATCGGGCTGCGCCGCTGGTATCGTGTTAGTAGCCGGTTTGAGTATCGGTATAGGTTGATGTTTTCTACTGACCTGTCCGCGAGTTGAATCCGAGCAGTCAAACTCAGACTCGTGGCTGACCCATTTTCTCTGCGATAGGGAGCAGCCATGGCGAGGGAGGACAGGGCCATGACGGCGATTGTAATGTTTACGATGAGCATTGCGATGGTTTGAATTGCCAATGATTCTGAATTTGTGAGCTTGTAGACAGTTGATGTGATTATAGCTGATCTTGTGATGAATCTGTTGATCCAAACCGATTTTCCTTGGGTATCATGAAGGCTTTTATGTGAAAATCATGCCAACTTCAACGAAGCATCTCAATACATCTGCGACATTCCATTCCAAATTCTCTCGATCTATATTGCCATCTGACAGTATCCCAACTCTGCCCGGTCTCAAGTCGAAGATCCCATAAGGGCATCTCAAAAGCTTCAATTATCCTGTCTAGCTGAACACCGCCGCGCTCACTGCCTTGGAGAGTGCCCGACAGATGAAGTGACAAATAATTCTCAAAGAGACATTTGATCAGGATTGGTTCACTTCCGCGCCATTTCCACAAAAGAACGCAGTCTGGTCCAGTTGACGGGGCCCCAGAGGGAGTTGAGGCTGAGTCTGACGGGCTGACGTAGTCTGGTAGATTTGCCGAAATCGCCGAATCGGGTCACTATATCACCACCAGGTACAGTAAGATACCCACTGAATGGATCGGCGAGGTCAAATGGGCGAGGAAGAAGTGTCAGACTTGGTGCGGTCGAACTACGGACATTCACGGCGTGATGGTCGGACATCGCAGTCTGATGATAGTGCCGACCGCACCTTCCGCAGATTCACATCGCTTGCCGGACCTTCATCTGATATTCTCTTCACAACCTGAATATACGCAATACACATCGTAAAGAAGGTTCATATACCCCCTTAGTCCCATTCCTGTCACCAGCCAGCAGGCGCCCGTCTAGGTCGACGGGTCAGGTCAAACTGGATGGGTGGTGGAAAGGTTGATGGTCAACAATCAACTATGCCCACAGCCTACTCGACGACAGGCTCCGAGTTAGAATTCCAGCATTTGCACCAAGAGATGTAGCCACACCGGTGGTGAACTCTTTTTTGTTTGGCCATTGAGCTGATGGAATGCTACTCTGTATTCACTTAGGAGTGCAGAAAAGCCCAGCTACTCCTTGCTTGCATTTCCCCTGTTCCCCAGACAATTAATTCCGACGATTTTCCTTTCTCTTTGGGATATCTCCTAGCCATTATTCAGGTTGCAAGTATTCCTTGTTTACATATGCTGATAGCTGTTACATCCATTCCAAGATGGGTATGGATGGCGAAGGGGAAAACGCCGTCGGCTGCAACGAGCAAATAACAAAGACGCAGCCTGTTTCATGGAAAACTTGTCGTCTCTATCTGATATCAAATTTCATGGTTACCCACAGTGCCTTTGCCACTTCTATCATGGTTTCTTCTTAAGTTTTCTCCCTATCTGCTGACCACAATCTGCTTGGACTGATGTATGGACTAACCACTATAACAGATTCCCTTGTTTTCAGGCTATTCATTCCAGCTTTAAAGCCGCTGATATTGCAAGATATAGGCTGACGTCTAGCCCAAGTTGTAACATGAATGAGGGCTTTGAGAGGTTCTTTCTTATAATTCTAGCGATCACAGTGATTTTATAGCAAATTTTACAATAAGAACATCACAAAGTCGTTCAGCACAATTTTGCTCTATCTGTTACGTGTCTGTGCGCTTGACTCTATAAGTGTTGTTGAATATCAGAAGACCTGTCGGTGTAAGAGTCACGTTGGGGCTGAGTAAGTGCCGACGCCGCCACCTCGTATTGTGGCCGGGGGTCTCCAATTACTGAGTCAACAATATTGTTTAAAGTATGAACTCGCGCCTGTGTTTGTGAATGGTACTGAACTCACTGTACGAGACATACCCCCTTTCGTGCACAAGTATCAGGTCATCCTTCAAATAACGGAAGTTGCTGATTTGTCTTTGAACTAGCACTGACAATCTTGATCACCCTTAAACCCCATGGCGCCCGGAACATCATCCCGCAAAACGGCTCAAATGCCACGCCTCTTCAGCAAAAGTGAGCTCCGTCGCTTCGAAGACTGCGCCAATGAGAACCAAACCCTCGCGGACTGCTGGGCAGGCGACCAGATCGTCATTGTGGCCTGCGAGCTATCGGACAAATACCAGTACGCCGACAAACGCAATTCCAGAGCGATAGAGATAAACGTCATGTCATCCGCGGATAAGCCTGTGTGGAGATCGTTACCCCTTGATACACGACAGTATGATGCTCTCAAGAGGCATTGCAGCACCAGGACGATTCGCATGCTAGGGAAGTCGAAAGTCAATAAGAGCCTCCAGCCGAAGCCTTGGTCGTGGTATAACGCCGCTGCTGCGCATGAGACGTTTGAGCTCTACGAGGAGGAGGCGCGAGCTAAAGCGCAGGAGGCTTTTGATGCGCTGAGCGGCGAGATGTATGCGACAGTATGTGTCGTGAGCTACGATCTCCGCGAGACCATGGCTGCTCTGGATCTGTTCAAGGTCAAGTTGCCTTCTTCTAAGGTTGTGTTTGTGGACTTGATCAAGGTGCTGGAGCATCAGACGAGGGGCGAGGAGGTTATTCCAGAGCGGCTGAGGAAGTACACTAATGACAACATTGCGATGAGGAACGGGAGGCTTGATAGGCGGCCGGGGACGCCAAGGGGCTATCTCGGGATGCCGAGCATAAGGTTGTTGGAGGTGGTCGGGCCTGCTGCCGAGGGTCATAGGGCGGATCATAAGAAGCTCGAAAAGGGGAACGTGGCCTTGGAGAGGATTGCCAAAAGGATTCGTAACGGATAGGTGTGTATAATCTTGAGATCAAGTACTCTGATGTCAGCCCAAGCCTGCAAGATCGACTTTCTTCCTCATTAGAAACTTCATTTGATCACGGAAATATTGTGGTTTTATAACGATGAATGGCGATTTCAACGTTTCAGAACCACTTCCCTTTCAGTCTGCTTCTTTCTGTTCTAGGTACCCAATGGCAAGCTGCGTCAGATGAATCAAAGCCTGATACTACCTTACAGCTCCGCAAAGGTCTAAGACAACCCGCAACCTCAGTTCTGTGAATGTAGGCATTCGCAACATTGGTACGATGGGCCTTTTCAACTTGCAATAAGAAGTTCCGAATGTCTTCCGGGCTCATCTTCGGACGCGCCCTCTTGAGATTCTCCTGAATCCGCCGCAACCCTTCTCTCGCCTTTGCGCGGATCGAGCAGTGTTGACGCGAAGTACAGATTTTGTGTGTACTCGGTGTGTTGGTTCTCTGTGTCGTGGAAACCGCTGCGGCGGAGTTTGTGGAGCAACCGGCGTCGGGTACATTAATTTCACGGACCGCTCTGTGAGCCAGAACACTGCTGGATGCATCGTGAAAAAGGTACGTGATCACGTGATCAGTCAGTACCTAAGTAGAGAGCATTCTCTCATTGGGTCTTTCCACAATTAAATGGACCCCTTGGTCTCTTATCGATAAGAGCCGTGCGACACCGCGCAGACGTGGGGGCCCACTCATCTCGCAGTTGCGCCTTCCCCATTTCCGCTTGGGATGTGTGGGGAAGGGGGGCATTTTTGGGGGAGGAGCAGCTCAACACGCCCATCCCCCGCGTTGTGCCAGACACCTGAGGCGCAACTCTGCCAATCTCCAATTCCATCTCATCTTGCGCCCACCTCCCGTCTCCATCTCACCGGCTGTCGCGAATATCTTCAGCCCGTCCTGCGCAGTTTGCTTGGCGTGCCACAACGTACCCGCACCCCTTGCTCATGAGAGTATAACCGCCTAGAAAGGTACATACGGGCTCAGCAAACCATAAATACGAGCTACGCTTAAGGACCAAGCGTCTCTCTTGACGATGCTCTCATGACCGTTGTCGATGGCGAGCCATCCATCCCCCGGCCAGCCTGGTAGTGCTGCAGCCAACTACAAGCGTGCAAGTCGCAGAGGTGCTCCTCGGCGGTTCCCCTGCGAACACCCGGGTTGCGACAAGTTATACTCGAGAGCAGAGCATCTCCAGAGGCACCAGTTGAACCGTGAGTCAACTCCCCTGTCCAGTCGCTGCCCTCGTCATGTCACAAGGTACGGCCTGACGCGTCTTCATAGACAACCCCAAAGAAATCTTCATTTGCGATATCCCTGGTTGCGACCAAAAGTTTGTTCGTGCTGATCTGCTGTCGCGTCACAAAAAGCGTCACTCGTCGTCGTACATCCCTCGAAATCGCGCGCCCAGCTTTGCCTCTGCCGCATCTGGCAACCAATCCGGCCCGGCTGTGTCATCTCCGACTTCAGGCGCACCACCACGGCAAGCATTTCCCCAGCCTTCAACAGGCGGCCCTCACGATGCCGCCATCCTGCTTACTCCCGACTCTGCTACGCCCACGCCGACAACGGGTGCATCAAACCCGTCCCTTGCTCAGCATGTCAATAGGATCAGCCAACCTACCACATGGCCGTCCATCGATGATATGGCTGTCGAGATGATGCGACCGAAGCCCGCTTACTACGGACGCGACCAGATGACCCTCCCCGAGGCACCACCTCTTATGCCGTCGTTTGACCCGAGAGGATTCCAGCCTGACGAGGCACTCTCACGGGAGAACTTTGCCGTCTGGCTATTTGACTCTCAAGCAAGCTTCAGTGACTTTAATGGAGTCGCTAATCTTCCCTTCCTCGAAGGCGGCCTTGAATCAACTTTCAACAATAATATTCCCTATGACTATGAGTCATTGACGAGTCGTTCACAGCTTGATCCGACGCCGCCTCGGCAAGTTGAAGTTAGTGACGAACTTATCAGTGAGCACCGGCGGCAGGAGGTCCTGAGGTGGTTGAAGGTCTTCCGACACAAGCAGCCCAAGTACGAACCGCGTATAGTCAGTCTTGTACAGGAGAGCAATGGAGACCTGCCTGCTCTGAGTCTCGAGATGATGAGAGATTGTTTACAAGAATATTGGAAGAGAATCTCGCCACGCTTGCCGATCGTCCATCAGCCAACTTTTTCTTCGAATCGCTGCTCCATCTTCTTGCTACTCGTGATGATTGCTTTGGGAGCTGCGTCATTGAGCAGCAGAGACTCGACTGGCAACTTAGAACCGTACGGGGGCTGGCAGACGTGATTATATCCAGCAGTCGGTGGGAAATCCTCACCCACGAGGAAGCTTCAGCGCCGGTGGGCCTGTCCATAGCTCAAGCAATGCTGTTGCTCGAGTTCTACGAGAAGATATTCTCCTCCAGACGCATGCACGAGAGATCGCATATATACCACTCGGCCCTCTTGAATCTTCTTAGGAGAGGAAGCCCTCTAATTGGACGAGCAGGAAGCGAATCACCCCCAGAGGAGGAAGCCCCAGCGCCGAACGACGGACCTTCGGACTCGAGAACGTGGTGGGTCCGATGGGCCGAGAGCGAATCCATGCATCGCGTCGTTTTTGCGGCCTTCATGATGGACACTGTTCATGCAGCCATGTTCGGCCACAACGCCGACATGGCTCCGCACGAGATCCGACTTCCCCTGCCATGCGACGATGGCTTGTGGACAGCCGCGACCCCGAATGTCTTCCGACAACTCGACGGGAACTACAGAATGTACGGTATCAAGCAGGTGTCCTTCCTCGATGGGCTGAAAAGTGCTTTGCATGGGCAGGAAGTCAAGACACACACTTTTGGACGCATGATTATCATGTCGGGGCTGCTTAGTGTCGGGTGGCATCTGTCTCGTCGAGAGTCTCACCTCAAGTGGCTTGACCTGCGTACACCCAGCACGGAAACCCACGACAGCTGGAAAAAGATACTTTTCCGCGCTTTCGACGAGTGGAAAGAGTCTTTTGACAGCGCTGTTGGTGCCAACGATCTATCCGAAGGGCTAGGACAGCCACCAAGCTCCAACGGACCCATCCACTCGGCCGCTGTTCTCTACCACCTAGCCCATATCAGTCTTCACGTTGACATCGTCGATTGCCAGGTATATGCCGGTGCAAAGCGACTGGTCGGTCGCAAAGTCTCAACTCGCGATCATGCCAATGCTGTTGCAAGAATGAGGACCTGGTCGAATGCACCATCCACCAGACACGCCGTTTTGCATGCCTTCAGACTGCTCTACCGGGTTCTTGTAGACCACAAAAACCCAAAACGGCGGACGAGCAGCTTCGGCGCTCTGCCTGAACCCGTATCAGTTTACTACTCCTGCCGCAGCGAGCCGGATCCTCATCGGCCGTGGATCATGTACTATGCGGCCTTGACGATATGGTCTTTTGTACAGGCTCTGGGTATTCCTAATAGGAATACGCCCCCGGGAAGGTATAGCGAAATTGCTCGTTACCTGGCCTATTTCTCGAGTCTAGAGGAATTGAATGAAGAGGCTACGCGGGACCTTAACGAAAGGTTGCCGGAACTGCTGGACTTGCTTGAGACTAGCTTCAAGCAGTCGCACTCGGAGCTCCTCAGAGAGGCCAGTGAAAGGCTCAAACTTTGCCGCGAGATGTTAGTATGAACGTGGTCTTGCACTTCCGATGAGCTTTTCAGTGATGGGGATGGTCCCAAAGAAGGCTTTGCCAGCACGCAAGATGAGAGACGAGTGCTGTATGAGTCAGGCGCGGGAAGAGTCTTCGTGAGACTCACCAGTGTCGCGTTAAAGCGCACTGGGCGTCCGAACAGCGACGAAGCTGACGATAGATGTATGTTGCATATCCTTGGTCTCTTGTTGTTGGGCATGTGGGACATACTAAATCTCTGCTTAGACCCAATGCCCGATTACTTGCGACTCTTAGAGTCTTCGAATAGCCCTCGACTTGTGTCAGATAGTTCCTTGTATGGCCAACATTCTCCCCCGGGAGACATGAGCGATAAAGGGGTAGCACATATCTGCAAAGCATGTTATGGTCTACAACGGATGGCATTCTGCAAAATATGAATTTAGTATATGGGTATTATCCTTGACAGCTTTTGAGAAAAAGGAGTAACCCTGAAACTGATTAACTAAGAGAATATGAACCATTCGTCAACGAATATTGGTTACAGCATGAACGAATTACAATATTGGTTCGGCTTGCTTCACTTTCGTCGCTTCTTTCCATCACAGCATTGCCGCTACTCTCTGATACTAACACGCACACAACCTCACCGCAAGTCATACCCTGGCGGATGAGCTTGCGAAGCCAGGAGCCAAGTCCTATCCCTACGCAGCCGCACCGGCCGCAGCCTCAGTCTGCGGGAGGAAGAATGCGAACTCCCCGTTCATGTTGGCAACCTTCAAGGTCAACTCATTCTCCTCGGCTTCAAATTCGAGTTCACCGAGAGCCGGATCGATGATGAAGGCGTTGAGTTCCGGGAAGAGGCGGCCCACTTGTCCCTTGCTGATGTCGAGGGTATCTACATCTCATGTCAGCCCGCCACTGGCCGGTCAAGCAGGATTCAAAAGTCTAAACTCACTTCCTGGGTTGAGAATGTAGTCAATCTTTGAGAGAGTCACGCCCTGTGCGCCTTCCGCGAGGCTAACCTTGTACGACACCGCCTCGATGGCGGTGAACCCTGCGGGAGGCGGCGCAGGAGACCTGTTTTCCGTTACAGTGAGGGTTCGGCCGACTGCGTTTTGGAATTCGACCTCGAAGCGTCCATTTTTCTGTGAGTAAGGAGCATCAGATATATGCGTCTGTCGTCACCTTTGATGAGAGTCTGAGACTTACTGCTGGAGGGAAGAGAACATCTTGCTTGACATTCGCGCCGCCTAATCGTACAGGAACGATGAACTGCCCTTCGATCTCCTTCTCGTTGGGATCCTTTGCTTCCTCGTCGCCGCCGGCAGCGCCGCCTTCTGCTCCTCCTTCGGCTGCGCCTGCCTCGCCTGCGGCGGCTTCTTTTTCGGTGGCTTTTGAGGGAGTTATCGCGGCGCTTTGTGCGATGCTTCGGTCTGCGAGGCTAGAATCCGTGGAGGCTTGTGCGATACCGTTGTTTCGGGGGGATATTTCAGTAGTCGAGATTGGCAGTGACGCTGCCAGGAGGAGTTGGCATGAGATCGTGGCAAGTGTTGAGAGCCTCATTTTGTAAACGAAAAGAAAGGTATGTTAATATGAGAGTGAAAGGATAGATTGTGAAAGGGACCAACGCGGTTGACTCGTAATAGCGGGCTTGCCGCGGAGAAGAAGAGTTGATGAAGTGAAGTATACTGGAATGGGAACAGAAAAGAGCGCAACCATCACGATTAACGCCGGTGGGCGGCACCTAGGTACTCAAAGAGGTTATATGTACAGACGAACCGATTTCGCCGATAAGATCCTTTCGTCTACGACAAACATGCACGGGTTTGATTGTGAGCGCCGCCGGCTCGCCAAGAAGGACGGCATCATGAAACCCACGCAAGACCGCAAGGATGCGCAAGTAGAGGAGTCCTCCCCCACCATCCGCACCGCCAAGGTGCGCCAAGGTGCATCTCGAGAGCCTCATGATGGACGAATGCGGCAATTTGGGGGGTTTGTCACCCTGCGTGCTGCGTGTGCTGCGCAACGGCAGGCGGCTGGTCATGCCAATTTGTCGTTGAGCTCCGGCATTGGCGCTGCTTGGCGGTGTGGCAACTCGTCTCTACTTGTCGTTTTCGGATGGTATCTCATGCGGGGGAAAGCATTGACCACTGGACCTACGACGAAGTGACATTGCAAGACTGTGAGTTGTTGTTGAAGTCGGGTTGTTCAAGAATAATGTAATCGGAAGTGAGTCGCGGGTTATCTAGATCGTGATTGATCGGAGTTGCTACCTTAAGAAAAGACTACATAAGGTTGCGATCCTCTGAAGTTCGTCTGATTCCCTTAGACTGTGCTCGAATTTCGCCGTTGGTAGTCGACGCTTGCCACCACAAACCCTTGCTTTACTGTCGCCTCTTCAGAACCGTCCCCCCAACGATCCTGAATTTCGGCTGACTTTGAAGGGGTAGAATCCGAACCCCTTCACAAAGTCTCAGATGACAGCTGTCGTAGGCTAAACTTAGACTCTCAAACGTGAGCGATCCTTTGGTCGAATCACCACGCTGAAAACGCAATACCTCCCCTGTCCTGGCTCCCAACTGCCAGGGTGTCCAGCACCAAAACAGGCCAACAACAACTCTACCCAGGCCGGCGGATAGCGCTCATGCGACCAGTTGCTCCGTTCACCGTAGCGCTTGCGATGCTACGGGTTGGGCGAGTTGCCGCGCCGGCTCAACTTGCACCAGACTGAAACGCGGGCGTGGATGGCGCCATGGAACTGGTTCAGGTTTGCGCAACCGGAACCCCCCTGGTTCTGATCATCTCTTGGATCGAGAATTCCTTCTCTTTTGTGTGCTTGGTAATCTTGGTAAAAGCTTTTTGCGATCGAAGCGACAAGATGAACGGTCAGGCTTGCTTTGAGGACTGATCTCACCAGTCACTGAAGAAGAATTAAGTCGGGTAATTGAGACGAGTTTTCTGGAATCTGGAAAATGTCGGAGGATGAGTCAGGAACATTTCCCTCTCGAACGGCATATAGTTCGCCTTGGCAATCAGCCCATTTTGACTCGTTCTTCGATTCTGGCAAGATCCCGGCGATTGAAGAGCTACGGCCTCTTGTGCGGCCTTTGCCCAAGCTTGACGCCGGTTGCCGGGGTACAGTCAAGCGATGGCTTCAACGATTGACCTTGAAATTCGACTTGAGGCTGTATTTTTAGTCTGAAGACTGAAGAACAAAGTTAGCCACGATCTCTACTTGATAAGCATGTTTGAGTTAGTACATATCCGCAACGTTGAGGCTCATTTCAAGACCTTTTTCGCTTGGCCAGCTTAGATCTTACACTCTATAGGCAGAGTTGGCAGTGTGATTTGGTTGCAACAACTGCCTCTCAGAACACCGTGTCAGTAATGATGGAGCATAACCCAGAGTTTCTAATTTATGTTGAGGCTGCGACACTCTCTCAATCAAATGCTTCGGGTTGGCCAAGCCGCTCAAGAGCATCCCGGACAGCAACGCCGATGCCCACGGCAAGCTTCCCCCACTGTCGGATGGACAGCACGGCCAACATCGGCTTAAAAGCGGGGCTTCACCGAAGTTCGCTATTGGCAAACCCGGCACATGTCTCCTGCCTATCTCGGTAGTGCAAACTCTCACTTCACGTAAGCATCATCTTCAACCCCTCAAAACACTGATGACTCACGTGTGGCCGGGTTCGCCCACGACGCCTTTCGAGTATCTTTCCCATCATCCAAGATCGCATCACCTTCCTGCGCATTATCGGCGTCATGGTTACTAAACGGGCGGCCCGGTATGGCGATTGGGAGAGCCCAATCACTGTCGATACTGTGACCTCCAAGAGCTGGTCTGTATCATCACCTCGAGTCCATGTAAGTGATCTAGGAGACGTGACGACCAATTGAAGTGCATTTACTGATTGATGCAAAGCGTCAATCGGGACGGGCGTACTTCATTGAGTCTAAGGATGATGGACGTAAGGTTTTCGTGGAGATTACCGAGAACGGTGGCCTCAAGGATCTCCTACCAGCACCCTACAGCGCCGGCAACACAGTTTACGAATACGGTGGCTCTACTTACGACGTCGCTGCGGATGGTCGCATCATCTTCTCCAACCGCGACAATACCGTCAAGTCACTCGACGTCGACACTGGCAAAGTCGTTGACCTGACTGGCGACTCAAAGCTGCGATACTCCAACTTCAGCGCCAACCCCACGAACCCCTGGGTCTTGGCAAACCAAGAGGATCACACCATCGACACGCCTCACGAGATTCGGAATTACGTCGTCGCTATTCATGCAGACACCGGCGAAGTCAAGCGCGTTGTTGAGGGCGCTGACTTTTACTACACCCCTCAGTTCAGTGCTGACGGGAAGAGGCTGACCTGGATGGAGTGGGATCAACCCAGTCTTCCATTCGCATCGGCCAAGATCTTCGTTGCCGATTGGACGTCAGAAGCGACAGTCGAGAATGCGGTCTTGGTTGCTGGCGATAATCGAGAGGGCGCAGCTGAGCCTCGATGGGGCCCGGACGGGAGCTTGTTCCTAGGCATTGAGGTTGACGGGTTCCGTAGACTGTTCCGTCTAGCTCCTGGCGCTGAAAAGCCGACACAAATCAAGTTGAGCGGACTGGATGGTGCTGAGATTGGAGAGATTCGATGGTATCAGGGAAGGTTGGTAGACGCGAAAGTTTCTAATTTAGGTGAGGTATCACTAACATCGCCTCAGTCAAACACACGCACCACTTTCGGAACGTTACGTAGCTGCGGCTGCGATAACTTTCGGCGAGGCTCAGCTGATTCTCATCGATCTCGAGAACAATGATTGGAAGCCCATCGGGGCATCGGGCATTTGCGGCATTGTCAACGACGCGATGGCTCGCCTGGACGACGAATCTTTGCTCCTTATTGCGGACGAGGCCGGCTCTCCATCTGCCTTGTACAAGATCGATGTTATCGGTGGGGACACGACAATTCTGCGAGGAACCTCAGACGAAAAGCTGGACGCTGCACTATTTTCAAAGCCAGAGCTTGTGAAGTTCGAGTCGAAGGAGAAACCATCTCGCACAATTTACAGCACCCTGTGGATGCCAAAGAACCCCAAGTTCCTCGGGCCGGAGGGCGCGAGACCTCCCTTGGTCATCTCCTCACATGGTGGACCGACAGGGTACACCGGCTCTGGCCTCAAGCTGCGAACTCAATATTTTACTGCACGTGGCTATGCATATCTTGCATTAAATTATACGGGCTCGACAGGACACGGCAGAGAGTATCGCGAGGCGCTGTTTGGAAAATGGGGCATCGTCGATGCTGATGACGCAGCAGAAGTCGCCAACCACTTGGTTGAAGCAGGCAGAATCGGCAAAGTGGGTATCGTCGGTGCCAGCGCCGGGGGCTACAACGTTCTCCAGGCCCTAGTCCGCCATCCTACGACCTTTGACGCCGGATTCTGCGTCTGCGGTGTGAGTGACGTCAAGAAGCTGGACGAGTCCACGCATAAGCTAGAGTCTGAGTACATGGGGGCGCTTGTTCTGGATCCGGGTATGACGGACGAGCAAAAGGAGGAAAGATATCGTGAGCGAAGCCCCCTCTACCACGCCGACAAGATTGGAGCTCCGCTGTTCCTCCTTCATGGCGTCGCGGATACCGTGGTGCCGATCGAGCAAGCCCGGCTCATCTATAAAGCTGTCAAGGAAAAGGGAGGGGATGTGAGAATCAGGGAGGTCCCAGGCGAGGGTCACATGTTTGGTATGCCTGGGAGCCCTCGTCTTTGGCTAGAGGAAGAGGAGGCTTGGTGGAGATCATACCTGCTCTGATGACTACCTGGAGAAGGCACTTTTTATCAAGCTTCGATGTCACACTCTATTCACTTGAGGAGGGGATAAAAACCGGAGTCAGCATCAGTCTACAAATTCCTAACCTTACTGGAACTAAGCAAAACTCACCTTGCATGCATCAAACTGGCAGAAGATCTGGAAACTAATACCAGTCGTCATCGTCGTCGTCGTCGTCGTCGAGTGACTCTCTACAGATCATCTCAAGATCCCGCTTCTCTTCCTTGAGCCTCTTCTCAGCATCATATCTTGCGGTCTGTCTCTTGAACCAGAGAATACCCCTATTCTCCCGCCGGGGATTGGCTACAAAACGCAAATGAGAAGTGTCGATATTCGGCTGAGTGTGAGGCGGCTCAATCTCAAACGTCTCAGCGTCGTCCGACACAGTGTAATAATACCCAGTAAGCCTCAGCTCGGCACCCTCCTCCTCAGTCAACCCTTCCTCCTCTACTATCTCCCTGAACCATCGGTGCCAGATCTTCAATTTGCTGTGACTGGGATACATACCGTTCAACTTTTTGAAGTTTTCGTCCTCGAGGTGCTTTTTCCAGGCAAGTTGCCGTGCTTCCTTGAAGGATGCGGGAAGGCCGTAGAACTTGACAGAGGAGTATATTCCCTCACCCAAATCGAGACGGACGAATCTTGTTTCCTTGCTGTCAATGATGGGGCGGAGATGCCACTGGTAGTCGTGTTGCTCGTCAAAATTGCGCAAGCACGTCTCTATGATGACCTCGCGAGTGCGACGAAGGAGGCTCTTGATTTCTCTGGCGCGCGTCTTCCAAATGTCGATGCAAGGCTCCTCGCCAGAGCTTCTCAACTCCTGGACAGATGGCAGTCTGAACGAAGTCTCGGCGTAAATGACATCATGCTTATGGTCATAACACTCTTCAATATACGTGCCGGCGGGGTATGAAAACAAAATGTCCTCCCACTTGCGAAACGGAATGAGGTCGACGAGGTTTGTATTCAGCGCAGGGTTCTCTGTCGCAAGTTGATGGAACCCATCGGGACAGGTTTCCAAAGCAACAGTGGGGACCTCGATCGCCTTCCGGTTTCGGCACCTTGTTATCGTCTGCCAGAATGAGTTCCATGGCACCGGGCCACATCCCTGTGTCGGATCACTGGCGAATCGGACATTCCAAGGTGTACCGCGCTGGTCAGCACTCAACACAGTGATGCAAGTGATCAGGTCTCGATATCTTGGCCGGATAAGATGGTTCAAGGCCGTGATAGCCTCATGGCCGCTCAGAAAACTGAAAGTATTCTTGGACCAGAAGAGGGGCGCTGCTTCGGCGTGCACCTGCCTGCTGGTCAACAGTAGCCCGAGTCCCTTACGCTGATCGCAGCGGCACACGGTACTCCTAGGCCAGTAATAACCATCTAGATCCCATATAAGACGGCGAGGCTCCTCAGAAATTACAATGTCTTTGAGCAGGAAAGCGGGGGGCTCTAGGAGTCTAAGACGATCGGAATGCCAGAAGCAGTCAGATTTGTGTTCAATGTCTCTTCTCTTGGGTTCGATGAGGATGAACTCATAGATGAGGCAGCGGATGTCAACTGGGAGCTGACCGAGGCAGAAGAGTCCCTTCCGAGGTTGAATGTATTTTCCAGGCGTAGGGCGAATGTTAAGGGTTAGGGCGGACATGGCGGAAGTGACTTTGCCTGTGTTATCCAGCTTGTTGGGAGAATTCGTCATGATAGAGTCTGTCGAGGCTTGATCGGAGGACAGTAGATGGGTCTCTTGCGACTGAAGTTATGTATTTGAGAGTTCGTTGGGTGTGTTGTGTAGATGTAAAGTGCTTGATAGTGATCTGTTTCACTCAAAAGTAAGTAGCCAGCACCTTCCTTTTCTATCTAAAATTCATGACAATAACGCTCAGTCTTCGAGATCAGCAGACAAAAGACAATGATGAAGAATAGTCGCCATGGCTTTTGTCTTTGCTTGCAGCATCTAAAGCAGTCCTTGGGATGTTCGTGGTTTGTTGGATGAACAATGCCTTGCATGCGTAGTTCTTTGGTCAAGGTCAAAGAATAAATGATACCCGGCTCGCCTTTCGAATGGGGTTCTTTTTGAAGCAGACTACAAGTACATTATTACAGAACGTTGACGAAATAGAATTTCGTGTGTTCCGATAAAGACTGTTCAGTACGAAGGCCTGTAAGGAGATGTTTCTCGTGACAAGCTGCCCAAGAAGCCGCAGTGGAATGCCAAGGATGTGGAGAAATTCTTTGAAGGAAGCCCATGTATGCCGAAGGATCTGCCTTGTTCTGGCTTCATATTAGAGGCACATTACTCGCTTCCTAAATAAATTCGAAGAGCAGTGGCGGTATGCAGGCGAAACGAAGGAGTCGTGGAGACTCGTGTCTTCAGTTGTAAAGCAAATGGCAACAGCTGAACGTTGCATATCAGACCAATGTGCCAGCAATCCGGGTCGGCAATTAAGATGATTGATGTAACTCACCATTATAGTAAGGAGTTCGTCCTGTCCTCAAAGGAAATCGATCACCTCATCCAAACCCCTCATTGCCAACGGTTGCCACCAGACTGCCAGAATCGCGATCGTGTGGGATAGACTAAGACCACTAGCTCCAACAGCCGAATCCGCCACCCTGAGAACAATGGATCCAAGGAGGCAAACATGGCTCTCGCTCCATGCAGAAGAAAAAACCTCAAACGTTCTCCTCTCCTCTCCTCTCCTCTCCGACTTCACCGAGCCTAAGCAGAATTTCTGTCCACTGATATCAAGTAGTCTTACTCCGCAACTGACAAGTCCTTGACCACAATTCTCGATCCACAATGTCGACACGATAACGCTCGAGACCTCGCTTGTGGGTATCGAGCATTCGAGCCGCGATGACATCCCAGCAAGAAATGCTGTAAGCTAAGCCACAATCAGTAGGAGGGGCGTAGGATCAATCGGATGAAAAGAACAAAGCACCAAAGCACCTCCTCACTTCCCATCTCTCGCGCCGACGGGCTGCCCGTTGGCGTCACTTCGAGACAAGGCAGCACAACCGTGCTCCTCGATCTCCTCACGAAAGCGATGTTTCGCGGTCCAGGCTAAGGGAGGGAGAGTTTACCAGTCTCAAGGCTCTGATTCGTCGGGTTGATGCATCCTCTAGCTCGTATCGATGCGATCAACCGCGTCCAGAAAGCAGGGAATCCAACCAAGGATATGTCATAACCGAGCATCATTTCAGCTACTGCGAGCGGTGACTGGGGGAGGGCAATTTGGGGGACTCGGGAAGAAATGTCGAGAAAGAAAAGCTGCATGTTTCCCTCGCTATCCCTCCCTCATCGTGCGTCGGCGGTGCATCTGGTGCTCAGAAGTGTGGCGGGTGTCTCTGGGGTCGATTGGTGTCTCGCATAATGGATGGTCAATCTAGGCCTATCAAACCCCCGGGACAACCCCAGACTCGACGTCACAGACGGCGGACGCACGTCAGCTCACACCACCCTCCTCATCCTTTCCCATCTACGTCATCCCCAGAAACTGCCACAGAACTTAACAATGTATATAGAGCATCAGCCACACCAGAAAGTACAGTCTTGGTTCAGCCAACTCGAAGCAACTCTACTCTGTGAAAACAAGAATCTTCAGATCATCGTGAATCCGAAAAACAGAGTTTTCTTATAATACCACATATTATTCCATCATGCCATCATCAGTAAAGAACCACAGTGCTTCTGTGGAAGGTTAGTCAGCTCTGCAACTCACCTTACCCGCAAAGATTGTCAACTCGAGTTGTTGTGAGGTTGCATCCGTTACTAACACGACTCGTCCCACCAGCCGCAACTCCCCACAAGGTCTCCTCCGCCAAAAAGGCAACGGCCGCTAAGGTCGACGAACGGAAATCGCAAGCGACGCCAAAGAAGGTCTCCTCAGCCACAGCCGCCGCTAAGGACAATGTATCGACCAAAGACCACGCTACCACCACGCCGGTAACAAAGAAGGTCTCTTCCTCCACACACAAGCCCACATCTTCGGCATCGAAGCCTGCAGCATCAGCATCAAAGACTGCATCATCTGCATCGAAACCAGCCACATCCTCCGCACATAGAACCGCGGATCACGCATCCAAGACCGCCTCATCATCCGCACACAGGACAGCCGATCATGCTTCAAAGACAGCCAGTAAGGCTGCCAGCGGCAGCAGTGGCGCAGATCTTGTCAAGAAGATGCAGGAGAAGAAGACTACCCAGTACACAGAGACGACCGGCTCAGATATTGTGAAGAGAATGCAAGCTCGCAAGGCCGCGGCCGCAAAGGAAGCGGCCAGGAAGGAAGCAGCAGCAGCACGGACTCACGAAGACAACCTGCCCAAGAAGAAGCCCGCAGTCGCCGCGGCACCACAGGCTGTATCCAGAGCTCCCGTCATAGTACCCAAGGCTGCGCCAGTCAAGAAGCAGGCCGCCCCTATTCCTGCACCTGCTGTCAAGAACGTCCCTGCCACTACCACCAGCCCCGCCAAGGTCGCGAAGAAGGAGAAGGTCTATGCTCCTGGCGCTCTTGTATCTACCGCTGAGCACGAGGCCCGGAAGGCCAAGGCTGCTACGCCGAAGAAAGAGAAGCAGTATCACCCTAACGCCCTCACTCCCACAAACGATATTGAGGCTCGTCGCGCCGCCAAGAAGGCCCAGGCCGGTGGACCTGTGGGACAGGTCACAGATACCGTCGGCAAGACCGTCGGAGGTGTCGGCAAGACTGCTGGTGGAGTTGTCGGAACTGCTGGCCGGACCGTCGGCGGGGTTGGACGGACTGCCGGTGGCGCTGTTGATGGCGTCGGCAAGGCGGCTGGCGGCACCGTTGACGGCCTTGGTAGAACCGTCGGCGGCGTCACCAGCGGCCTCGGCAAGCAGGTCGGTGGTACCGTCGGAGGTCCCCTCGGCAAAGGCGTCCAGGGCGCCACTGATGGCCTTGGTAAGACTGTTGGTGGTGCCACCAGCGGCGTTGGCAACACTTTGGGCGCCGCTACTGGCGGCTTGAACAAGACGCTGGGCGACACCACTGGTGCTCTCGGCCGTGGGGACTTGATGGGCACCGTCGGCGGTGTCACTGGTGGAGTTGGAGATACTGTTGGAGGCGTCGGCAAGGGATTGGTGCGTCATCATCCAGTACTCGAATGGCTACGTGGGATACCTTGATATTAACATGTTTCCAGGGTGACACTGTCGGCGGAACGCTCGGAGGTGTAGGTGCCACCGTTGGCGGACCGGTTGGTGGCATCGTCGGCGGAGTCGGTAAGGGTGCCGGCGATGCGGTGACCGGTATCACTGGAGGCCTGGGCAAGGGCGTCGGCAGACTTGGCAAGGGTGATGTTCTCGGCGGTGTCGGCGATGTTGTTGGAGGCGTTGGCGATGGGTGAGTAACACCCCTTCCTGCTTCGATCGCGATCAATTTCGCCTTACTAACTTTGGTTCAGTGTTGGCGGCCTTCTCGGCGGTGTTCTCGGTGGTCTCGGAGGCGGAGGTCAGGAGAACAGCGGCGGCCTCCTTGGAGGTGTGCTTGGTGGAGGTGGTGATGGTAAGGACGGCGGTGGCGGCGGTCTTCTTGGTGGTGGTGGCGGCAAGGGTGGCGGTGGTCTTTTGGGACTTTGAGCTGCCATCGATAAGTAACGTGTAACAAGTTGTAACATCATTTGGACGACGAGTACGACGGAAAGGAGATGAGAGATTGTGTAGCACTTCCCGGACGGTTGAAAAACAGGCAACAAATCAAAGTGACTTTTTTTTTTCCAACACAGACCAGCAGCGGTTCACACATTTATACATGCTTGTCCAGTGATTAAAAGTGTTGGACAGCGAACGCATTATAAGCGCATAAATCATCACTCCATATCGTAAGTGAGTGATTGACAGGATTCAAATAGTGGTGACGAGATACAATGAAATCTTAGAAGGGACCAAAGAACATGTCGATTAGTTGCCTGTTTGTAACGAGCTACTAAGGTTGGAAACATTCAACGATATATGAGATCAACGCTTGACTGTGATTCCCATTTTCACTTCAAGCATAGGTGCCATCATGCTCGGGCTGTTGATGACCCCTCTCCTACCGATCCCATGGACGTGGAGATCCCTTAGCCACTCGGTTGTCCTCTAGACTAAGGTAAGACACGCATCATCCCATGGCCCGCATAGTCTCCGAGGTCTAGATTTCAATGGACCCCTCACTTCTCAAAAATTGGCGTGAAATTGTTATTCATTCCAGTCGCACGGCACCTCAGCACGTGTCAAGCCTTTGATACCTGCCATGGCCAATTCGAAATAGTGCAAAGTGAGTGGTCGAAATAAGACATGGGCGTTTCACTGCAAACCCTGCTTGCCCAAGTGTAGACGAGGAATATTTGACACAACGACGAGATAGATTGAATAATCAAGGAGTACGAGATGTGGTGTGGAGATATCACCTTGTCTAGCGATTGATGTGAACCGTGATCCATTGATTTCATGTGTCCTTAACAACTGACCTGATGTTCTCATATAAGCAATCGAGATTCGGTATTTGCAAGGGAGTTTGCGCTGGCTATTGTATCGAGTCACTTCAAGGCAACATTTAGTCTTTCATGCAAAGGAAAGCCCATGCCAAATAATCCCCCAGCGGAAGACAGTATCTGGAGTAATATCAGTGTGGAGCCTTATTAGACTGAAGATGATTTAGATCCCACAAGGCCAGTCTGCTTTGAGTCGAGCACATATGTAATCTTTCATCCCATTACCCAGGCGTCATTGCTCAGGTGAGTTTATCACGTAGACCTTCAACCCTGGGAAAGGGCCCGAATCTGCGAAAGCTTGTGTAAACAAGTAATGTGATATTAGAATTACGAAATAGGTGGCGTTGTGGGATCAACACCCTTTTACACTAGTTATAACACGTCGATACTTCTGCATCCCTGGTTTTGAAAGATGCTTTCTAGTTCTTGTCCTCGGGGCAGTCCTTCTTGTAGTCGTCGCCGAGCTGGCCACGGACGGCGCCAGGAACGGCAAGGCTGGAGTGGACATCGGTGAAGAATCCCTCGGGGTTCTCCTCAATTTGGCTGACCTTGAAGCCTGAGCCAGTGTCGACACCGGAAGCGTTGACGCCAGTGACGAAGGGGCCGGTCAAGCAACCGACACTGCGGCGGACGTTCTGGTATCCCTCGACGGCAACCGGGTTAGGGAAAGCGATGCTGTTGAGTGGTTAGTTTAGTGTTCCAACTCTCTTGGAGGAGTTCAAGGTGAACCTACCGGGGGGGGCCAGCCTTGCCCTTCTCTGCCTGGTGGATGTGGGTTGCCGTGCGAGCGGGGGACTGGTACTCGCCCTGGAAGTTGACCAGGGTGATGTTGTAGCAGATGACATTCTCCTTAGAGTTGATGCCGTAGTTGAAGTAGCCGATGGCTCCGGCCAGTCCACCAGTGAAGGTGTTGTTGTTGTCGACGACCTGGTCAGGTGTGGCGATCACGTCGTAGGTCGAGGTGAAGTGGAAGGGGCCAGAAGAGCCCCAGCTGCCTTTGCCTCCCTTCTTGGTCCAGCCGACAGCGTGCTTGATCTCCTCGACAATGGGAGCGGCGGAGGCAGCAGTGGCCAGAGCAAGGGGGATGATAGCGAACTTCATTGTGATGGGAGGGGAGATAGTGAGTGACTGGGGATGAATGTACAGTTGGGTTGATAGATACTGGAAGAGGTGGATGAGGATGAGATGGTGTGATACAGATCGGAACTTGATGCTAATGAGGGAACTTTCATCTCTGTATATGTAGTAAACCTCGATATCCAGCTACAGCCTACACCTCAGGTGCATCTTCGGCAAGTACGGTCATTTCCCCTCAATTCCACAGCGCCTCTACACTCACTTGCATCACTGCTACGGCCTGGTGATGTGTTCGCTCAGCCAAGAACCGGAGGAACGATCAAGCGCTTTACGCCGGCGCCATTACCGCGGTCTGGGCTGTCGTGATGAATGGGCCAAGGGAATTGAGATTGCGGTGTTTGCCTCCCGTTCTCCCGTAGTCGCCGCGGCGCAGCAAATCGTCGAAAGTTGGAAGCTCCTTGGCACATTTTCCTAATCCGGGGAACATCGAATACCAGAAGCACGGTTATGACGCCGCCGATCACTTGGGACTCGGCAGCGGAAGCGCGACTTGCCGTCCACAAGTAAACCAAGTGGGAGAGTTTATGTCTTGTTTAGGTTCGTCCGGTAGCGTCAATATTTCGAGGCAAGCTCCTTGGCGGTTGCTTGGCCCTCTCCCCCAAATATGCTCACCGCGACGCGCCGGATCGTTTGCCAATGCAGCCCAACAGAGAATCTGACGTGGGAAACACTTGGCTTTCACGGCTTGCTACTACGGACATTTGAAAACCAATACTCCGCTGGCAGTTTTGGCGATCTTTTCCATCCCACCCGCGCCAGAACACAGCCCGTTTTGGGCGCTCTATCAGGAATCAATTGCTGGGCATCTTCCGGAAAGCCTCACATCCGGCGGAATATCGTCTAAAGCTAGGTAAGATGCTTTTTGTGCCTTTTTTTCTTCTTCTCCCTACCAAGTTCAAGTCAACCCATGTTTTCGCTCGGCATTTGCAAGAATGACACCGGCGCTGTTGTTGGATCAGCAATAGTCTTGGCGATGAGGCAGAGCCAATAAAGTGAGACTTGTCTGACATCGCTTGGAGCACGTTATTTCTGTGGTATGAAATCGCATGTTTCTTGCCCTTCAACTAGACTCGACACCCACTAAGTTGCATTGCAAACGTTGTAGGGGAAAACAGGTTCTTGACAGTCGACTGACTATATTGTAGTGGTCTTCGATGAGTCAAGTACAGCTTCCTCGCTAAGCTCCACGCAGATGTTCAATGAATATTCAAAGAACGAGCAGCTGAAAACCATTTGCCTTGCATGTTTACATCCAACAAAAACATCAAGCCATGCAACTACGATTATTCGAAAGCGCATGCGCGCTCGGTCTTCGTCGTATGCACGAACTAGAAGATCGGCAACGTTATTGATAGGAAACAGCCACAGCACTGAAATACGTGAAATTGTCAATGGAGCGAACACATGCTCTGTTGAGGCCGTACAAGGAGAGAAAGTCCATTCTGCTTCATGGGTAAGACTCTCAGCAGCTAGCTGGTCACTAATTGGCGCTTTGGAAAACCATCTCAAACACGCAAGATCGACAGAACATGAAGATATCTAGGCCGTATTGGCATCACTACGCTTCTAGCATTTATGCACCTGTCTACATCTCAGACTACGACTCGAGGAACGAAGAATGCTGACCGCACGTGGTAATGTCGTTGACCAGCTTATCAAGCTCTTTTTTTCTACAGTCATTAGATGTGAGCTTTCATGGCTCGGGCGACAATCGCGGCAAACAAGTCTGACCTACGACGAAAGACGCAGAACAGCCGCAGATGATGTTCCAGTCTTCATCGCCGTACGTCTCAGTTGAGATGCGCTTAGTTCAATCCCAGACAGCTGTGTCGATCTCGGAGGATGATTCAGTTCAGCAGACAGTTGCTCGGTTTCGTTGTGCCCAAAACAGACAACGTCATCCTTGGGCAGTGGTAGGGATGCCGTTGCCAAAATTTGGTTGCTGACCGCAGCCATCAATTGGTCGCTGAAGAGATAGAACTCACGTTTGTGAAGAGCTGAGACCACTGCTGGCTAGTATGAGTTCTCATTTACATGCTCCTTATTTCTCTGCCTCTGCGTCGCTGCATATCTCCCTGGGCACGAGGACAAGCTATTTTGCACAAGGCTATGGAGCTTTAACCTCCGAGGGGAGGGTTTCGCCTGGGGCTCCTGCTAATAAAAGGGGTTCTGATCCCGAAGAGTTCTGCTTTCAAGCGAGGAGTATCACCAGTGCGCTTATCAGCGCATAACAATTGCGTCGATGAAGGTTTGCTCACCCCTTTTCTGGTTTTTGGCTACTCAGTCGGACGACCAGTTGCAAGGAAACACCAGCGGAAGTTTCGGACCTCGAAATCCGTCAGTAAACAAGCTTTTTAAAAGGGGCTGATCACGGGCTTGGATACAGGGGGTATCCAAGACTTCCAGATGAAATGCTGAGGCTTGACAAGTTGCAATAAGTTGAACCTCCACAATAAAGATCTTCAGGGACGGGGAAAAGATTCGTGAACTTGCCGATTATATGGGGTAATCATGATTCGTTTTATTAACATCATGCTCAACATGCCCAGTGAAAATCCGCGGAGTGGAAGCACGAGCCACATCATAAACTCTACGATATTGAAAGTCTTCTCAGAATGCTAGAATCCAGCACGAAAAGCTCGCGATGGGTTCGTAGCTTTCATCTAGCGTGCCGTTCATCCGATGTTCGAGCGAGTCACAGGGAATCTCATCTCCACGGGTTCCGGGCAAGTTTTGCGGACTCTAGACCCCGCCTCAAGATATAAAGACTGTTTGCCAAGCCCTTATGTCGAGATAGCTCCTACGCAATCAGCATTCCTATCTCATCACTTCAATTACAAATTTCCGAAAAATGTTCTCTTCACTATACTCTACGCTTTTGGCATTCGCGGGTATTGCTGCTGCTGCCTCGCTCGAACCCACCGCAACTCAAAGCGAATGCACGACAACAATAACGGTTCTCGATCCCGGCTTCACTGGCGACTACCAGCCAACGAGCACTATCACAATCTACAACCAGACAGTCACAATTGGAAAGCCTACAGACTGCCACGGCTGCAACCACGTCACAACTACCGTGGAGCCGGCGCCTTGGTGGGGTGGGATCGGCCCGCAGATCGAGAAGGTTATCTATGTCCACGCAACGACACCAACTACAATCACATCTCCCGTTTGTGAGACATCAATACCTTCTTCTACGAAAGCCCCATAGCCCTGGAAGTAGTATATGAGCAGGTTTCTTGAAAGAGTTCCCATGAGATTGTATTTTTGAAGTTATGGTATTGGGTTCTGGGTCGGTCACATGTTCACACTTAGAAGAATCAAGAATTCAACAAGGAAATAATAGCCTGTGTTCGAATTCCAATATCCTGTCTAGCCTATTCACGTCTGTAGCCTAGTAGGCATACGGTACCATCAAGTGACTTGAGCTTCCAAAAGACCTCCGATGAAAGAACGCGGAGACTCAAAAATAAAGAAAACAAAAATCAGAACTGGTGCTATTCAATCAGCTGCCCTCTTCATATTAATGGATGACGATGGGCTAGATACACTTCTTGAAATCATGTTGCCACGCGATGATCCTAGTTTCCCGACACGGTATAGACGGTAAACGCTTCTGATATCGTTTAGACAACGCCATGGCCTTCTCAGATCCCACTTTCATCAGTCTCATCTTTCTGAGGTCTTGTAATTTCGATAGAGTACACGTTTACTTTGAACCTAGCATTCTCACTCCAATCGCCATACTGCAGGTAAAACTCCTCATCACTTACTTGAAAAGTCCTTTTAGGTGGACTTGACAAGCCTAAGCCTGGGCTCCGAGAAGGATAGTGATGTTTCACTAGATCTTGTCTGCTGATGTTTTCGTAGAAGAAACCGCCTGGCGTTCCTGTTCCTGTGAAGGAGTCACGCAACTCCCAGACGCCTGGACCTCGGTCATCGTCATCCGAGATGCGTACAACGTCTTCGTAGGTCTTGGTCGGAATGTTGGGGATCTTGTCTTTGGGATAACCGTGGGCTATTAGTAAAGCATCGCCGATCCGGATGCGGTCATGACGACTAGGATATTTTTCCCTTTCGTCCCACCGTCTCCTTGACTCCTTCTCTCTGGCAAAGCGTGCCAACTCTTCCTGACTTGGCGCGGTCGGATTGATAAGTCCAGTCATGTCTGTTTCGATTTTGTCAACGCGGGATATAGAGAGACGCCTGACTGGCGGCTATTCAGGCCATTGTCCATGAGAATTTTCCATGTAGTATGTGTACACCGCGTAGGGACCCGGAGGGAGCCACTCGCGGGGGATATCGCGTCGGATAAGTCTGAAACCAGTAATCTCCCGGCTAGCTTCTTTCTCGTCCTCGGAAGGTTCCTCCATCTTCGTAGCAGGGTTCGAGAGGTCTTCCGGGGGTGAGTCTGACCTCGGCATTGCGAGACGCCAGTCAGGTCTCACCACTGCAAGCCGCCCATAGCCAACTCGATGCTCTGCCGTAGTGTTTTGCCCGGCACCAAAATCCCCGTCAGCCCTGTAGATTCTCGTGGCACTCATGTAAGCTGCACCGTTCTCCCTGTTGATTGCCGCATTTTGCCTTTCTCTCTCGATTTTGTCGGTCAGGCTTGGAATCCACTTCGTCTCTCCATGTAGACGGTCGATGTAGATGGGGCGCCCGTCATGGGCCATTTTTCTGAAGATCACACGAGCATCGAAGGAAGGCAAGTTTATCAATCTTTCCCTCAAGTAACTGTCGGCATCGATAGGGCTTCCAGCTGTAATTTGAGGTGGAAATGTACCGTATTGAAAGGTTCGCTTTTCATATGAAAGTGACCACGTAGTGAAGCCTTCGGGGTCTGCTTTCTTATAGCAGTCTGTGCATATGTTTCTGGTGTCCAACCGGCTCATGGGAGGCCGGAATGGTCCAGTCTCAGGAGCGTTTATCTCTCGCTCAAACATCGGATGTTCAGGCACGAGGCTAATTTCCCGTGCTTCCTGTACAGCCATCTCTGTGAAGAAGCTCAAAAATCTCGGTAGCTTGAGGTCATCCCCTGCCTTCGGGCGACTAGAAAGACATTTGCACTTCCCGGTGCTGTCGACAAGACAATTGAGGTACTCGGCAGTACCGGGGATGGGGCCTGCCGGGCCAGTCGGCCACATGTTGCGATCGTTCGATGACATGATATCGTACTCAAGAGTGCGGCGGAGGCACTACATGGGCCTTGGATACAAGTTTGCAGATGTGTCGTACTCTTGTAGAAAATGAAATGTATGGGAACACTCGCCCTTAAGCACTGCGGTGGAGGGAGGCAAACTTGAAAGAGGATGGCGGTGTTACCGAGGTCACCCGACCTGTCAAGGGCGAGGATGGTGACTGGCCCAATTCTGGCAGGTAGTAATATAGGAGACACAGCCGATGGCGTTCCCAAAACTGGCACTGTACCGCTGCAAAGTCAGCTGCATTCAAAGCCGCCTATTTTGGCATCATGTTTTTTTTTCTAATACAGTGACCAGACTGCTTCGTACCTATCAGCATCTTGTAATTGTTCGGGATCAAAGGAACAAAGGAGATATTGAGGTTTGACTACTTGACCGGAGTGAAACCGGGTGAATCAGACCTGTTCAAGAATCAATCAATTCTGTATCACGAAATTCGGATGTTGGTTTGACTCGCTTACAGTACATGAGCATACCCTGACAGTTGATTAGCTTCTGGGTTTGAGACTGCGCCCCTCTGCAGGCTGACTTCCAGACTCTCCGCCTCAGGCTGTTTCCCAACAGCTGCGTATGTCTGGCAACCAGATGATAGATCTACAAACGTTAAGGTCCAGGATTGTCTTGCCTCTGCAGCTGTCATTGCTCGGCCTTTGCCTTGACAAACCACTGGTCCATATTGCCCGTGCCATCCTACACTTTACCTGATTTATTTCCGAGTGTGCCATTGAGCACAGCCTGTTCTCAGATCGCACGTAAATGCAAGTGCCTATGCAAAGGTCGGCACGGTCATGCGAGGGGCCAATATCACAACCTGCACAGCTACCCAAGGAAGAGACGGTAGAAGCCCAACTCACTATACGTACCACCTATCTCGCGGAAGGAAAGGCGCCTCGTGGACCCACGAGGCTCTGGCCAGAAGCCGGATTGTACATAATTGATGCTAGTTAAAGCCTGGCTTTGCCACCGTAGACATGAACCCAACAGCACCAATGCAACATTGGCAAACTCTTTCGTCTGTAGACTTATTACCGTACAAGCACAGAAGTTGACAATTCTGAGCAGTGCTGCCTAGCAACATGATCTTTTGTCAAGTCACGATACGAGTGAGCCCAACCAGAGACTATCACACTAGTCCAGACCGACAACTTTGATTATGAATCTGACTATCGAGCTACCAAATTTACCTCCGTGGGCGCAACAACTTGTCGGGATCCTTCCTCTTACGGCCTTCATTGAATTCATCGAGGAAGCTGCCAAACTCCATGTATTTGAGCTATCAGGGCTTACGCCTACATGGTGTTGGCCAATCTCGCCAAAGGGCGCTCGTCTGTTACTCTCCACAGATGATACCACAAACGCATGCTGTCTCGATCGACCAGGTGCAGTGCCTACACTCCACTGCATGGCCACAAAGTTTGGAGATCACTACCCTAGCGCAGCAGCCGCAACAACGAGGCTATTCTTAAGGAGTCAAAAAATCGACGTCAAGGTTGAGAACAGCTTTGTGGCCCTTGGGGATCGAACTCGGCAGCAAAAACTCTATGTGTATGTAGTGGAAGATGAAACGTCCGATGGTCCGTACGGCCCGATCCGTCGTCTCATCGACGTATTATGGGGCCCAGTCTCTTTACATTATGCTCTCGTCAGCTTGTCTGGATGGATCTTGTGGACAGCGGGAATTGCCTGTTCACTGCTTTCGGGCACATTTTATGGGATGATATACTTGCTTCTCATGCCGGTATCAGGACACTTCATCGGCCAATTGTTTGGAACCGCGCCTCGCAGTCTTAAACCTGGTAGACACAATGGAAACATATCGAACAGGCTCATTGTGTCAACCAGTAGTCTCAATGGTCAGGACTGGAACGCCTTCATTGGATCGAGAAACTCTGTCAATGCTCTTTTGAATAGGCCACTTCAGCGCAAGTTAAGCCCCAGACGGCCAAACCTCTTTCGCTGGATACTTCGATACACAATCATGGCACAATGGGCTATAGTTATCATCGCATCTACACTCCAAGGCTGGGATGCCGCCGTCGTCACGTTTTGGACCGCATTCTGCTCATTATCAGTGACGTATCTCTACTCATCCGAGGATGCGGCCTCAGACTGGCTCAAACATCAGTGCCGAGTGAAGTTGAAGTGCGTTCGGGCGAATCTGGGAACACGGAGGTCCTTACTGGGAGCGCTTGTGTATCTCAATCCAGACCAAGAGTCTACCGACTGGATGAATCCTATTCTGGCGAGAAGCAGCTTGCGTGAAAAATGGGAGAGATCCCTCCTCGAGTATATCCGCTCGGGTAGTGTTCGCTTGGAGGACGAGAAAGAATATTGGGTGACATTCATCAAGGAGGGAGCGGAGGTGGGAAAGAATATCGCTGATGCGATTGCAATGCTGCAGGATCGTCCTTTGTCACGAGAGAAGTGCTAATGACAACATTGTGGTTTCGTATTTGACGAAAGAACTTTCCAGCGGAGCCCTCGAGCAGCTTTATGCCTTGGCTGTGGTAAGTGTGAGTTGAAACGAGAAGGAATCTTTGTACTTTAATCAGAGGGTATCTAATACAAGGCAGTCTAGAAAGACCGCCTTAAGGATAGTTATATCACAAAATTCGATGACTTCGGGCAACCCGAATGAATCGCGGACAGGTCCTCATGCCCAAAGCTCACATTTGGGAGAGTTTCCTATGCCCCCACCTTCATGGCCATTTCCATGTACCCTTCTCTCTGCTAGGAGGGTCACTCGAAATGCTTCAGTCCCTTTGCATCCATCCTCTGCCCCATCCATGCTGTACGGTCTGATTCTGCGTTGTTGGAACAACATTTGCCACTCCTGTGACACTGCCGTCGGCGCTCTGCGAGACATCTGCCTCTGAAATCGTAGATATTCCCAGTCCCGATGATCGCATCGTACTCGAATCTGGGGACACCGGCGAGACCACTGAGTAGAGCGTATTCCGAGTCCCTGTATCAGTAACCGGAGAGACGTATGCCGGGGGAGGTGAATTCGTCGTGGCGGTTGGGTCGTAGTTGTCAGCTGGCAGCTCACTTAGCTGGGTCGGGGGATCAGGGTCCAGCTCCGCGACATGTCGATGGACGCCGGTGGCCCCGCTGGCAGCAACGGCTGCTGCTGGGTCGAGCTCGGATATCGGTCGTGGATCGAGTTCGGACATTGGCCTTGACTCTCCGCTCAGTTCCGATTTGTATGCATACATCTCGCTTTGCTCTGGTCGTGACTTGGTACTACCCAGAACAGCTGCACCTAAGGCTCCTCCCGCGGCTGTGGCTCCCATCTCCGGTCCAACGTTTGCATTCGATGACATTGCTGCGGCGTCGGCTAATTTCTTTTGACGATATTTCATGAAGAACTTGTACCCGATGAACATCAGAAGAAGAACGGCAAGAATGATACCAATCGCAAGTCCAGCTTTCGCGCCATCATCCATACCGCTTCCACTGTCGGGTGTCGATGTTGTTGTCACAGTCGCTGTAGTCATACCTCCAGACCCAGTGCTCGTGGTAGTAACCACGGTTGAAGATGATGTTGTTGTTGATGTAGATGTGGCGGCGGTCGGGACAGCTCCGGTCACGTAACAGTTCCGGATCTGATTAAAGATGGAACTATACTGTGTACAGCTGGCTTCGAGCTTGGTGATGTCGTCGAGATCGTCGCTGTACCAAGAAGACATTCGACTCCTGAATGAGGCATAGGTGACGGAGAGTTCTAAGCCTGAGAGTGTAGACGTATAATCGCAAGCCGTAGCTCCCCATGACATTGACGTTGTTGGCGCATTATCCAGGACGTCGGCTAGGTCCTCAGCGCATTCTGTATTCTGACGTCGGATCTGTTGTGAGCGGGCGTAGATGTCCGGCCGAGCCGATACCGGTCCGGCAGCCGTCAGTAGGCCGGCCAGGAGGCCTAGGGCGGAAGCAAGTTCGGAACGCATCGGGGCGGACGCTAGGAGTCTAGTTATCAGATGGGGTTTCAAAATTAAGAGCCCATGCGTCCACGCGGTCTGGGGAAGTGCGGGACGGCGGGCATTTGTGTTTAGATTCAGACCAGAGATATTCCACCGTCGACGGATTGATCCAGAGACAGCGTGATCAAGAAACGGGACCACGCGGCCATTGGAACCCCGGCAATCTATCCAACGAATACACTACGTCAACAACACCCGTCACATTCCGTGATTTTCGCTTTCCCCTCCTGCAAAAAGTCTGCACTATCGCAACTCCACAGTCCATACTGCCTTGTAATCCACCGCCGGATGGGGATTATCATCACTCGGCCACTGCTAATTATATAGAGGTGCAGCTGCCAAGAATGAGCGGACCAACAGCAACGGTTCGTCCCAATGGGCCAAGAACGGTCCAGCCTGGGATCTCAGCCACGGTGATTGCGCTGAACAGGGCTGTGTTGGAGGTGATCAACAAGAATTCGAGACACCAAGTTACCCAACATGTGGGGAGGCGTTGTTTCTCTCGGGTTCATCCAATTGGATCGGGATCATCTTTTAGATGAAACACGATGGGTTAATCCGCGTTCGCCCTACTCCGTACTGCTTGTTGAGCGGACGAGTCTTTGGTATTTGAGAACCGGCAGCAGGCCGGTAGTGGAGTTATTGGGGGAGATTTGATGTGGATGGTTTAGGTTGTATCCTGATTGGAGCTTCGCTACCAAGGTTTCTTTTGACTTTTTCTTACTTCGATTGCTCCGGTCGCTAGCTGGGTTGACAGCTCTACCGGTACTGGAGCGGGGTCGCCAGCCGTAGTCGAGTAAGGTTACGAAGCTGATCCCCGTCATGGCACCAATAACAAATCAATTTGGTCAGTTTACGCGACCTTAGTGAATCATGAGCTTGATCAGATGAAGAGCAGATTCTGTCTGGACGAGCCGTAAAGAGACACGCCACCGTGACGTACCAGGGCTATGGGAAATGGGGTGACTGAGGCTGGGCCTAGGAAAAAGCATCCAGAAACATTCTTGGCGTTGAGGCCGTGGGACTGTCCAAATGAAGGGCGGGTATGAATCTGCCTGGAACAATGAACTCCGTCTGAATCTACCGCAAGAGAAAGAAAACTCCGAGAGCAATCTGATCTAATCGGCAAGATCATAGCTCTGGTTGATGTTGCACAGTTCACACATTACCATGTCTCTCTTCATTCTCTATATCTGTAACGCGCACTTCTGGAACTGATATCCTCTAGAATATCCTAGTGAGAGGCAAATCGATCTCTTCCAGGCTTCGAGCGCCTCTAATGTAATTAGAACTCCGACAGTTTGGCAGACCGCCGTGTTTCCTAACTATGTTCGGTATATTTGGGTCAGTGGCCCGCCCCCCTGGCATAGTTTCGCCCTGCACATAGGGCACTAAAATGAATCCGCGATTCATGACCAGCAGACGAGGAACCTTATGAGGCGGCTTTTTTGGGGGTCAGTCTCAACCCCAAATTCCCAAAGAGAAGATTGACAGGGCACACAGGTGGGCCATCAAGGGGCAGAGCTGTCCGCTCATGTCCGCTAAAGTGGTGGATTAAACCTAGCACAGGGGAAAGGCAATTAAGCTCAATTTAACCTCGTCGTGTCCGTGGAACGAAAACGAACAAGAGTCTTGTGACAAGTGATGATGAGATAATAAGAGATCTAAATGGTATCAAATGCTGGTCCAAGGAAATTGACAAAAAAATAAATAAAGGAAAGATCGGCCGACTCATCAAAGCCGTCATAATATCTCGCCGGCGCATCCGTGACCACCTCTCAAGTTGTTACCCCCAGCCGGAGCGCCGACATGGAGGTGTCAGCCACACACACAACTCCCGCGTCCTGCTCTCCAAGCTCCTCGGCGCACACACCAGTGCAGCCAAGCTCAAGCCCCTCCCTACAGATTCCCCATCGTGAACCTGGTAGTCTTTTCACTCGTTGATGCGATGTTGCCAAACTTCTTGCTCAGCCCTTGCGCTGTAGGTGCTCGCGCCCAGAATGGCTCTCATCTGGTCGACGCCCAGAAACATGACTTGGCGCGCAACGAACCAGCGGATGCCCTCGTGGCAGGGCGGACTAGTCAAGCTGCCGCGGTAGGTCCAGAACTCGTTGAACTGTAGCACGCTGTTCAACGCCGGCATGTGGTCAACCTCGATCTCCTGCTGGACGCCGACATCGTTGAAGCCGATCATGGGCGGCAGCTGGTCGAAGAAGGTGTTGTTAGCGTTGCCGGGGTCAAGTCGGATCGCCAGTACGGCCTTCTCGTGGCCCTCCTCGTCGACGTGGACGAGGTGCAGCTCCGCCTTGGACCTGTCGCCGTTAACCGAGTGGTCGGCGGGCGAGTGGATGTGCCAGCCTTTGAGGTAGAGCTTCATGTCATCGTAGGTGAAGGACGGGTTGCCGGTATAGACACCTTCCGGGTGCGTGACAGTGAAGGCGGGGCCGTAGCCCCAGTTATAGAAGTTGCCCGCCGTCTGATTGGGGTAGTTGAACCGGAGGATGTGGTTCAGCGCCAGTCCGTTGTTGAGGCTGAGCGCAATGGGCGATTGCTGCGTGCCGGTCTGGCACAAGGTGTAGTCTGATGCTGGCGTCAGTACATGTACTTCCAGTCCAGACCATCAAGGACGATCATTTGGCACGAATACAACTTTAACTTACTTGGATTGAGGCGGCCCCAATTGAACGAGGCCTCATAGGCCCAGTCTGCAGCCGGCAACGGAGCCATCTCTGCACGCTTCCTGTCTGCCATGGCATAGTGGTTCTGGTGTCCCGCACAAGCGAGGACATCAGACGCCATGAGCAGCGCGCCAAGGAATACCGTTGTGATCATTGTGATAGCGGGATCTGGAGAAACTAGCTGCGATTTGTGACAGATCTTCGATCGTGACCTATTTACCGTGAGGGCCTCGTCAAGCTTTATACTCTATTACACGGCAGCGAACTGCGGGGCGAAGCACGGAAATCCTCCTGGTCGGCCTGTATAACCTTATGGAAGGGGGTTCATTTCCGCCTCCCGTATGCAGTGTAGCCGGCCTCGAGAAATCCTCCGAGGTGGGAAGGTCGAGAACCTCGAGATGCATGACTGGTAGAACGTTGTAGCCGCCGGAGCCAAGACCTGCTAAGAAAAAGTAAAGGCAAGGGAGCACTGCTTTAACGTCAGATTCTGAACCCATGATGCCGCGTTTTCCATGATGCTTGGCGCGCAGGACACTCTCTGGGCGCGCCGTATTAGAGATGCGCTGGAAATGATGGGCAGAATCAACGCATCAACCCGAGTACAGGGTAAACTTTGCGTCGTTATACCGCTGGCTTTGCGTGAACCCCTCCCTAAGGTACCACTATTATCGCTGTTTTGTCCGTAAATTGCCCGTATTATTAGCCTTTCTTTATCAATCATATCCCGCAAGCTCGGGGCAGAGATGGGACGGTGGCGTAAAATTACAGGATGCGTTAGCTCTGATGGACAGGTCAACCTGGGCACGGCTGGGCACGGCTGGGTGAGATGCGCCCTACTGGTGGCTAAGTCCTTCCTTTCTACAGGTTTTTGCACTTGGCGGCGAGGCCGTTGTGTACCTTCGTGTGGCTTGGCTGACGCCTCATCGAACGTGTTTGTGTTTCTACCAAGACTCCGAGGCGGGGAACCTCACCCATTTGCCCTCAATCCTTTGGTCGAGCCCTGGGTCACGGCACTTGGGAGGGCGCTTGGTCCAAGATTCGTCCGTACTCACGGTATGTTTCTCATCCTCCGCTATCTTGGCCCTAGGCAGAGACAGCAGCAGGGAACAGAGTAAAAAGCGTTTGGTCCGAGCACGTGGTCAGAATGCCGATGCGGCTTCCTCCGAAAACACAAAGTCTAGACTCGTACAAGACTTAGACCACTTATGTGAGATCTCATTTGGATGTGAATGGAGGCTGGTTAATATCTGATCGTGAATTAATTCGTGGAAATCCTGTGTGCCAAGAACTACTGCAAGAGTGTGGGCGGCCATGCGAGACATGAGCAATCTGAGACTGGCACTAGTTCTCCGGAGGAGGCCCAGCCAGAGGGAGGCTCAACATCGCTTCCAACTTCCTGCCACACGGTAACTGGGAAATGATACTGTTGATAGGCTATGCTTCAACGAGTCGACGACAGTGAAACGCCGGTGGTCGTGTTTGCTCTGGCCGTGAAATGGATACAAGCCATCTTAAGCGAGTGTAGCTTCACTCAATTTTACCGACATAGAGTCTTACCTTGGGGGCGACGATGACTAGGGATAATAAGAAGACTCGTCGGAGTAGAATGAGCTACTTCCGGCATCTAAAAACGACTTTCTTGTGTAAGTCAAGTCTCTCATGGCTGATGAACACAAACGAGATCAAGTAAGTTGTCAGCGGTGGAAAAGACACTATGTTAGAACTCAGTCCATAGAATTACCTGTTTCTTGAAGGATCTCAGGACAAGCATCGCATAGGTAGTCATTATGAGGCCACTTGGCAGAATCTCCAACTGAATCTGTAGTCACGATAGTCAGGCTTTGGAGTCCCGATATGTGGCCCTGATGTATCCTGACCAATGGCTGTGTCTAAGTTACATGAATGTGTATGTATCAAAGAGTGGTATTAGAACCGACGGAGTTGCCATGGTGTCATGTAAACGACATTCATCCACGCCACATCATTGTCAAGGTGAGAGAAGCAAAACAAAATGCTTCTGCGGGAGGTGAAAACCAGGAGATACCAGGCACAGAGATGGATTATATACCAGAATATCAGAAATCGTATAGATCTCTATGGGTTTAAGGCGAACGAAAAAGCCAGCCAAGTGGTTGATACTTAAAATATTTATGAACAAGGCGAAATTCTGAGGCATCGCGGTAAGACTGAGCAAGTTGCCTAAGCGAGAAATTGTGAGCATCATGGGACCTGGCGCCGTGTCAGATCGCAACCTTGTAGGCCACATAGGTGGGCTAATGTTCAATCGAAGCTTCGGTAAGTGTTAGGATAAGACTGTGCTGACTTCCTTCGCTATCAAGGTGTTGGCCACTGAGTTTTCCACATTTCTCTACTCCATCGAATTGCACATCCATCTTTCCCGTTTACATCAACATTAGCCACCGCGGAACATCAATACAGGGTGAGGATATCCAAACCTTCATACAATATTTGACGTTCTCTCAAGTACCTATGCGGTGCAAGAAAGGTAGATGTGGTCGTAGGAAAGGAAGCTAACAAGAGGCAGATCAGCCACACCAAGGAAATCTTCACGTCACAGCTGTCAAGAGAATTTCGTTGAGGAAACAAAATGGACTCACGCTGGGCTCTCACAGAAGAATGGTCCAAAGAGCAGGGCAACTTCACCATTTGGGACCAGGAATCCGACGACGCTGAAGCCCAATTCATCTACATCACACCAACTACCGAAAACGACGCAAGCCTCGAGAAAGACACCGCAGTTTCCCACATAGGACGCCGACAAGAGCTCGAGCCAGGCGTATCTCCAGAACAAGCAGATTTCGACGATGTCAAAAGGCCTTACAGGTGCGATGAGTCGAATCTTGCACCGGTCGAAGTATGCAAGATCCTCCTTTGGGAAGTTCAGCCTGCACTGGCACGGTACACGACAAAGAAGAAGCCGCGTCGGTACTGCCTTGACCACGAGAAAGGCAAGTGCTGTATCGGCCACCGAATAGGCCCCGCGCAGAGGGCAAACACCAGACAAGGAACATTTCCACGTTTGGGTGAGGCCTTGACGAAGCTTATCTACTTCTGTACGAATACGCATAGGATGAATGGGATGACTTCTGGCGAATGTAGGGTGACAGTGTATGGTATCGATGGTACTGCGTGGGTTGATAATGGGTTCATCGCTGATCCAGTGAAGGATACTTGAGGAAGGATTCTCCGCTTCACCGTGAGCCAGTCGGGGTGTCTGGAGTTTAGAAGGGGATGGTCGCGTGCGAGCGAGTAACGATACGGTTTCTTGCCATTGACACACCAGGCGGCGGCGTATGTCCTTCGGGAACAATTGAATGAAGGACAGAAGACGAGGACTAGCTGAAAACAGTCATCACTCCCCACGTTGAAAACAGAATGTGTCTATTGGAATACTCAGTCAATTATAATCAATCACTACAAAGAACTCAGCATCCCCGTCCCATCATGACACCCAATGTACTCAAAGACCTGCTGCTCAGGCTCCAGAACCAGAACCTCATGAAATAATGCCAAGGACATTTGATCCCCCAATCTCTTGGCATACTTTGCGAACTCGGCGAAGATGGCTAGGTGCGTTCTGTGCTCTTTACTCCAACGCTCCAGCGAGGCGAGATTATCAAAGTACGCCAGCCCGAAAGTCCGATCATGCCCGCCCTTGGCCGTCACGGGGTCGACGATCTCCATGAAGCGGCAGCTGAAGCAGCCGGCCTCGTCACCATGGTCGCGAAGGTATTCCATTCCTCTGACCAGTGGCGGCTGCATCGCGTCAAGGTAGATTTGCCGCTCTTCGGGGAGCGCTGTGGACCAGTCCTGTCCGGAGCGGATGACGGTGAGGTTTTTCTTGCCTTGTACGCGGACCCTCTCCGGCAGATGGGGCTTGCCGTTCTGTGACGTTGATCCATTGGTTTTCTGCTTGCTTTCTTCTCCTGGGTCTCCGAGAAGTTCATCTGTCTGGGATACGGGCAGGCGATCTCGCATGCTCCCCCAATAGACATGCTCCTTGATGGGGCCGCTAACGCTGTCTCTCATGTGTGCCGCACCCTCAGGCACGGCCGTCGAAAACACAGTCTCGAACCGATCGGCCGTCGGGAGAAACACCTCCAAGAACCACCCATGCTGTGGCTGGTCCCCGGGCTTTGCCTCACTCCACCACGTCCGGAAACCGCTCTCGGTAGACCACTCCTCGTACGCGGCCTTGCTCGGCCAGTACGCAAACACAGCAACGTTATAGAACCCCCGATTATCTACCACAGCCGCAGCTTCGTGAAAGGCCGGGCGCGAGGTCGGGGTAACTCGGTCGGAGGTCGTGAAGGAGGCTATCGTCTTCAGAGCGCCACCGTCGTGGAGGTCTGCGGATGCGTACTGGGCGCCGATGATAGCCATGACTATGTCTTTGATGGTCTTGGGGAAGCGCGAACTGTAGAGCTCGAAGGGGGGCGTGAAGCCTGGTGGTGCCTTTGCGGGTACGGTACGCTCCTTTCGGAGCCATTCTGGAATTGCGGATTCGAGTTCCATGGCTGCGACTGTGTGTCTCGGTGAGGGACTGAGATACTAGTGTTGCGGGGATAAGTCAACGGCACGGCGAATCCCTTTTCAAAACCCTGGGTTACATCTAGGGATATAGACGACGTTCATCCTATAATAATCATTGCGGACTTGATTATTCCGCAATATCATCTTGTTAACCGTTTTCTAAAACACTTGTCAAGCTATTCTAGAAATGATTCAAACGAAGTTGTGGTGTGAACACCATCATGGAGCATATCAGATAACGGGGACGTAATTGAGACGGAACAGACGGGCAGTGAGGTCATAGTATCCAGGGATCCGACGAGGAGAAGTGAAACCTTCACGTTTACAAAGATAGTTCGGGCGCATTACTCCCAATTCCAACCAACGGCATAATCGATAATACCAAGCTAATCATGGATGCACTAGATAGGATAGTGCTCAACCGGTGAAGCTAACCCCACCAAGCACGCGGATCGCGTGCATTACTCTCGTCTGCAGGCTTCAACCCCTCTCCCTCACCGAATTACCCCGGATTTCATTGATAACGCGCTAGTGGCTCAGCTCGGGAAGTGACACGACATCAGACGGAGGGACCAACGATGCGGATAGGGTATTGCTTAGCCGTTGGGAAAATCTGGGGAATATGTAACTTGTATGAGATAGAAGCGCGGCTGGGTCGGGTTAGTTTGTGATGTTCTTTTGGCAGGAAATAGACGATCTCCAAATATGTTGGATAGGATAGTGCTGGGCCGCTCGTGATGCGGCACAGGTGAACCCCTCATCTAGATATGTATGTTGGAGTAGGCGGAAAAGAATAGCCTCGCTTTCGTGCTACAAAAGAGAGAGAATCTGCCAGTGAATGAAGTCGAGTTCAGATGAATACCATCCAGCAATTCAACAGTCTCTCTCATTTCACCTCATAAGCCCCCAATACCCAATCACTCTTACCTTAAATCCGCTCCGGATATCTCATAATAGAAATGGCTCCCAAGCTCAAGATCGCGGCCATCCAAGCCGAGCCCGCCTGGAATGACCTCGAGGGCGGTGTTACCAAGTCCATCGCCCTCATCGAGGAGGCTGCCAGCAAGGGCGCCAATGTCGTCGGCTTCCCTGAGGTCTTCATTCCCGGATACCCATGGTAAGTGAGAATGAGACACACATATCTTTCCCATTTCGCTCTCCGCGTCAATGGTTTGGCTAATTTCTTACCGTCGAAAGGAGCATCTGGGCCAAGTCTCCCACCGATAATGCCGCCTTCATGGACGAGTATTTCCGCAACTCGCTCGTCAAGGACTCTGACGAGATGAAGCGCATCTGCGCCGCCGTCAAGGAGGCCGGTGTGTTTGTCGTTCTCGGCTACAGCGAGAGGTTCAAGAACACCTTGTACATCGCCCAGGTAAGACACTTGTCTCTTTTCTCTTCCCTCTCTTTCACTGTCTCATGAGTCTGTTTTCTCACATACCGAAAACAGTCCTTCATCGATGAGAACGGCGTCATCGTGCACCACCGCCGCAAGATCAAGCCCACTCACGTCGAGCGCGCCTACTGGGGCGACGGCCAAGGCGAGTCCCTGCAGACCGTCGCGCCTAGCACGCTCCACCCCTCGGTCAAGATCGGCGGCCTCAACTGCTGGGAGCACACGCAGACGCTCCTGCGCTACTACGAGTACGAGCAGGACGTCGACCTGCACGTCTCCAGCTGGCCCGTCCTCTGGCCTCACCCGACCGACAAGGACGGCGTCAGACAGGCCGACTGGCCTCACCACATCACGGACGAGATGAGCATGCGCTTCTCGCAGGTGGTGGCGCTCGAGGGCGCTTGCTTCGTCATGGTCTGCACGCAGGTTGTCAGCGAGGAGTCCAAGAAGCGGTGCCGGATCGACGAGTTTGGGTACGCGACAAACTCGGTCGGCGCGGGCGGCGGCTTCAGCATGATTTACTCGCCCTTTGGCGAGGAGCTGGTGAAGCGCCCCCCGCCTGGAGAGGAGTGCATCTTGTATGCTGATGTCGACCTCGCGGAGAAGGCCAAGGCGAAGCAGAACCTCGATATTGTCGGACACTACTGCCGCCCTGACCAGCTGAGTCTGCGGGTGAACAAGTACCCGGCGCGTCCCGTTCACTACGCGGCCGAACCTTGAGCGGCATGCTGGAGGATGAATCAATTATGAGATCAGAGAAGCCTGTTTCTAGTTAGTAGTGATGAGTTGTTGAGAATTCCCAGGAAGCGATATATCAGTTGGCGAGTCTGCGGATAAGTGTGTCTTTCAGTGAAAAAGAGAGAAGAGGAAGTTGAGCGGCATATAATTAGTTGTGATTTCGCTTAGTTAGTAATTATCTTCATTCTCTCTCAAAATATTTAATCCCCTCCCTCGGCCCTCAGCTCTGATTCTCAGCTGAAGCTCCCCCCCCCCCCCTCCATTCCCCTTTGTGTTTTAGAGTTTGATCTAGTAGAAGCAGATTAGTGGATTGGGCGGAGCTTTTTCGATAACTGAGCGTGCGTTGATTGGGGAAGTGCGGGGTTTTCCCTCTCCCTTTTTTCTTTTCTTTTCATGACTGAAGCGCGTCGTTGGCTCCCCCCCTCCTCCATGATCCATCCCATCGGTAGTTGAATAATACTGAAACTGCGGTCTCTACCACATCGTCGGGACCTGTCAGAAACACACATCCACGCTGACTTGCTGGATGATAATGCCTCTTCTGTCAACCGAGTGAAAACTACCCGACTGGGCCCATATTTGCGGTTATTTGCTTTCCTTGCTCTCAAACACAGTACTCCCCCCCTCAGAACATGCCCGCGTGTACGAACTATACGGGCTTTTGATACTCACCTGAGCCATGTCGACCTCTCTTCCCCAACGGCAGCCCGAAGGCAAAAAGAGACAGCGGGTCTCCATCGCCTGCCTCGCGTGCCGGCAGAGACGCATGCGAGTAAGTCGTTTCCCCCGTTCATAACCTACCCTCACAACATCTCCCTTTCGCCATTCTTCCTTGTAGTGACACAAGAAACCCCGCCAGTGCGATGGACAACAGCCCATCTGCGGCTCTTGTACAAGGAGGGGCACTGAGTGTGAGTTCCAGCACGCAGACAATAAACGCCGGTATGTCATGAACCAAGAGCCTTCCCCTCTCCTCTCTCCTTTCCAAGGCCCCAAGCTCCAAGCTCCGACCCCCCTCCCCCTTCTCCGGTCTCCCCGCGAGTCCCACAATGTGGATCTCATCACGACCGGTTCGTGCTTGCTGCCGCTGACAGCCACGGCCGTATGTCACCGTCCCCAGACCGCCTAGCAAGAAATACGTAGAATCCCTGCAAGCCCGAATCAGACATCTAGAAGCCCAAGTCGTCGCCCTAGGCTCCCAGCCGGCCTCCGGTGACCTCGCCGCCGAGACCACCGAGGACCACGACCCGCAAGACGACAGCGTCGGCGACGACGACGATGACGGCCAAGGCGGTCCCCTCTCGGACCTCACCGGCCTCGTCGGTCGTCTCAACGTGACCGAAGACGGCCAGCTGCACTACTTCGGCTCCCAGTCCTCCTACAACCTCGTCCGCGAACTCCCGCGCGACGCCCCCGCGGACCCGCGCGAGCCCTCCCTCAAGATGCAGCGCCAGGGCCTCGTCGCCGCCGCGCAGCTGGGTAAGATGGTCACCGTCCCGGACGAGCTGCAGGCGCACCTCCTCGAGCTCTACTGGCGCTGGCAGAACCCGTGGAACTACGTCATCCACAAGAGTGCCTTCTTGCGGAGCTACCGTGGCGAGGATGACGGGACGTATTGTTCGCCGTTGTTGCTGTGCTCCATCTTTGCTATTGCCGCGCGGTATTCTGATCGGCCTGAGCTGCGGACCGTGCCGGATGATCCTAGTACCGCTGGCGATGCGTTTGGCGAGCATGCCAAGATTCTGCTATTGTATGAGAGTGAGGCACCGACGATTACGACGGTGCAGGCTGCATGTCTGCTTGCGTTGAGGATCATGTCGGATGGCAAGGAGGCTTTAGGGTGGCTGTACTCTGGTATGTTATACGTTTATGCATCTGATCTTCGTGGAGGGTCACCTGCTAATGAGTGCAAGGAAACGCAACGAGAATGGCACATAACCTAGGGCTTCATCTCGATTGTTCCAAATGGGCCACTGCCGGTCTGCTCACCGAAGAAGAGGCCGAAGCGCGAAAAGTGACGTGGTGGGGATGTTATGTTGTTGATAAGTGAGCAATTCTCCTTCTTTTGATTCCTCCTATTCACGCTCGCGATTTTGTTCATGTCTCATATGAGACCGTGACAGAGCAGCTGGCTGACATGTTCCAAGACTATTTTCAACTGGGCTGGGCCGGCCAAGCAGCACGCCAAAGTCCACCATCTCTTGCCCAAAACCCAGCATAGATAGCAACGAAGAGTACACTCCATGGCTACCGACGTCAGACACGCTGGGGTCTGAAAAGTCTCTCGGTGTCCATTCACATATCTCATCAACAGCTTGCCATGTATCAGAGACATTTACCATTGCTTGCGAATCAATGGACATAATGTATGTTGGCCTCAGTCTCACACCTATTCTGATTTGCAAACTCTTCTAATGCATCGTCTCTTTCAGATACGCCGCCAACAGCAAACTCTCGACACGAGAAATTGAGGATGTCGTTAGCAAAACCGACGTGCAGTTGCGGACGCACTACAGAGAGCTGCCGAGCTACCTTCGCTTGCCAGCCTCGCCCAAGGTCCCAATGCTTCCTCACGTTTGTCTTTTCCAGTACGTTCTTTTCTGATAGCATTTCGATATTTTCCCATTTTCGAAGAAGTAAGTGAGCAGGGCAATGGGCCATGGCTAATTAGTGATTCTACTGCAGCATTCAATATCATGCGCACTTAATTCTCTTACATAGACCGCTCGTTCATAAGCGAAAGAGACGGTCCGTTAGCGTCAATACGCCTACCGATGACGGTAGCATCGACGGAGATGGATACGACAATCAGCACATGGCAACATGCCGTCACTCGGCGGCTGAGATTTCGAGGTTGCTGCGCATCTATAAGCAGCAATACACGCTGGTAAGTGCCTTGCCCCTTTCGTATTCGGATATCCCCCCCCCCCCCCACCGAGAAATGGTTCCCATCTCATACTTCGAACAGCGGCGTATCCCCATTGCTGCAGTCCACCTGTGCTTCTCAGCCGTGGTAATCCACCTAATTGATGCCCGGCCGTCAAACCCCAACCGACAGCAGGCGATCCGGCACTTACAGACGTGCGTCGATGCATTGCGAGACTTGAGGACAGCGTGGTGCGCGTGGAGCGACAGGGCCTTGCGAGCGGCGCGACTGTTGGCGAGAGAGTGGTACCAGTGTGAAGATGTCTCACTGTTGCAGCATTGGGGTGGACTCAGCGGGGTCGAGGGCAGCATGACTGGACCAACAGCAAACGCAGCAGCAGCAGCAGCAGCCGCTGCCGCTACTGGAGTTACCGTTGGTATCCCAAACACAAATGACCAACAGCAACAAAACCAGCACCAGCCGTATCAACAAGGTGGGACTGCGGACGCGGAGAGAATGATGGGTCAAGGGCAGACAACGGATGGCGATGTTCAGGGCGATCCTCTGGCTTTTCTTTTTGACGTGGCTACGCCTGACCAGTACACGGATAATCTGGTAAAAGAATGGCTGGCGGAGAGTGGTTACGATGTATTGAACACCGTTGTCGAGTGAAGTCGATGAGTAATCTCAGCCGGCGTTTTTGGTGTGTCTGACTGTCTCGGTATATCTCGCCCTTTGTGTGGAGAACGTTCGAGGGGGATGGATGCTTTCTCTAGCTTGTTAGTGTGTATCAGCGTTTTGCCTATCGGTAACAAGACAGATACTTAGCAGAGACTAGGTACTCGGTCGAGAATGCCGCGTCAAGGGCTCAATACGGCAATTCCAAGTCGCAGCAACGCCGAGTCCAGCTGAATGACTCGTGTTATATGGACTAGTCCAAGCCATCTGACGCAAGAGAGGGGTCTCAGGTCCAGCGCCGGCGGCAGATGCCGGTGTATAAAAGGATAGGTTGAGGTGTAATGCAAAACGGCGGTTGAATTGTGCAACGTTATGCTCAAGATCGCTGACTGGTGATTCCCGTTTGAGTTTAGCAGCATAGCTTAGCTCGGAGGGTACGGAGCGTCGTCCGCAACTCTGGGGCCCTTGGTGCCCTTGGTGTCTCCTGGAGGGTGGTCAATGGCATGGGTCAACTCGCACGGGACAGCCGCTGACGGATTTGATGCCCGATTTGATGCAGAGTGACGGTGAATTCTGTCGGGGTGCGTTGGCCCTTTTTGCTGGTCTGATTGCTCCGTCTCATTTCTTCCCCCTCCCTTTTGTGGTTTTTTTGTCTTTGGTCTCGGTATCCGTTATAGGCTGTTATGTTGCTTGTGGTTCTGGGTTTTTCGTCTTGACCTTTTTTTGATGATGGTGTTTTTGACACTTTCTATCGTATCCCCCCCCCCCCCTTCCAGCTGCCAATGTTCCTACCTGCTCCGTAGATATCAGGTCCTACCAAATCGGTTTCGCTTTCCGCATCTCAGATCGCCCTTTCCTTCTCCCTTTTTCACTTTCCCATGCTGCCATCTGTGGAGGGGTGCACCCAGAACCCACTCAATATCAGGAGCGTGCTCCGAACCCCTCCTATTGGCTGGCAACACCCGTACAGCCAATAGGAGCATCTCCTCACCTGGACCCACGTGATGGGTATCTCGCCTGGGCCCACCGATCGAGATTCGAGACCTTTCAGCGTCCACTCACCAGTGTGTTCCTTCCTCTTCCCGAAATCCCAACTGAGCAAGCAACCGGGTGGGATAATTGAGAGAGAAAGAGCGGAAGCCGCACTCGCACTGCGCCTGCACACAGTTTGCGATTTACCCTCGGTCGTTCCTGCTTACTCTCTTTCTTTTCTCTTGCATTTCATTTCGTATTCTTTCTATCCGATTCTACCGGTGATTTACCCTCCAAGAAAAAGGCGAATTTGACAAATCTGGCAACCTGCGCAGACTTGCAGTGCAGTCTAGTCCCTCTCACCGAGAAAGGAGAGAAAGTGAAGGGAAAACACAACTAGGGGAAAGAACTGGTCCATGCGTTTTGGGGGTTGAGGTGAAATTCCTCAGCAAACTGCCGTTGGAACATCAAAAAGTGCCACGGCCAACCGTCTCATCCGGAACAGACCGAACATCACCCTGGAAAAGAAACGAGGAAATCAAGAAGCGGGAAAAAACCAAAGGAAAAAAAAAGGGAGGAGGGATAAGGCAAAGCGGTCAAGCTTCAATCTCATGTCGCTCCCCGCAAAGCGTCGTCGCGTCATTCTTCCCGCACCGGGCGCCCAACCCTCCGGATCATTCCCATCAACCTCGTCAACACTGGTAGCAACGCCAGCTCACCAGCCCTCCGCCTCGGGACGCGGATCGATCGGAGGAAGTGGGAGTAGCGAGGAATCGTTGTTGGGAAACGACACGAGTCGCGATCTTCAATCTAGAAGTCAGAGCATCGACTCATCCTCAGCCGATGCCAAGAAGCCCAGGACCGCTTCTAAAAGACAGGTTATTGCAGTTGCTTGCGATAACTGCCGCCGGAGAAAGGCAAAGGTGAGTGAAACGATCACCGATACAAACTTTGCTCCCTTTTTCTTCACAAGAGAGAAAGAGGGGGGTTGGCCACCATGTTCCGAGACTGAGAGATTCCACAGTGCGACGGCCATCGGCCAAAATGCCAACACTGCTCCAAAAGGGGCGTCGAGTGCCATTATGAGGCCAACCAGGGCGAGACCGTGAGTCTCGCGCTCAAGCGCAAGGCAAACGATCTCGAAAGCGAAAATGTACAGTACAGGGAACTTTTTCGCATGGTCTGCACCAAATCCGAGGACGAAGCAAAGGAGATTTTTCGCCGCATACGCTTGTCCGGTGACCCCCTCAGAGTCCTCGAATCCATCCGCCAGGCAGAGATTCTGCTCCCCTCTCTCCCCGTCAATGACCGCGTGAGCGATTCGCGACTAGCAAAGCTCAACGAAAGAGCAATGGAAAGCAGCCTCCTCCGCGTGCCGGCAAAACCCTGGACCACCGTTGCAGACGATGGCATTGTCTCCGAGTTGATCACCGACTTTTTCAGCTGGGACAATGCTAGTTGTTTTCCCGCCATCGAGCAGAACTTGTTTCTCGAGGAGATGAGGTCCGGGAATATCAAGCGCGCAAAGTGGTGTTCCCCCATTTTAGTGAATGCAATGTGTGCAGTCCGTGCTGTAAGTCCTCCCTCTCCTGCATCTTTCTCGGCACTGCCTACAATCGCAATAGAGCATATCGTGACTGACACTTTTCTGTAAGCCATTCGTCGCAACCGTCAAAGAATTTCATACCTACACAGGTCAAGATCTGGCGAGGCAATTCCGGGAAGAGGTCATGCAGCTGGTGGAAAAAAGCCATGGCCGGGCGTCGATCCCTACAATCATTGCCCTTGTCCTTGTGGACTGGTCAGCCAGCATTGCAGGCGACGAGGCCAGCGCCAAAATGTACCGCTTCATGGCGTGGGAAAGGTACAAACGCTTCAAACCGGAGCGACGCTTCGCCCAGCTCAACAAAGATGATCCCAATGATGCAATTGAGATGCTCGTTATCTCGAAAGCTGTGTGGGCCATATTCTTGATGGAGAGGTGCGTACTCCCCTTCCATGATGAACCAGCCCAACTGTCAGGATCCTCTACGTCAACCTAACACCTTGCCTCGATAGCCGCGTATCATATTTCTACAATTCAACCGCAGATATCCCACCACCGTCAATACCTAGGTTATTCGACAACTGCGGACGCGACGCACTCGAGCCCCTGGGCAACGTCGACGTTCTTGGTCGACCCCATCTAGAATCCACAAACCTGATACCAATCGTTCCCGGAATTGCAACGGTCGTATGCGATCTCGCCAGGCTGCAGTACGATGTCATGTCGTACCTCACGTCTGGCAGCACTATCAAAGGAAGCATCGAAGATGTAAGGCGGAAGAAGCATTGGTACTGCAGATTGCAGGAGTTCAGGGAGGCGTTGCCCAGACGCTTTAAGATGGAATACAATTTTACTCCTGCAACCTGCTTCTTGAGGCAAGTTTAGGAATTCCAACCATCATCGATGGATTAACAAAACGAGAAATCATTCTAACATTATCTAGGATGCATGAGAACGAACTAGCCTATGCCGTCCTACAGTCACTCAGCCCATCAACCATTTTCGACACTCCCTTCACCCCGCACTCAACAACCGTGAAGTCCCTCTGCCTCCAGCACTGCATCTCCGACACAACCCTCGCAGAAGCATACCTACAACGCTACTGTACTCACTCGTACATCACCCGCGTCATGTTCGTGGCGATGCAACACCTCATGCCCTACCTCAATGAGGGCCACGCTGCCACAAACGACCTCTTCACCCGCCTCTGTATGATGGGCGGTATCTCGGCGCGCGTCGTCCGAATGTCAATGTACCTCCTTCAAGCGGTGCAGGCCATGGCCTGGGCAATGAAGCAGGACATCCCGGCCAGCGCGAGGCCGTACCTCGACCCCTGGGTGAAGCTGGCAATCCAGGAGAGTGAGACCAAGGCACCGAGCTACGCTGTTCCGGACCGCGATGAGATCAAGGCCCTTCTGGCCGATGATGATTCGAGCGATGGGGGATCTGTCGAGAGCGGCGCTGAACTATGGGCATTGGTGGAGAAGTGGGCTCTCAGCACCGGGAAGGGTCTCTGATGATGTGTCCATGTAGTCCATGGAGAGCCTGGCGTTTCGGATTGGTTTGCATGGCATATGGCGCGAGCGTGTTTAATCATGACGGGGAGAGAAGGGTTTTCTTTTGAGCATTTACCGTGCCCGCGGCGGTCATTAGCGGAACAGAGATTTGGGCTGCGCGAGCTGCCATTGTTACTGCCAGAGTATGACCGAAAGCTGATTCGGCATCGTGACAGTGAATATCAAAGCCATCGACGATCACTCCACGTTCCGATACTGATCAAGTGCCCACAGGCATCGAGAGATGGAGGAAAGTTACCTTACTTTCATGGGATCATAATCGACATTCTTGAGTGGCCCGGTTGTTTTAAAGCCTTGGCTATCGAGTGCATCGAATTGCGCACCAATCAGTGCCAGCGATTCATCCGGCGAATTGTCAACGTTGTCTTAAGCGCACGACGGGGGGGGATGTCACCTTCCCACTTGGTAGCGGCAACCCCCTCCAGCTCCTCCACATGAAGCAGATATGGAATTAAGCTTGATAGTGTTCACCGGAGTCCCATCCGTACTTGCAGTCCCGTTCGGTAACTGTGCCCGGTCCCTTGCTTTCGTCTGTCTACATCGAGAATGCGAGTATGTCATGAAGAGCCTATTCCGCAAAGTTGCAGCACTTCGTATCTTGCAATTTCCACGAAAGTCCTAGCTTGGCTGCCATTACCTCTTCTAGGGCCTGTCTCATTTACTCTAAGTTGCTAGTTACATCCTGTGCCATCTTCTCATCCCCTCCCTCTCCTTACGGGCTTTCTCGAAGCCACCAAACGCCTGTGAGTTCGGAGACATGGCTTCCGTCGGTATTCGATGTGCACCCTGCTTCAACAGGGCTTTCGGTATGTACATGTTTTGATACGAGGAACGAAAAGATATGCGCTATCAGTGTCACATCCCGTCATGTCCCCGCACATACGCAGCAACGATACTTCTTTCTACCCCTGCAACTGATCAGGCATGTTTAATAAGGCAAATTTCCATGTCGAAGCAGGTCGTTGAACCTTGATATATCGCAAGCCATATAAGCTAGCTTCTAGCGCTGGTCCGGCTCTCCCCCACGTTACTCGTCAGTACTTACTGCAGTTGCAACTTCTCCACAGACTTTGTTTAGGCTATCATCGAGATGCCTTCTCTGGCCTCCGTCGTCGTCACTCTCCTGCAAGGCCTATGTGTCGCAGTCCAGGCCCAAACAACAATCACGTCCACCGGAAACCCCATCATCGCCGATGGAACCTACTACACAGCAGACCCGGCCCCCTTGGTCGTGAACAACACAGTCTACATCCTCACCGGCCGAGACACCGCCCCTGCAAGCCAAAATGCCTTCATCATGAACGAGTGGGAGATGCTCAGCAGCACCGATCCGCGTCCCTCTGGTGCCCAATGGCAGCTGCGCACCAATATCGCCCGCCCAGAATCGGTCTTCAAGTGGGCTGCGTCAGGGACTGCCTATGCCTCTCAGATCGTGCAGGGCCCAGACGAGAGATTCTACCTTTACGCTCCCGTCACGCAGGCCTCGACTTCGAATCCTGATCGATTTGCTATCGGGGTTGCCGTCTCAACTAACCCATGGGGTCCTTTCACGGATGCTCACCCTAGTGGGCCTATTGTCTCGCAGTCCGTCCCATCACCGGGGAACAGCATTCAGAATATCGATCCGACGGTTCTTCTCGACGATAATGGGAGGGTCTATCTATACTGGGGCACATTCGGCCAGCTTCGTGGCATCGAACTCGCGACAGATATGGTCACGACTATCGGACAAGCCACGGCAGTCAACAGTCTAACGGGCTTCTTCGAGGCTCCATGGCTTCTTAAGCGTAAGGGAACATATTACATGCTCTACGCCGCCAACAACGCCGGTCCAGATTCACCATGCACACCGACCTCATACCACGCCTGCATCGCCTACGGAACCGCCTCCTCGCCCTTAGGCCCGTGGACATTCCGGGGCGTGATGCTAGACATTGTCTCTTCAACCACGTCTCACCCGGGTGCCTTTGAGTTGAACGGCCAGTGGTACCTAGTCTACCACACCCGAGACGCCACAGGAGGAGGCCACTTCCGCCGCAGCGTGGCACTCGACTCCATGACCTGGGACGACAACCAGTCGCCTCCACGTATCAACAAAGTCATCCAGACCCGTCGCACCCAGCCCGCGGCACCAGCAACCCGCAACATCGCGACCAAAGCCACAGCAAGCTCCGTAAACCGCACCCCAATCCAGTACTGGATCAAATCAATCAACGACGCATGGATCCCCGGGAACCCCTTGCCGCCAGACTACTGGTGCTCCTACGACGGCGCTGCCTCCCCGCAGACCAACACGCTCGTATTAACATGGCCTTCGGCGGTGACGCTGAACGGCGCGAGGATGGTGCTTTTCGCTGACCAGCCCGCGGGTTCGAATATCGGGGTGCCGCCCCCTGCGAGCTGGCGGATCGAGTACTTGAACGGGAGCGGTGCGTGGGTCGCGGTTACGGCGACGTCTGCGTATCCTACTGCTGTTACGGATAACCCTGCAATTGCCAACTTTAGCCAGGTTTCGACGAAGAGTATTCGTGCGGTTTTGGTGGCTTCTGGTGGGAATGGGCAGTATGGTGGTGTTGGTGTAAAGGAGTTTGAGGCTCTTGCTCCTACTGCGCAGTAAACACTCATAGAGCACGCACATGGGAGGTTCGTCCACGCAGGCTATTGGAGTTCCCACTCCTCATTCAGCATGTATATTCTTCCATCAAGAATCCGTGTCCTTGAAAACCCCCACACGACCTTGCATATAAGGATCCCGTCCCAACGTCCCAACGCGTCTCCTTACACATAGCGATAACTCCCAACCCAGAACCGCCATCCTATCAAAGCTTCGCCCGAATCTCAGGCTCCCCCAAAACCTCATGCTTAAACCGATACACAATATCACTAAACCTCCCCTCCGGGAAAACATAAAGCCACGTCATGGTCTCCCCTTCGCCGCAAAACACACCGTGCTCCGCGTCCCCGGGGATCCACACCAGCTGGTCCTTGGACACGGCGTGCCGCACGCCGTTGATCTCAACCTTCCCGCTGCCGGAGAGCACGTAGTAGATTTCAGCCTGCTTGTGGCGGTGCAGCGCCAGGCTGCCGTTAGGCGGGCAGGTCGCCACGCCGGAGCTGAGGGAGTCGGTTACCGTGCCGGGGGCGGAGACGAGGGTGTGCCATGTTGCGTTGCCGCGGGACTGTTCGGGGAAGGATTCTGGGGGGTTTGTTGTGGAGGATTTGAGGTCTACTATGAGGGGCGATTCTGGCGGTTTTGATGCCATATTGTTTTGTGTTTCCTTTCCTTGCCTCGGCACAGAAACTTGGGACGGTCGTCGTGTATAAGGCGCTCAGTTACTATCGTGATTTTGGTGATGAAGAATTATATTCATGTGGGGAGTCTTATATCATTCGTCATCTACCCCTCCTATTCCGACTCCAGTGAACTAAGAACAAGACGCCGTCTTATCCAATTTTTTACGTGACGATGGTGTCCGTTGTTCGTACTATATTGGTCGGCGATGTGGAGACCCCACACCACTAGTCCGGCAAGAAATGCCTTGTTGGGCATGTCGAGCCTCGGGGTCTCAACTCTTTGTCCGGATAAGATAACTACAAACAATGACTTCCGCTGCACCGAATGCTTCATCGATTGGCGCTGACATGATGCCTTTTTTTCCATTTATGTTGCTTGCACACGATGCGAAGTAACATAGACGAAGGGCTGCTGATGGCACGCTCACCAGGAACTCCCATTAGTTGGTTCTCTATAGAAAGGTATTCTGATATTGGCGTGTGGGCATAGCCAGAAGCCTTCGATTTTGACTTTATTATTGATACTGACCTAATCTCACTCCATTAACAGTGAGGCTTCTACTAGAATTATCTTCACTCCAGATTCATGGATAACACCAAGGTGGCCGGTGCATCATCCGAAGAGTTTCGCAGCATTACCCCTTCTCACAGCTTCGACCTTACTCGTGTCGTTGAGAGACTCCTCCACATCTTGATCAAACTTGATTCTCCCAGTCTCAGCCATGGTCCAAGGCGTGAAAGGCGTATCCGTTCCCCACAAAAGCTTCTCATAGCTCACCCACCGGAGCAGAGGAGGAATCGCCCAGGTGACCGGCCAAGGTCCAGCGAGATCAAAGTAGAAGTTTTCTGCTAGTTTAGCTTTCATGAACGACTCCGTGAGATTGGCATCGGGCATGCTATAACTGACGATCCGATCTAGAGTGGGAACGAGACCGCCGCCGGCATGAGGCATAATCCACTTGATGCAAGGGAACCGCGTCGGAATCTTGGAGTAGAATAAGTCTGCAAATGCGCGAGCCGTGTCGAAAGGGAAGTCAATGGTCGGCGCTCGTTCTTGCCGTCCTGCTACCGGCCTATTCAGGCTAAGCCATTCAGGCGGCGCGATCCCGGGATCTTCTCCGTCGATGGAGAATCTCAAATGGTTATGCTGGGTGCAAGGTGCGGTAGGATGTTCAAAGATTGTGGCATTCACCTCGTTCAGAGCCTTGTAGACTGGATCAAGGTCCGGGTCGCCGAGGTACATCCCGTAGAAGTTGGACATGAGCACGATGCCGTCAGGTTTCGGGTCCAGTTGGGTGAAGCAGTGTTCAATTTCTTCCACGGATGCGCTCACATCTGGGAGGGGCAGGGATGCAAAGAAACCAAACTTGTCGGAGTACTTGGCTTTTACTTCGGAAGCATACTCGTTGACTCGTCGTGCGAGTTTGATGGCTTTCTCTGTCGCGGACTTTGATGGTACGGAAAGGTATACCCCCGGGCTGGAGATGGACAAGTACGATTTCTCGATATTTTGCGCTTCCATGAACTTCAGATGTGCCTCGGGCGTCCATTCCTATCACCCCGTGTGAGCATATCGCAGAGCTGTTTCTGGTCCATGTAGAGATGGATACTTACGGGAATCCCGGGCATGCCATCGGGCCCAGGTAAATGCCCAGCGTCTCTGAGCGCTTGCGCATAAAAGTCTGGGAGGTAGTGGGCGTGCACATCTATCTTCGTTTTTGAGGATTCCATTTCAGTGCCTCCGAGTGCAAAACTCAACAATTGGCCGATGATGATGAAGTAGAGAAGTGACATGCTAGCTAGGTATGAGTTTGGACTAAACGTTTCCGTTCTGGGCGAGGTTGGTGTCAATGAGAAATCAAAGCAGTAAGCTTAGTTGACGTCTTCGGCCTAGGCACTTAGGCGAGCTGCAGTGATCATTAAATACAGGTGAAGGACGCCAATACACCAGCACATGTCTACTGACCCCAGCCTTTCCACGCTGGTTCCTGCGCTGCGTCACAATGGCCAGCTTGGGTTCCCTTTGCCTCGCAGCAGCGCGCATAGCGGCAGATACGAGGCGCCACGCTTGCAATTGCCTAGCAGTCATTCGCGCAAGTTTATTACTCATATGCAGCTATATCGATCGTCACTTACAATGGTGGGGAGATGGGCCAGGGCTCTTGGACTTGCCAATTGGTTCATTCTTAAGTCGACATCGAGTTGCTCATCGTGACTATGTGCCGCGCCTTGGAGGGTAATAGGATCGCGCACTAATTACCTTCCAAATTGTGCTCTACTTTGAAGCAAATAATAATGAGCGAGCTTATCGATCAGATGTCCCCCTCTCTCATTATCATATGCTAACCACCAATTCCTACATTTATTCACGCCCGAAGCAATCACTTCAGATCACTCAATTCTCTTCTAGGCCAGGCTCTATGAGTGGGCGATGGGAATGATCGGTCCCATGACCATTTCTTTACCAAAGTCTCCTCAAGGCATCCGTCGAGCATTTGCACCACATACTTACCTAGGATGGGCAGGAACTTCCAGCCATGGAATGATCCGCAGGTTGCGACGTAGAGATTCTTACTCGCAGAGTGTGGAGAGATGATAAAGTCTTCATCGGGCGTGACGGCCTCCCTATCCCATATATCAGCAAAATGTTGCTTCTTGTAGTTTGCCTTCAGTCCTTCAGGAACATGTATACATACCAGCAGATACGATAGTCCTCGTTCTTGAAAGCGTCGCTTCCATTTCCAAACAGACTCTTTCCAGCATAGTCGACGTCCTCTTTCAGAGCTTCTGGGACCTCAAGCTGCGCATAGTCGACTGCCGGGGGAGGCGCAGATATCTGGCTTCCGTTCGCATGTGTCTGAGTGTTTCTAAAGATGATCTGGCCCCAGAACTTCAAGGTCTTGTCCTTTGAATGGGGAACACTTCCGTTGCTCGCGCCTACGATAAACGTTAGAAGTTTATTGACAGAAATATCGAGTTGCCACCAGCTCTTCCATACCTCGTGACGGCGGCACCATGGAGATGCCGACTGGCCCGTCATAAAGGTCCTTTGCATTCTCCCCAGAGACAGGCGTGAACCCCTCGGTAACAGCTGCTGCCACGAACCTGTCACCAGCTTGAAGATCCTTTCTCTCGGGTGCGCTATCAGCAAGCAACTTGGCCGTATAAGCGCCCGTTGACAGGATAACTCGTGAGGCAGTGATACTCTCACCCTTTGACGTCTTGATACCGGTCGCAGCGCCCTGCTCGTCGAATTCAATCTTTTCAACTTCTGCCTCAACATACTTCACCCCAAGCTTCGCAGCCTCTTCAATCGTTCTCTGCAATGCCTCCTTCGCCTCGCCCCATCCGCTATTCTTATTGACAAAGACCTCCTTCACACCAGTGAAATCAGCATCCTTGAAAATGCCACCATACTGCTTCTTGGCCTCCTCGACAGAGAAAGAGAATAATCCAGAGTCGACTCCGAGCTTCTTATAATTCTCCTGCATTTGTTCTGCAAAGTTGTTTGGCGAGACCCAGTAGACGCCGCTTTCATGGTAGTATGGTTTCCAGATCGGGTCCTCGGACCAGTACTTTTTGGCTTCGAGGCAGAGGCGCATATACTCGATATCGACATAGTCGGCGCGCACGACCTTGTTCCAGTCCCAGGAGGCGGCGACGCGAATCGGGGCGTCGTAGGCGTTGCGGTCGACGAGGGTGATGCTGGCGTCGGGATACGCGCGGATCAAGTGCAGGGCTGTGGAGGCGCCGAAAACGCCGGCGCCTATGATGAGGTATGACTCTGTTGAGGTGGCCATTTTCAGTATACGAAGGTTTTCTTTTTTTGTCGACTTCGCGTCAGCGGAAATTAGACTAACGACTATGAGTTCAACTTTCTAAGTCGGCCGCATCTTAGTCCCCGTTGTCGGACACTGCCCGCACTTCATCCCCGTCTTATCTTCTGACGTCATGTGATCAAGTCGGCACGCAATCGGCTTTGGGCCGAACAATCTCCACTGCAACATGGAGCAGGTCACATTCATCAGTTTTGTCTCGAAGATATTGGTGGAGGTGTAGGTTTATTGCAATGTTGCCTTTGGCACATCTTAGAGTTGGACTCTATCCAAAATACCATGCTGGGGATGAGAAGTGAAGGATTCTATTCAGCTTTGACTCTTTCCCCGACTCTGATTAATACTTGGAATCGAGTGAGTAAATTGAGACTTTCCTTCCATGCCGTCTGCAATCTCATCGGCGTAGTCGGCGTTACCGTTTAAACTCAGTAAACAACAGTCTCCATGGTATCAACAAGACTTTCAGGCCCTTCGCTCCGGCTTTCATCTGGTTCCACCGCTGCTCATCCCAGATGACATAGCCCCGTCGCCTTAACTCTATTGGCACAAACCCTCCAAAGACGTTGGAGTGTCGTCCGTTCCTAGAGCCCACGCCAGCGGTGGTGAAAGGGGCGAGGCTAAGTTTGTGAAGAGGAAGAGACAGTGTGGCTGCGCGAGTCGCTGAACTTAGAGTAGGTCAGTATTGTCACACATATCATGTCTTTGTAGCTTGATGCGATGATACAAATTATGTCGTACCAAGGGAGGTAGCTTGCACTACGATCTAGGCTCACAGCCACAGTCATAGGTTGACTGAGTTGCTTTGCCACAGACATCGGCACACTGCATGTCGTTCGGGTTAGCTCTAAGCGACCTTGGGCAAGAGATCACTGAGAAGACATTGTTAACATTTCATAGAGATGTCCAAGGGGCCTCGGCATTTGATACCATGCATTTAGGAGTTCCTGCAGGCAGTGGCTGATGAGAACTCTGCACCTGTGGATCGGATCGGATCAATCTAGGGGAGCCCGGTTATATGAGTGAACAAGCTCATCTTCATGTATTTGGTATCATGCTGTTACATATTATGATATGTGCCATTGGCGTGTGTGTAGAAGGAAGTTCCAAAGCTTCTCTATCGTTCTTACATCAATGCCCAAGTACGTACTCGGACTTGACATGGAAGCTTCACTGCGCACACTTCCCTCCAACTTTCTTTCATTTCTCAGATCAAGTCAAAAGAACATTTCTTAAGCAGTGGCTTTATTATCTAAGTATGAGTGGTACTGATTTGAACGGCCCGTAAACTCAATGCTAGCGTTTGTTTCTCGACCCGTGACAATCACCAATACCACACATTGCGCCATAGGCTCGACCCAATGATATCTGCTGCCTGTTCTCCAAGCGCATAAGTAGCTACCTGTAGGTTTGCCGAGATAGGAACGGGGAACACGGACGTGTCGACGACCCGGAGTCCTGATACCCCCATCACTCGTAGGTCACTGTCTACTACAGTGCCCATGGCGGCTGTGCCGGCAGGATGATAACATCCACTACAGAATACCCCGCGTCAGTAAAAAGCCGGAAAATATTGTAGAATTGTGTAAAAGAAAGGAAGTATGCGAGGAAGTGACCTACCCAGTGTGACTGCGTACCAGGGTGTCTACCTCTTCATCGGTGGAATCCGCCGTCAGTGGGTGATCCGTCCCATCGCCGTCAATAATCTCTCGACCCATAATGGTCATGTTGGATGACATGAGCCTGACAGCCTCTCTTATCGTCTCTCGTGCGGCGAATCGGTCAAAGTTGGATCCCAGAAAATTTGGGTCGATAACAGGGTCGTCCTTGATATCGGCAGACTGTAATGAGACGGATCCACGACCAGTGGTAATAAGAACGACGGAGACGAGCATGATGGCAGATCCGTCGGCCGAGATGCCGCTATATAGGAGTTGATGAGAGGAAACGGCACGTTCCCGATTCAGAAGTGGATGCAGCATCGGGTTGGGGGAGATGCCGCCTTCGTCCTGGGCGATGGCGTCGGCGAGGCCTTTTCTGGGAAGCTTGGTGGCGGTGATGAAGTCGCCGAAGCCGCCAAGGTCGTACTGCGGCTGCTCAAATAAGGGGTTGCCTGATCCCTTGGCCCAACCAGCGGAAGGATCGGCGAAGTGCCAGAATGTGGGGAGGAGGATGTGATCGTGCAGGTTCTGGCCGACGGCTGGCTGGTCCAGAATGACGTTGATGCCGTGCTCTCGGAGCATGTCTGCCGGTCCGATGCCGGAAAGCATCAGTATTTTTGGCGTGTTGTAGGCGCCTGCCGAGAGAATCGTCTCATGCGCAAAAATCTTTGTGCCGTTCTCGAGTTGAATGCCGCGGCAGACAAGGGGGCCTCTAGGGGACCGGTCCACAAGGACACGAGCGACGAGGCTGTCAGTTAGGACGGTGATGCCGTCGAGGGAGTACACCAGGGACGCCAGCTGACGCTTGCCGTGGTCTCTGTTTTCTTGGATGTTACCTACGCCGAGATTGTCGCCGCCGTTAGAGTCGAGAGCGGGCAATGGGTTGACGCCGAGTTCTCTCCACGAGTCCATCAGTGGCTGGCGAAGTGGAAATATACGGCCCATCTCCACTGGTGTTTCGATCTTGACTGGCCCTTGGTGTCCGTGAACCGACGGATTTGTGGTCTGGTCCCAAAGCGTCTCCGTCTTCCTCATGTACGGCAGCTGGCCCTCATACGTCCACCTCTCGTCGTCTACCATCTCGCCCCAAAGGTCGTAGTCGACCTTGTGGCCGCGAACCCAGGCGCCTTGTTCATTTCTCGTAAGCGAGCATCCAAAAAGCAAAGGGGAATTGAAAGACGTCGGCTATATGTCCGTCATATTCCTGGCCACTTACCTCCGTTAATGGCAGTGCCACCACCCAAGCCCTTTCCAGCGAGGGCGGACATAGTTCGATTGTCAACATTTACTTGTGGCACTGAAGTAAACGACCATGTGTGATTACGGGTCACTTCGGGGTCCGTTTCGATTGCCTTCAAGTCTACAAGCTCATGAGTGTTGGGGCCAGCCTCAACTAGGAGGATTTTGAGGGTCGGGTCTTGCTCAAGGAGTCGGTTTGAGACGACGGACCCCGCAATTCCAGCTCCCACCACAATGCAGTCCCAGATGATCATTCTGATGGAATTTGAAGGTGTCGTGCTTGGAAGAGGGGAAATCTAACTGAGTGGGTGGAACTAAAGAATCGTTTTCCGAGGAGACGAGTTGTTAAGTACTTCCTTTCACAAACGCACGGCAGACATGATGTGGGCTTCATATTTACGGGAGGGGGTAGAGTTAATGGAAACCAAGGGATGAAAAGAGACATCATTCTTAATTGTGTCTCTGACAGTGGAAAACAGCTTCATACCTAGAGGAAATTCGGAAGAGACCATGACCTTTCACGCGAAGTGGTCACGGCAGTCGGAGTTGTGGGCATCTAGGGGTGTTTTTGGAATGTTGGCAGGTACGCTGTGTAACGGTGACACAGAGCCGAGATGTTGAAATTAAGACACCCCGTGATGCGGACACGTAGATTCTCGCCGATTTTATTTATTTGACTCAATAATTGATATAAAGGATAGCTTTCAAGCTATGACTGAAGTAACGCTTGAAGGTGCTCGGCATGATGCATTGTAGTGATGTAGCGGTGTTGTTATCGCTAGATGGAGGTATGATCAAATTTAGCGACTTGTCGCTAATAGATGGCCATGCCGCTGTCCATAGATATCCTATCCTTCATACTTGTCGCTGCTTTGAAATGCTTCATGCACTTGGGCAGCAAAACTTGGATAAAATCTTGTCCTGTTGATTCTTGACCGCGTGTGAGTAGAAAGGCCATGGAACGATGAACACCGAGTTCTTAATTCTACAATCAGGGCAAAGCCCATTCATACCTAGAGATATTATCACATCCGATAATGATTGTCATTATACAGAGGGAATTGATCGGTTCTTCGTGAGACCATTAGTCAAGTCACAGGAATTCATCGATAGCGACGGCTATAACGACATGAATAAAAATACACAAGAGATTTGTCCAGTGGCTGTATAAGCTACATTAAACGTGAGGTTGGATGGAACATACTGACCATCAATGAAGGAAAGTAACAGCGGCTTGCCAGGTGTAGCGCTTGCTGAATTTGAGCTATCCATGAAGTCTCGGTAGGCAACCAATAGATTAATATGACGAGGAAACTTTTGACTTGTCTACCCTTACATTTGAATGGAAGTTGAATGTGCTCCTTCTGAGCAAAAGGCCTATTTCTTGAGAGTCTCTAGCAGGCTCGGTTGAGTCCTCAACTCAACTTGGCTGGTAATCATTCACATCAATTGATACGTTCATATCCGTATATCAGAAACTTTCGACGTTTACCGGCTCACTTTTGATGGGGGCTCCAAACCAGATTGCCTACAATCCTCGCTACATGTGCCGGGTTGGTTCCCACTGGTGGAGGACAGAGTTAAACGAAAGCACCATAATCATACCATTTACCACTCATACGAAGCGAAATAAGTAGAAATCCTAGCAGAACGCAAGCAAGAGATCACGAGAAGGAAGTAAAAAGGCTTGGCCATGAGTCGCTCTGAGTACATCACCTTGGTTTGGATTTGGGAATACTGATGATGGCTTACTATGTACATATTGAATGGACCTGCCTTTATGCACTTGTCTCTGCAGTAACCGAAGTCAGTTGGGCGGTTCGGAGCAAGTCACTCTCAGAAGCCCATGTGGCCCATGGACTAATCCACGGACTCACACCGTTATTTAAACATCATGAGACCTTTTCAGCTTGCTCACTTGCCCAAATTCCGCTTTCCATCTAAGACCTTATTGATGCCGGCGTTGGCAGAATAATGTTCGTTATCATTCTAGAATTTGAGGAGGCGCAGCGACTCACGACTGAGGCGGGCCGCGTATGGGGGACGAGCCGCATAAGGTGATAATATTTCTTCTGCATACAGTATTCTTGTCAGCGAGTCCAGGCTCTGAACTGCTAGAATTTCCTTGGCCGGGTGTCATGTAGCCATGCATGCGCACCAACTCAGTCTAGCTGCGGCACAGCTGTCGCCCGGCCAGGGTGAGACCGTGAGAGGCCGGCTCGTACCGAAAGCACATTTGTTCATTACTACATGTAGCTGGACAGAGAAATGCCAAGATCGTGGGCTCACATGTTTTGATCATATTTGGAGGAATTATTTAAGGCGCTTGTCAGCCCGAATCTCTTTTACGTTATTCCTGCATCACCCATATTCTACCACCAACCACGGATTCAACGTACTCCTCAACGCAGCATTGCTTCGATCTAGATTCTAAGATATAATAATTTTGATTTGATCAGGTAGCTTCAAAATGGACTATCAACCTTATATAACAGGATCCGTATTACGGAGCGTTCTATCCGGCCTTGTAGTTCTCCCCGCCTTGGGATTCTCTGTACTTGTCCTGCGTAAGCCCGGTGCCAGGCACGATCACACACGCCGATGGGTCGACTTTACCAAGATTGCCCTCGGACTTTGGAGCATGTGAGAAATTTCTATCATCGTTGCTTGTAGCTTTCACCGCACTTCCGGAGAAAGCTTCAACGGTATCTGTTCCAACACAATTCCGGCCATCAGACTAACACCGCCGACGCCTTTTAGATCTGAACTCCTCAGTCTCATTTACTGGATTGTCATCACAGTCTATTACGCTCGGCGGAAAAACGGCTATTTCTCCTTTCCGAATGAACTTGTCAATGTCTATTTCGTCGGTGGGCTGATCGGATACTTTGGCCATGTCGCGCTTCTTCTCGCCTTCTTTTCCCTAGCTCACGCCTTGACTCAGCTTCGCAGCGGGGCCGAGAGCGACGATTCCAAAGCCTATCGCATCGGAAGAAAGGTGGTGCTCGGCCTGTCGGCTCTAGTAACTCTGGTAGCTGTGGCAATTTTTGCCTGTCAAGTCGCTGAGACGATCTTGTTCGAAATGCTCCCTGGCAGGGACCGCTATATACCAGGTGATTGGGACAATGCGATCAGGCTGGGACTTGCCGCCCAATACATGGGTGTCATCAACCTTGGCTTTCTCCTCGTTGCGGCCCTCGGTTTTATTGGCTATGCCGTTGTATCCTTCAAGGCGGCCAGGAGCAGTCCAACTCAAACGGTAAGCAGCCTCTTCTTGATCTTAGAAACAAGGCTGAATCCATCTGAATATGTTGCTAACCCGATCTTGCTGGTTAGGCGGCCACTCTTCTGCTTATTGCAGCCTCTCTCTGGCTCATAACCAGACTGTATAGCTTCATCTCCTATATCATGGCGATGACGAATCATTTTTGGGGTTATGGTTCAACGTACATTGGAGCCGCAGTTGTCGATATGATCCTCTACGTTTGGCCATCATTTGCAGCTCTCATAATCCTCTACGTCTTAGCGTCTGACAACACGTACAGTCTCTCAACGCTTCACTTAGAGGAAGAAGATGATGCGCAGAGGATTTGGGACGAGCGAACACAAAGCATTTGAGATCAGCGTGCCATGTGGCGCGGCTCATCAGCAAGACTTTATGCCCCGATCTTATGACTTCATATATGCGTCTCTCTTCCTTCTGATAGCTCTCATTTGCGAAGGTAATATCACCCAGGCCTAGAGAATGGTGAGATTGTTATCAATGTACGAGCGACAACTTTGAGAATCAAACACTTATTACTCTCGAGAGTCTACCTCCCGCATAGAGATTTCGAAAGCGTCGATCTTGCTCTCTGTCTCGAGCTTTCATGAAAGTATGAATCGTCGCGGATAAATGTTGGAACATTAGAGGAGAGTCAGTGTACTAACGGGAAAGGTCTATCACTCTCACTTAAGTAGCATCTGTCAGGTCTCTATATCACCAGTGAAAATCAAGAGAAGTCGCGTAGATACACGAGAGCAAAAAGCAGCAGACACCCACGTTGCGGGATCGGCATCTTATGATGTTTGGATGGTTCGCCATTGTGCGGATAGTGGTGCATTGCTGGAGCTTTTCAAGTCGTGGCATCTGAGAGGCGTAGCTGTTAAGGCTCTACTTTCAATAAGCTCGATTCAGCACCACATTATACGGCTAGTCTAAGTGCTCTACTAACTTCCATCAAGCTTTGCCAATATCCACATCCCAGCACAAGGCGCTGTAAGAGGCAAGCTCCGGGGAGTTATTACAGCAAGACACCGGCTCCAGCTGAAACTTGCCGCCTTGGCGACGGGATTTCTTTACCCAGACGCGTCGTCATCGGATTCGCTGTCCACAGCCCTGTCAAGCAAGCGTTTCCCACTCTTTGTACGCTCTCCTTACTTTTCGGCACTCTCTTTCCCCGTCAATTAGTCCTTTCGCTATCGTCTCATTACTTCACTTCATTTCATGTCTCTCATTGCGTTCGTCCCTTAGTATCGGCCTCAAGGAAGGAAGCTTGAGAAGATGCCACGTCTATCAGACGAGGTAGAGGAAGAGCACCTTCTTGGCGCCGAATATTCGGACCACGAAGGGGTGCTACCAATGGACCCGTCCGAACCGTCCCCCCGTGCCGGCTTCCGAGCTTTCCAAAGACCTCCGCCGCCGAAATGGAGGCGGCCCTCCTCCGGCGATGGCGGTCTCGGCGGTGCCCTCGGCGGGGTGGTCTACAAAGCCGGCTCGCGTCTCAATGCCGCCTTGGCTCCGTTCCGTGCCCGATCGCCGCGTACCATCATCTTTATGCTGGCCCTCCTCAAATTTGCCATTACCATCAAGGGCATGATGCTCATGCTGCCCATGATGAGGCTCATCGAGGATGACATTTGCCATAAGCACTACAAGACTAGCCCCACAGAAATTATCCCTGAGATGAAGTGCAAGGTCGACGAGGTGCAGAAGCAGCTTGCTTGGCTGGGCGGGTGGCAGTCTCTCATCGGTGCCGTCGTAAACTTCCTCGTCGCCTTTCCTTACGGCGTCTTGTCAGATAGGTAACTCACGATTCCTCTCCCGTGTGGGAGCAAGATTGAAGTTATCCTACTGCGTGTCCATTCACCTTATCGCTAACACAACTTCCGTACGTTCAGCATCGGCCGCAAGGCAGGCCTCGTCTTCGCTTACATCGGTACTATCGCCGCCTTCAGCTGGTCCCCTTTCATTCTGGCCAACTTCCCCCAGCTGAGCATCTACTACCTCTTCTTCGGCTCATGCTTCTTCTTCTTCGGCGGCGGCATCGTCGTCGTCTTCAATAACGTCTACGCCATGGCCGCGGATATCAGTACCGAAAAGGATCGCGCCTCAAACTTTGTTATCCTGTCCGTCGGCGCCGTGGTCGGTGGCGTGAGCGGCCACGTCTCCGCCGGCTTCCTCATGGAGAAATTCGGTCCCTGGGTGCCGATCCGTATGGTGTTCATCCTCACCCCGTTCGTGATCCTCATCATCATGCTCCTGCCCGAGACTCTCCGTGTCAAGCTCGATAACGGGAATGAACCGCCGAAACCGCAGCTCCCGTTGGGCGACGCCATCAAGGAAGGCTTCCTCAAAGGGCTGGTCCAGCTCAAGGACTCTCTCGCGATCCTCAAAAACCGCAACATTCTCCTCTGCCTTGTGCCCTCTATCGTCGGCAACCCAATCATGACGGCAAACTCCTCTACTCTACCGCAGTACGTGAGCAAGAACTTTGGCTGGACCCTCGCTCAAACCAGCTTCCTCCTCTCCCCGCTGGGCTTCCTACACCTCGGCACCCTCGTTCTCCTTCCCTGGGTCTCAAAAATCGTCGTTGATCCCCGCGGCCGCTTCCGCCGCACCGGCTTCGGCAAGGACGCCCTCCTCGCCAAGGCGTCCTACATCATGATCGCCGCCGGCGCCCTCCTCGAGGCCTTTAGCCGGGAGATCGTCGTGTTCCTCCTGGGTCTTGTCTTCCAGACCTTTGGTTCGGCCCACAATCCGCTCGCGCGCGCCATGATCACCGAGTTTGTCGATCCGGAGCACACGTCCCGGCTGTACGCGCTCACGAGCATGGTCGATACTCTCGGGTCTCCGCTTGGCGGACCGGTACTGGCGTGGGCGTTCTCGGTCGGACTTGAGAAGAAGGGGCTGTGGAAGGGGTTGCCGTGGTTCTACGTTACGTTCTTGGCGTCCTTGACGTGGGCAGCGCTGATGCTTGTGGAAGAGCCGAGGAAGAAGGGACCCATTCACTTGGAGACGGAGAGCACCCTAGAAGGATTGGACTATGAGTCAGGGGCGGAAGATTAACCCCGGATGAGGCTCATCTATCATTCGATATCGTTTGCTTTGTTAGTGGTTTCATTGCATTGTTTTCTTCTGGGATAGATAAGGCGGTACAGGAACTGGGTTAGATGGATTAACAAGCATAGACTGGGTATTTCATGTAAAATTACCACGACTCGACGGTAACGCAGGCTACCGTGGTCAGCGAGGAATGGGTAAGCAGGCGTTCTGGATCAATTCAATTAGAGATGGCCAATATACCGCGGACCACTTCCGGTTGCTGGGCGAAGAATTGACAGCCAACTGACGGGCAGGGCCGACCATTTTCATGAATGAGGAACCATGCCGCCGGTTATTGAAGTTGTCAACGGGGATCATCCCCGACGGGGCAAGACGATTGTGGATTCCCGCCGCCTCGTTGGCATCGATAACATCAGCTGCCATTCGCCCACGTGGCTGTAACTGGATTTCAGGTGTCAGTCGCGCATTGGGGGAGACCCTCGAATGAGTATTGTTGTGAGTGGTACGCAAGGCTAACATGAGGCATGCGAGACTACTTATCTGGGTCATCTATATCATTAATGAGGGTATTTGTTCTCTCGTGTGCGATTCTCTCACGATGGACCACAGGGTCAATGCGCATGAAATTGGGCATTTTCGGGCTTGACCGCGGTGCTGGGTGGGTTGCCTTGATCTTTTTCTTCAGTTTGTTTCTGTTGTTCGTTAGGCATCGTCATGCCTTAGCTCCTCAAGACTGCCGATGAACATTGTCACCAAGATCGCTATGATCTCGATGCCATTAACAATAGACTCGATGGCCCGGCGGGTGGTGCATATCGTCATCGTCATGGGTGACAGACCAGTCAGTCGGTTCAAAACATGAACTCATGGCCTCTCCGCTTGCAAAAAGAAGAGCAGATCAGGAAGCACCAGCCACACCGAAACCACTTCCCCTCTGTTGTCTTCGTCAGTCTCCAGGTCCTACCCAGTTCACAAGTGTCATGGTCAATGGGCGAGGATCCCTGCTGTTTTTGTGATTACTGGCCACAAACATCAGCATCATTCCAAGCGATTAGATCGTGTTAGGTCTTATCCAGGTCTCTCGAGTTTCACAGCGGCGCCGAATCCTTCGATTCTTGGCAGGTTTCTAGCGTGTGGCTGTTCCCACCCTCATCCCAGTAGAGTCTCTGTGATCAACAGATTCTCCCTTCTGCGGTTACTCTGAACTTCTCCATGAGAGATCCGTAGAAATGGAAAAACTGCGAACATTGAGGGCCACAATTGGGCGGCAACAGAGAACAGAAGCTCGATCCGCTGTGGCTCAGTTTCAACGAGAGTGTAGACTCTAGAGACTAGTTCTCTCTCCCGCCACGTCGGACCATGGCGCAACCCTACACTAATAACACAGCACCGATGATCCCAGCTCACAGCCCAATAGTTCAAACCGGAAGAGTGTTGACTGATTTCCTCCTTCACCAGTTCACCACACCCATTCCCCGGTGTTGCCCCATTTCGCCGCCGCCGCCTTCTCAGTTTAGTCTTCGCCCTGCTAATGCGGTTGGGTGGTAAGACAAGAGAGGAAAACCAGACCCTTCTTTTGATCCGTCCACAGCTACGGGATTACCCACCCCGCACTCAGTGGGCGCCGCCGCTGCACCGCAGAGGCAACCCGGCCGAACAATGTTCAAGGGCGAGGGTCTGATGTCATGGGGTGCCACGCTTGCCATCGTTATGCTATGACTCTGTTGCTGGGGACTTGGAGGGAAAAGTCCCATTTGATCCTTTCTGCCACCGAACCAACACCGAGATGGGACTATGGTTGGGCATTCATCGTGTCTGCCAAGGATTGCTGGGCGAACATATAATGCCCAGGCCTCGGAGAGAGCCCCCCGTCGTGAGGTTGTGTCACTGACAGCTTTTCTTGTGTTTTGACTCCATCGTCAAGAACCAGAATTTAAGTAGAACCAAAACCCGCCTGTGTATTGTTACTCGAGGCTTCACCACAACATTTGTACCTCACGATACCCTCACGATACCCATTTAGTATTTCATTTTCTCATACTTGAGCTCTATATATCCGTTCGCAAACAATAATACCTCTTGTACCTATTCTATCATCAAGCAAAGCAGCCGCTGCATTTCCCTCTATCCAACAAAGACAATAAAAACATGGCCACCTCCGACTTAGAATCCAAAATCCGCCAAGCAGCCGTCAGAAACCGCCAGCTCCTTGCCATCCTCGCAGACACAGACAACGCCATCCCCGACCTACGCCAGCAACGCCGTCTCATCACAGACCTAGACCACCAGCTCAAAGAATCAGACAAGAACATCCGCGCCCTCGACACCCGTCGCAAAAAGGAACTCAAAGACCATGAAAAGTTCCGCGACAGTGTCATGCGCCGCTTCGTGCACAAGGCTGTCGGCAAGCGCGACAAATTCGACGAGCGCGCCGCCCGCGAGGAGCGCGAATACTTTGACGTCCTCCAGGACGAACACCGCGAAAAGGAGCTCAATAAGAACGTGAAGGAGCAGTTGAGCGACGCGCGTGAAGCGAGCAAGGCGCTTGAGGTGGAAGCCAGGCGGCATGATGAGGCGCAGTGCGAACTGGATAGCCTCTATGATTCGATCTTTGCGGGCCCGACGCCGAGTTATCCCGAGGAGGACACCCTCGAGCAGTCGGCGGAGCAGGCGCTGCATGAATACCACGACACCCGTTCAAAAGTCGAAGCTGAACAGCATGCGATACGCCTTCTTACGGATGCGATGAAGCGGATGGGCGACTCGCTGCGGCACATGGACGACGCCTTAAGCCACTCGCGCATGGATATGTTTGGCGGCGGGACGATGACGGACATGATGGAGCGGAGTGCGCTGCAGCGCGCCGAGAGCGCGGCGCAGGAAGCGAGAATGTTGGTGATGCAGGCGCAAAGGATGACGCCGTATATCGGAGACCTGCCGCCGATTAACATCAACCACGGGAACCTCATGGGAGACGTGCTGTTTGACAACATATTCTCCGACATGGCGTTCCATGATGAGATCAAGAAGTCAAGAATGTCGATTGAGAAGTGTGCCCAGGTTTTGAGTCGGTACCTCCACGAGACCAGGGACCGACACATGTATCTCTCGCGGGAGCAAAAGGTTCGCGGTGAGAGGTTGGAGAGCACGCGCACGGCGCTGCAGAAGGAGCGGGAGAGGCTGTTCGAACAGATTGCTGGGGGAAGTAGTGATATGAAGTTTGCGTCTGCTTCTTCGAGTGCTATGCCGGTTGGATTGAATCATTGAAAGGTGGGAGGATTGGTATGAGTGTTTGACCGCTCCCTTTGGCGTGGAGCACAAGGAGTTTGCATAATGTAGGCAGCTTTAGATACCAATTTGCATGTCACATGTTTTAGTGTCAAGATACGATTTATTGTTCAATACTTCAATTGGATTTCATTTCGTCATAGTATATCTGTCCGGCCGTTGATAATACACACGCAAACTATCTAGTAGTCCATTTGCTCGTGGCGGCCACGGCGCTCACTGTACCAATCTGTTAGTCCCCGTCCGATGTGTATTTGATGACGTGAAGCTTTGCTTACGGGTTGTACTCGTCCATGTCACCGTACTGCTCCTGGTACAGGTGCTCAGCCTGCTTCTCAGCGTGTCTCTTGGCCTTCTCGCGGTCGATGTAGTCCAAGCCCTTGGTCTCGAAGAGCTTGTCGACCTCGGCGCCGGCAATACCAGCAATCATCTCCTTGGCGAACTGGTGCTTGACGGGCTCACCTGTTTAGAATGACGATTAGCAGAAGGCTTGGTTGGGTCTAGGGAGTTGCGGTACATACCGTTCTTGCGCTGACGGTCCTCGAACAACTTCATGGCCTCAAAGGCAGCGCCGCCGGCAACAATCTCGTGGGAGAGCTTGCCCTCGTGCTGGCCCTCGTAGACGGCGTCACGGTGCTCCTTGGCTTCTCCGAATCCGAACATTTTGATTGATTTGGTGTGGGGTTGGGTGGGTGTATAAAGTCAATTGGTTTGTAGTGATATAGTTGAGCTTGAGAGTGAGGTAATATGTTTTTCCAAGTCAAGAATGAGGGAGCAGCTCGAGGGGTTCTTATGCCCCTCCAGCAACCAGTTCAAGCTCTCATGTGATCGTCAAGGGGCCCATCTAAGCTTGCTCTATTTCGAGAAAACCCCTTAACCTTCCTGTGCCCCTGGATTCACACTGCCCGATGACATGATGGAGGGGTCGATCCGGCACCCCTCGACCCTCATCCGTCAACGCTGGCCACGCCTGCCTCGCCTGCCACCTTTCACGGAGGCCGCGTCCCACCGATTCATGCTCTAGCTCGCGAAGCCATTGGACACAAGTTGGGAAACCGACGGGAGGCCTTAGCTGAAGCATCAAACCCTTGACGCGGCGCGGGGTGGCAGGAGGGGTCTAGTCTAGCTTGACCCTCATCGAAACCAGTTCTGACCCAGGAAAGGCACGTCTTCAGAGGCAAGCTATTGGAGGAGCCACTGCATGGCGTCTGGCGTCTTCTTTGCCGACTTAGCCTTGCCCGACATGGGCCTGACGTAAAGCCGTGGATGTGTTTTGGCGGGGTTACTCGGCACATCGGCAGCGCTTTCGTTCTCGCTGGAGTCGGGGGACCTGACGAGTGACGACGGCTTTGTCCGTGTTTCCACGGCCGTGTGTCTTTCGTGGGTTATGATTCGAGGGACAGTCCGAGGAGGGGGGTTTAGACTCCAGAGCCCACCTCAATCGTTCTCTTCTCTTTCTCTCTCTCTCTCTCTCTCTCTTCTTGCATTCAAGCTCTCGGGTCAAGCAAGAGTAGCCAACGGCTATGACTGAGCAACCCAACACTGGACGAACACAGCTAAACAAAGGTTCTTGTCCACAAGCCTCCCTTTGAAGTTTGCAGCCAATTGAGTTAGATTCAAGATTTGAGATGTTACCCGGAATTCCACGCTTGTAGCCGATTCGGTCAAGCCCCGCCGGCCCGGGGACTTCGGCATTGGGAGCTGCGTCACTATATCAGCCACCCCTGCTGGGCTGAACCAGAGACGGAAAAAACAACTGGGGATGCGCTGCGGCAAGAAAGCTTGACCGTCGCGCGGCTAACCGGCAAAGAAGGTCTCCATGCGCCGCTGCCCCCCTGTGTCTCCCATTGGAGCTACCATATCCAGTCTTGTTACACAATGATGCCCCCGTCGGGCGCCTCTCTCTCATGAGGATCGAGCAAGTGAAGCGAACAAACGTCTCCAGCTCTTATGCAGCTTCGGCATATCCAGCCCACATAACGTTTGATCTTGAAGAAAAGACAAGTCGACCCTGCATAACTTCAAGTGAAGCTGGAATCCGGGTCTCTCTTCAATGACGTGTTAGGAAGCTCCGTGCAGCGGGTGTCTCAGAGACTCTTCAATCCGATGTACTTTACAAAGAATAGGGGGGGGGGGATGAGGGGTAGCTCTCGTAAGGTGGGCGAGAGTTGTTTATTCTCCTCTGAATCGTCCAAGTTCCAAACCAATTCCCCCTCACCGCTTGAATCGACGATTCCAGGCCCTCCTTCACGACAAAGAGCGGACGGAACCTTGACGGGTGCCATCCGGGTCCAAGAAGATAGCTTGGATGGGCTGCCGCTTGGCTGACTGACTGGTTAGTTGGCTGATTGGGTTGGCTGGTTGGCTGGTGCTGGCATTCCTGTTCCAAGGTTTCAACTTGTGCCTTGGAAACTTGCATCCGCCCGGCAGCAAGCTCAGTCATGCGTGAGGCTTTCATAGACCGCTGGTCCGCGGCCCTCATAAACCTGCTGATCTTACGAATGCTGCTCCAGAAGAAGCTTACGCATTGTGAGTAAACGTGAGACTGTGGTTTCGTCACATTGCTTTCCTCCTTCAAAAGACCTCAAAACACATCTTGTGCTCGAGGCTTTGGTGAATTTTCGTTTCAATAGGCGAGGCCCGCGTGGTGAGGTAGCTGCCAGATCATCGATGGCCCGGCACAAGACGATCACCTTTCTTGGCAACAGCGGGATCATGCATCGTCGGAAGCCCCCCGGCTTGGCAAGGGTCCAGACGCCAGGGGTCCTAGTGTCCACCCTTCCAACAACTAGTGCAGATAGCTTCATGCTGGCTCCTTCACCACCTCGAACTTGTGTGCTCACCTACTGGTCTACGAGTGAGGCATCTTTCTATGGGATGCAAGTGCTCTTCGAGTAGGCGTTGTCACTGAGAGGCTGTAGACCCCTGTTCATCCTACAATGCGAGCTTCCATCTTCACACAAACGTGATGGCGCCACGAATTGCCTTTAGCTTTGCAAGTCGTAAATTGCTCGCTCTTGATGCCAGTCGAAGCCATCAAATATGGCCTGTCTATGATTTACCACCAAACTTCACCAGGTACTCCTCGTGTGCCTTCTTCTGGCTCTGCCACTGTTTCTGCAGCTTCTTGAGCTGGCTCTTGGGCACGTCACTGCCGTCCTTAAGCTTAGTTGGCAGTCCCTCCGCGTCCCACTCCGAGTACTTCTCATCTCCCTTGAACAGCTCCGTGTGGGGAAGCTTAGCCTTCTCCCACTTCTCCTTCTCCGCTTGCTCGCGCGCTCGTTTCGCCTCTTCCTTGGCCCGGGCCTTGTCCGCTTCCCTGGCCAACTTCTCGTTCTTCGCCGCAATCAATTCGCTGGCAGGTACAAACTTGATCAATGACGACTTGCCATCCGGCCTGTCATCCAAGTAAACTCCGAGATTTGTAAGGTCTTCGTCACGAATCCGATCTGTAAGAGACAGGATGGCCCTCTTCGTGTCGGGAGACACTGATGACACGATACGACGAAGCTCGTCACGCAGTCTTGAAGTAGCCCGTAGGTATGGCAGTGCCAATTGTTCAGGGTCGCGAACACCCTTCTCAGCCAAAGCAGAGAACTCTGATTCCGGCCTTTGTTGCGACAACAGAGCGGAAACGGAATCGGCCGAAGTCTTCAGCGCCTCAACATCCGACGTCACGGTCTGGAACACCGTCGCGTACGGCTGCACGACAGTCTTGGGGTCAAGCTTCGCGTTAGACGCAGGTGCAGCCCAGCCAAGGCCGTCATAGGGCGCCGTGGCATTTTCGTCGAGACCGAATGTTCCAAGGATCTTTGTGATCCAGCGGGCAACAGCAACGAGCGCGGGCACGTTAGCCTCTGCGTCCTGGGAAACAACGACCTTGTTGGCTTCGCTGACAAGTTCCTGAATAACACGCATCGCTTGAGGGGTATCGAAAGAGTTCGTAAGGGCGGTCTGCAGGTCAGTCTTGGCTTTCTCCAGACTGCTGACAAGGCCTCCAGTGGGCTTCTCTGACAGTGACAGAGACTCTACACCATCGGCAGAAGCGCTAGCATCCGCAACATATGCCTTGACGTTGGTGAAATAGTTCTGCCGATACGTTAGTTTGAAGATGACTGTTACGTTATGGCTCAGAGACTCACGTTGATGGTTGCCTCCCAGCTGGACGCCTGGGCGCGCATGTCGGGGGAAATCTCAACGCCATCGTTCCACTTGCCCATCAGGAACACAATGCGCATTCCTCTGGATGTGTAAGTCGTGGCAAGGGCATCTTGGATAGTCTGAAAGTTCTTCAAAGACTTGGACATCTTTGAGCCAGAGATTGACAGGTGACCCATGTGCATGAAGTTGTTGACCCACGTGTGCTCTCCCTTTGTGTTGTCGACGTAAAAGGCCTCGCTCTGGGCCAACTCGTTATCGTGGTGAGGGAAAGCCAAATCGATACCGCCGGAGTGAATATCCATCTGGGCTCCGAGAATGTCAGAAGCCATGACGGAGCACTCAATGTGCCATCCCGGGCGACCCTGACCCCATCTGCTCTCCCAGTATGGCTCTCCCTTCTTGGACTTCTTCCACAGCGCAAAATCGCCTTCATTGCGCTTTTCGCCCAGGTTCTTCGACAGAGCCCCCTCTCCATCCTCCTGCAGTGACTTATCGTTGCGGTTGCCGGGTCGCAGACGAGCGTATGTGTTGCCGGCCTTCTCGAAAGCTGTGATATCAAAATACACGGATCCGTCAGACTCGTATGCGAATCCCTTGTCCACAATGCGCTCGACAAAGCTTGCAATCTGGGGAACGTATTCCGTAACGCGCGTGATGACGTCGGGACGCAAGCAATTGAGAGCGTCCATATCGTCGAAGAATTCCTTCTCCATGCTCTGGGTCAGGTCCGTAAAGATGGTCTGATCGCTCGTATCGATGGTCTCTTTGTAAAGGGAGTCCAGGTACGGCAGAAGAATCTCGTCGGTTCCAGGGAAGAACTTCTTGTCCTTGATCGCAAATGCAGCAGCGTCCATGTTCGCGATGTGCATCTTCGTCTTGGCCTCGTCGTCGCCAGGCTTGCCTTCTCCGGTCAGGGTGCCACCTGCAAGAACCTTTCCGTATGCGCTGTCCCTTCGCTCGAGGTAGTTGTTCTCGTCGAGGTCGGATGATTGGATCAGAGACAGGCTCTTCTCGGCGTATGCGCGGAAGGCTGTCAGGGTAAGCTTCGCCAGCTCTTCGTCCGAGTACTTCTTCTGCTTCTCGAGTTCAAGGAGACGTTGTCTTCGGGCCTTGATGATGATCTGCGCCACGGAGAATAGTCAATAAAGCCTGTCTTGTAAGTAGAAAGCTATAAATCAAACCTTGTCGTCAACATCAGTGATGTTCATGACAAACTTCACGTCGGCGCCGAAGTAGTGCATCATGATGCGCCGGATGATGTCGGTCGACACATAGTTGCGGGCGTGGCCCAAGTGACTCTTGTCGTAGACAGTAGGACCGCAAGCATACCAAGACACCTTGCCCGGGTTGATTGGTGTAAATGACACCGGTTGCCCGGGCTTCAAGGAGTTGTGCACCTTCAAAGACTCCATGGTCGCGATGGAGGAACAAGCCCTATAGAATCGAAAGTTGGGTATCTGAGTGGAGAGAGAAATGGAAATTCTGGTAAGTCTAAAGAGGCGATTCATCCAGAACAAAAGGAGAGGGGCACAAGGAGGGCAGAGTGCATGAGAGGGAGGAAAGAGTCACGTCGAGAGGGCTGGGTCGGAGGGTCGAGTTCAGAGGGTTGAGTCACTCAATTGGGAAGGGAGGGGACGGCGACTTTCTTGGAGGGAGCAATTAGCCGCCCACCTATCAAAAAAGGCCGGTGTGACACCATCGTCAGCCTCGCAGTCAATTGGGGCGCTGTGTCAACAGCTGAGTGGTCAGGCTCTCATTCAGCCACAACTGCCCCGCGCTGAGCCACAGTCAACTTTTTTTCTAATTCAGCCTCGCGAAGTTTTTCCTCCATTGCCCTCCAACCTGCATTCCTGGCTAGCTTTCCTGCACCACTTCAATTGTCCAGAAAGGCAGCCTGGGTCGATCAATCCTGGCTTATTACCAGTCAGAATGGCGACCGACATCACGAAACTGACGAAACCGTCTCCATTCCTTCAGCCTGGCCCTAGGACGTCAGCCAATTCCATCGCAATTGTGCAGCTCTCTCGCGACAACCTCGTTCCTCTCATCCTCCAAGATTCTACCGGTGCGGTCGACGGCTATGCCGAAGGAGCAGTCCTCAACACACGATTCGGCTCATTCCCCCACTCTACCCTGATTAACGTACCATGGGGGTCGCAAATTCGTGCCTCAATTGTTGACACTGGCTCCAGAGGCCGGAAGCGCAAGAGGAAGGAGGAGGAAACGGACGCATCAACACCAGCAGCAGGAGATGAGGCCGAGGCGGAATCTATCGCACCGGTTAAGAAGGCGGCCACCGCCGCGAGCGGTTTCGTGCACATTCTCCAGCCTACCGCCGAACTCTGGACCGCGGGCCTGCCGCACCGAACACAAGTTGTCTACACCCCCGACTACAGTTACGTCCTCCAGCGCATACGAGCGAGGCCCGGTACCCACCTTATCGAAGCTGGCGCAGGAAGTGGTAGTTTCACTCACGCTTCGGCGCGTGCGGTATACAGCGGATACCCCGAAGACGACTCTCAACGAAAGGGCAAGGTCTTCAGCTTCGAATTTAACAAGGATCGCTATGTGAAGATGCAGGAAGAGATCACTGCGCACGGGCTGGAAGGCATCGTGAAGCTTTCGCATCGAGACGTTTATAACGGCGGGTTCCTGGTGGACGGCAAAAGCCCCGAGGCAGAGTCGGTGTTCCTCGATCTACCCGCGCCCTGGGAGGCCCTCCCCCATCTGTCACGACGAAAGCCAGCGACAAAGGACACAGAAGGCGAGACACAAGAATGGGTTTCTCCGTTAAATCCCAAGAAGTCGGTCTACATCTGTACCTTTTCGCCCTGCATCGAGCAGGTACAAAGAACGATCAATACAATGAGACAATTGGGATGGGTGGACATTGACATGATTGAAATCTCCCACAAGAAGTTCAACGTCATCCGAGACCGTGCCGGGTACAGCCAGCCCGATCGCGGTATCGCGGCGAGCGCACGCGACGTGGGCGAGGCAGTCGGCAAGCTTCGCGAGATCGAGAGAAGAACGAGAGAGTACCACAACCCGGCAGACCCCAACTCGGCAGACGACTCGCCGGCAGGCAACGCCATGGACGTGGACCAAGCGGGAGAAGCTACAAATGGCGATGAAGAAGAAGGACCCTTCGCGGGCAAGCCGTGGCTGCAGGGTCGCATTATCCACCGCGCGGAGCCGGAGCTGAAGACGCATACCTCGTACCTTGTTTTCGCCGTGCTGCCGCGTGAGTGGAGCGAGGAGGATGAGGCCGCCGTGCTTGCAAAGTGGCCGTGTGGCTCAGAGACTGGTGTTATTGGAGCCAAGGACAAGGAGACGCGCAAGCAGGAGAAGCGCGATCTCCTCGCGGGCAAGGGCAAGAGAAGGAAAGGCAAGTCGGGAAAGGCTTAAGGTGCCTTCACGACTTTGTAATCGTCAACAACGATTACGGCAAGTGGCGATGAGAATGCTAGATACCCTAACGTTAGTGTCGGGACATTCCAGGAGTATGGTGGTAATTCATGAGTCAAAACGATTGCATCTCCCTTTCTTTTGGCAGCTTACCGTGATTGTGTACGGAATGCGCAGTGTCGCTCCCTGGAAGCGATGGGATAGAAAATGGGGCGATGAACGTGAAATCTTTCGTCTCATTTGACCTGTTGCTTAGTCCTTGGCTACCATGGCTTCGGGCTGTCTGCCTTTACCCTCCACCAAAACTCCAGCCTTCCTCAAAATATCGACCGTGTTATTCACAACCTCGGGCTTGACACCCTCCACACCATCAGTAAACTTGACCGTCTTCAGCCACTCCCTAGCATCCGCCTCAGAGTAATCCAGATGGGTGCTAATGTACTTGACAGCCTCATCCTTGTTCTCGTTAAAGTGCTTCACGCCCTTGTCAAGCTTCTCAAACAGATCCTTGATCCTCGAGTCGAGCTTCTGCCCCTCCTTGGCCAGCGCTGTCGAGGCGACAATCTTCCAGCTGCTCCAGGGCGTGTAGATCTCGCCTACGCGGCGGATCTCGCCCGAGTCGTAGTAGCGCTTGGAGGTGAAGTGCTCCCACATGAAGAAGTCGGCAGCGCCCGAGTTGACGGCGTTGCGGAGGGTCTCAAAGTTGTTGAGAATCACAGTGTCAGAGAACGGTGCCGGGGTGGACGGGGTGAGCCAGCCGTGCTGGTCGGCCAGGACGAAGCCCATGATCTGGCTGCCGGAGCCGATGCGGGAGACGCCGATCTTGCCACCCTGGAGAGAGTCTACTGAGGTGATTTCGGGGCGCTTGGCACCGGTTGAGATGGCCCAGCCTTTTGGTTTCCATGTCAGTAGGGTTCTAAGCAGTTGGTCTTATGAACATACAGAGGGGCGTGTCAACGTAGGTGCCAACAAGGCGATAGCCGCCATCTCCAGGGGCGTCTTCCTTGCCGAGGCCGGCGATCCAGCCCTCTGTCAGACCGATACCGATATCGATCTCGCCGCCGCGAATGGCCGTGATCATGTGTCCCGTTCCGGAGGGGAAGGGAACTAAGGTGGCATCAAGGCCGAAGTGCTCCTTGGCGAAATAGAGGGGCGTGGAGAAGTGCTCTGGCACGTATCCAATTCTGAGAGGTGAAGCCATGTTTGATGAATAAGCTGAGAAGAGGGTGAGAGAGAGTGAGTCAAAGACCAAGTCTTTGATGAGTTGTAGAACTGGAAGAGTAGCGCGGAAGCGGGACTTTCGAGAGTTGCGAACTCTCGGGCCGGGACGAGTGAAGCGGCCGATGACTGTACAGTGAGTGAGTGAGTGCGGGGTCCTTTCCACTGCTTTCCAGGCTCTGTGGGTCAGCGCCGTGGTCCGTCCACCGGTGCAGAACTCAGCGGGGCCGCAGTGGGACGCCCGGCCCTCTCGCTGGGGCGGCCTCAGTCTTTTCAATTCCTCGGCCGATTCATTCTAATCGATACTTTGAATGATAGGGGGTCGTCTTTGAGCTGCAAAGAATCTCTATCACGAAAAGCCTCTTTGGTACGACTATAAGGAATCATACGCTTGACACTTACGCTCGCGAAGCTTTGGGTGTGAAGGTTTTTCACTTGAAATTAAAGTCTGCGACGGTGAACCTAAAGATGCCTTGGCTGCGGGACGCCGACAAGCGGCAACGACGTGCATTCAAATATTCGGTTGGCCATGAGCAGGTAAGTATGCGTGTTGGTGAATATAACTCAGTCAGTACCTTCTTCCTGCCAGTGAGGCTATCACACTTCCATCCTGAATGATTTTCAAGCTTCAGATTCCTCGAGTCTTGAAGCGTATTCAAACCCCAGACTTCCGATATGAGACTGAACTCTTCTTTGCCAAAAGAAGTAGATTGGAGCGCCTGGTTTACTAGCCGTGCGCTAATTTTGGCCATCCTGGGCCTGGTTTCGCTGTCCGAGGTGGTTGAGGTTGATGTGGGCAACATTTTTATGATGAACTGGCCCTTGGTTTAGCCATCAGACAAACATTCCCACATCTAATCTCAGTCATCGCCTGTGGACTGAGCCCATTGCCTCCGAAACTTTGGTTGGGAACAGCCTTCTAATTGAACTACTCAAAGATCTTCATTCTGCCATACTTATTCTAAGACTGAATGCTCAGATTTTGGCACACTAAGACGCACACAACAGATGTTGAAATGGAGATCCACCAACCAATCCCAACTTTTAATCACTCGCAACTTCTTTTTGGTATACCTCTTATCAATTACAAATTCTCATTCATGTTAAAGACACATATTACAATACTTCATAAAGATAGAGATGACTTCGTCATAATCATCACAAAGATTGAACAATTTTGCACCTGAATCCTGTCAAGTGTTGTAAGGGGTGAAGGAGGGAGGCTTTGTTGAATCTACCCATTCCTCTACATCGGCCTCTGAATGTGTCCATGTCACATTTAGAAGAGACCGCAACTGTATCCTCAACAATACTTTGCACCCATATTCAAGACAGAGAAGCAGTCATGATATGCATATAGCGTTCAACTATAGCTTCCTCTTAGTTCATGATCAGCATACAGAACAAGCCACGTCTCCCAGCCATGGTCTGTTCAGGTAGTCTACGGTCACTCCTCACGTCTACAACCAGCAACGTCCCATTACCACGCTCTCCATGGACGTAGTCTCGAATTCGGTATGCCTTAGTAAATCAAAACCGGAAACACAGACAGCTAGTCACGTGTTTACCCAGAAGCACCAAGCTCGAGTCAAGTTGAAGATTGCAACCTTCCCAAAATAAAACCTTTCCCACTTCACACCAATTCAGCAGCAGCTAAATTGTCCCATCGCCAAAAGCCCAAACGCCTGAATGTCATTGCAAGATGATGATCCTTACCAGAGACAAGATGAGACTGCCGACCTAGGACAATACCTCTCAGATGTCTGGGGACCATGTCTTTGCGAACCGTCTCTTTCCACAATTGGCTGCCATCACACGAACATCTTCGGCCCAAGATCCGCCCCGGGAAGGCCTCAGCTGAAGAAGGGCCAGGAGAACAACGTCCTCATCTACTCGGGCTGCTTCAATCCGCCGCACCTGGGCCATTACAATCTCCTCCGACGGGCATTTGAAGGCAGCCAAGACCTCAACGTGATCGCTGCCATCGTATATCCAGTCAGCACAAGAGTTCTGGAACGCAAGGCCGAAAGGAGACAGCAATGGCTCATGTTCAATATGGCCGACCGCGTGCGACTTTGGCACGGTGACTCGAATGAGCCCCAGTAGTACTGGACTCACGACGGTGGCAGGCTCAAGTTTGAAGATATGTGGCTTCGTGTTCTGGAAGCAGTCAAGCGAGACGGTTTCGATCTCAAGTTTATTGAGGTCGCAGGACCTGATCACGTCGTACCCACGCGTGTATACGGGACGTTTGGATGGGGGTTCGAAATCTACAGAACCATCTTGAGCAATGCAGGAAGAGAGTTCGATCTTCTTCAACCTGGAGGGCAACTCGAGAAAATGCGTGGATATGGGTTCTGGGAGGATGCCATCGACTATACCAAAGCCATGAATCAGAAAACCGACTATACCAACGCGGTGCACCAGATTGTCGAGGAGAGAGCTATTGAGCACAACTCTCGCTTTACGCTACTCTTACCTCCATTGATTGCCGGGGCAGCTGAGCAACCACATCAGAGTAAGTGGGCCAGTCTCTCACTTTAGGCTCAAAGAGCATGGAGACATACGCTAATGAACATACGTATCAGTGGATGATCGCAACACAGACGTGGACCAAGAACCAGCCACAGGTACCGACGGTCTCGCTGAAACACACATATCAACAGATAATTCTAATGCAAATGAGGAGATGGGACACGGTAACGACGTTATTCCCGAGGGACGGAAAATCAAAGTCTGCCGACGGATCGGGGACTCGGAAACCTGGGTTCGCTTCGTTCCAGCGGATGCCCCGCCCTTAACATTCAGCTCGACCCTGATTCGGCGTATTCTGGAAGGAGGCTTCCTGAAGAAAGGGAATCTGGCGGGAACGAGTTGGGCGCGAAGTATGCTGGAGGATGAGGCCCTTGATAGTGTCAAGGGGATGGTCCTGTACCCGGAGGTGCTAGCAAGGATTATGCTCCAACGACATGGAATTGCAAGGCTAGGTGAGGCTTGACAAGACAAGGAATCGAATCAGCATGATCAAAAGGCCAGCGGACTTGGACAGGCAGAGTTATTGAAGTCTCTTCTAGCAAAACTCTGGGTCTGCGTCAACAACCTGAAACCAGTTTCTTTTTAGACAGCTCTTCCCTAGAATTCATGACATTGCTATGGGAATGTTTTAACCATGTTTCTTTTCGGGCTTAGTTTCTCCATCCATTTGGACAATGAAGTTGTTCTAGCTGATGACCAGCTATCTCATTCTAGACAAGAAGCACATTTTGAATTAATTTTCTCCCTTCTGAGTACTGACCAAATCAAATTCGCATTCCAAGTAGAAGGAAAAACCTACACTTAGAGGCAAAGTCTTGCTCACGCTCAAGTCTATACGATGAAGTCGACCAACCTTTCAAGCTTTTCAAGAAAGTACCTAGACCATGGGAGGGCCACCAACTTGTCTCCGTTAATCAATGCTGCTTTACTGGCACTTACCTGCATTCTTTCCCATTCGATGTTTTATGAGGTTGCAAAGATATCGAACAGACCTCGCCTGCATAAGATCTTACAACCAACAGCGGCGAATACCCATAGCACTAGATCAGTCCGATTATAAGATGATTTGTGATCTATTGGATTCCTTGCCTTCGATGGCTGATCATCACCAGATGAGTAATTGAAAACCTTGATTACCAATTGCGTGTCCCGCAGAAACCAGGTTTGACTACCTTACTTCAGGTATGTCTACGAACGTCACAGTATTCTACGTAAACAAAAGAATATTAGCATGATCGCTCGATTTCATGTTCAACAACAACACGGGATTAAAACGACTGGGACATTCCCGTCTACCCCGGGCTCACATGATTAGCTTCTTCGACAAGGCTTTGAGTCGATGAAATGGATAAACTTGGCCATGTCCTGCAGTAGCGTTATCAATAGTCACCAGCTGAAAGCCAGATCCGGAAATATTAAGAGACGGGCCCTAGTCGATGAGCTAGCAGCCCTACGGTTTTGGAGTAACGGAGACACATAAAGGGAGGACCCTGCCGATAAACACCATTCACTGATTGTGCATGGGCTTCCCTTGTGTTTGCCTCAGTAGTCGCGGCTTTCGTCCCAACAATGACGGCAACCGTGCCTTCCGTGCCGCCTTTGCCGGATCAACAAGACATTGCTGAATTCAGCTATACAAATGACAAGGTAATCCTGCCCTCGGCATCAACTCACATCAGACTTCTCGAACTCTATCCATCGACACACGGATTTGACGCCGCATCCGCATCCGCGTCCGGGGCACCCAGTAATACAGACGAAGGTGATTCTGACAACGCGTCGTCTCACTACTCGAGCCCTCTCAGATGCGCCCTCTCGACGACCCCGATCGCCACGCCGCGGCTATACAAAGCGCTGTCATACACCTGGGGTACATCGGAAGCAACTCACAGCATTGACATCGAGGGTGCGAGCCTGCTCATCACGGCCTCGCTCGACACGGCGCTGCGACACATTCGTCGTAAAGATGAGCTTGTCACGCTCTGGATCGACCAGATCTGCATCAACCAGGAGGATGGTGCGGAGAAGGGAAATCAGGTGGCCCTCATGACCCAGATCTACACCAAAGCGGAACAGGTTATCGTCTGGCTGGGTCCGGCAGAGAACAACTCCGATACCCTTATGGAGTGTTTGCAAGAGATTGGACAAGAGGCTGCTGACCTAGCGATCGAGAGCTATCTCACCAAGGAATGACTGCCGCTACTGCACAGTATTATGAGAAACGAGAACCCAGAAGACCCAGTGACTATGCAATACCAGCCTCTAATGGCCAAAGCCGTGGCCAAGTTCAAACTCCTCTTAAGCGAGATGATCGCCTGGAACGAGAGATTGTGGTTCACTCGGGTCTGGATCATCCAAGAGCAAGCTCTTGGTTCCGACCCATTCTTCCTCTGCGGCTATAAGACAGTAAGACTGGACCTGATCCCTTTCGCTACCCTCGTCTGGGACGGGTGCATATCAGTGCTCAGCGTGCCGACTGAAACCAGCGAGTTTAGGCAGCTTCTGCTCAAGGCCCAGCAACGTCGTTTGAGTCCTTTGATGTCCCTGAGACGTAGGCGGCGGAACTTTTTCAAGGGCCTAGGCCCGGGAGATGACTTTTATTACGTCTTGAAGAAGGCGTACGTCGATGGGGACGCCCAAGTGACAAGACTTCGAGACAGAATCTACGGGTTGCTCAGTATTGCCAATGATGCGGATAGACTGGGGATTACTCCAGACTATGTCACCGAGGATAGCCGGCCTACCTTCATCGACGCAGCTTGTGCTCTTATTCGTGTCGGCCGTGTAGAGATGCTCTCATTCTCACAGTTCCCAAAGGACATTGAAGGGCTCCCATCTTGGGTTCCTGAGTGGAGGCCGACGTTAGAGCATTCTTACTTGTACGCTTTCGAGGATGCAGACCAGCGCATTTTGCAGGCTTCAGGCGAGACCTCGACTGAGCTTGTGCCCACGGACGACCGCGGCGTGCTCGGGATTCGTGGTATCATTGTTGACACCATCGAAACAACAGGCGACGCGTGGAGGTGGGAACAAGGTCGAGAATGCCGCTACAAGCTTCTCCAGACGATCAATACCTTGTGTGAGGAGGCAGCTGCAAAGGGATTTAGCCACGAGATTTACGAAAATAGTGACAGACAGGCGGAAGCCATGTGGCGGGTACCCGTGGCAGATCTGTATTGGAACGAAGGGGCTGTCTACAGGTACCAACGACCCGATCCAGCCGTCAGAAGCGACTACGAGGACTGCATGCATTGCCACAAGATGCTCTCTCTGACGTTCGAGGTCTTTCCCCCAGAGGAACGCCAGCAGCTTTTGGACGATTTCAGCAGACGAATTCCGGGGCAGTCCAACTATAGTGAGAATATGGACAAGATGACTGGCAAGTGTCCATATATGACGCGCAAGGGATACGTGGGCATGGGTCCGGGCGAGGCATGCCCGGGCGACTTGGTGGTGATACTGTTCGGCTCTCGGATCCCATACGTCCTGAGACCGTCCGGAGACGGGACGATGTACTGTTTCGTAGGGGAGGCATATTGTGATGGAGTCATGGACGGCGAGATGTTGACTAAGCGGGAAAAGACGACGTTTCTGATTGCTTGAGTCGGCTGGTTACCCATTCACAAGGGGAGCAGAGGGGGGAGAGGGCACGTCTGAGAGTTGGATGGGAGGCAAAGAAGCGCTCGAGCAGCAAAGTTTTGTTTTATCCGGGGTACTCGTCGAGTGTTTCCTCTAAAGGTGTTCTGTTCGACCGTCCGATCTCTATGTGAAAAGTCTATGGAAAGAAAAGCCATTTCCCCCAATGCCCGCCGTGATGTGATGATATGAATGCACTCCGTAAGATACATCAATGAGAAAATGAGAGATAAAGGGAAATAGTCAGGTAGAGACTGGAGGGTATTTCAAGAAAGTGAAAAAAGAATCCAATTTGGAATTGTGCGCGCTGCTTTTTTTGCACGCTGATGAGATATGCTGCCCCAAAAATGATTAAACTCCTTTCGCTCGGCCAGAGCGGAAATATTGCCAGAAACCTCCCAGACATCCGTCTGGCGCTATGAACATTGAAGCATGAACAGTGAGCCAACCCTGGCCCAAGACTGTGCAAGTACGAATCCGTGTGCGGAACTGCGTACTGCGATGAACCTTGCGATCGAGTCGCAGACAACCCGTTTCCTAAACAGTCTCCCCTCTCCTCCGCTGTGCCGTGAAGTTGCTCAGTGGTCGTTGTAGTCCTCGTCCCTCATGGTGTACATGATGTCTTGGATAACGACCGCCCTGATGTGGTGGTACAGAACGAAGCAGTAAGCTCCTAGTAGACAGACACTCATTCCTGTTGCGAACCATTTCACGGCTTCGTTGCCCAGTTGGTTGGCGATGGTGATGGTGGCAAGAGTGAAACCTGTGTTGGGGAAGACCATGGCCCACCAACCCAAGTGGAAGTAGACAGGAGGCGATGAGATGACGGCGATGGTAGCGATACCGAACCACCAGGCAGCTAGGGCCCAGAGGAAGATGGCGCTCATGAGAGCAATGGTCCTGATGATGCCAGCGTCGATGATGATTCCATCGCGGTCGGGGTCGAGGTTGTTAGGGAGTCCGTTGGCCATGCCGATGAGAGCGAGGGCAGTGAAGGCCGGGGGACCGACGTTCATGAACAGACCAGGGCGATGCTCGCGGTGGGGAAGGCCTGCAGACATGAGGCGGCCGACCATGTGTGCGTACATGAGGACGGCGACGGACAGACCAAGACCCTGGCAAGTGAGACCAGCAACGACGATGGGCACCGCCGCGATCTCAGGCTGGGTGTCGGCGATGACGGAGGCAATGGTACCAGTAAGCATGATGGGGAAGATGGGAAGAATCCATGTCGGCATCATGGTCTGGAGGCCAAAGTTGTGCCTGGCGAAGACGAAGCTGTACTGGCCGATGGCCAACATGAGCGTGACGATGAGGTAGCCCCAGAAGGCGACCTGGATGGCCCAGACGAGGGTCTCATCGTTCTCGGGAATGGCGTATCGGTTCGTGCTGGTGATGAGCGTTGCGATGGACAGGAAGAAGGTCGGGAAGAAGAAGCCCTCACGCTCGTGGGTCAGGGACTTCTTCATGTCTCCGGGGTAGAGGAAGAATCTTGTCAACATGGCCGAGCAGACGAGGACGAAGAGGATGATGTTGATGACATAGACGACGGTACCGATTTGCCTCAGTCCGGGGAACTGGTGCGGTTGTGCGAAGATGAGGAGCGCGAGACCTCCCGTACTCATGGTGAGGGTGTACCACGCCCAGGTGAAGTGGTGGATACGCGCCTTCCAGCCCATCCTCGGGCGGTTGGGGTCGTTGATGTCAATCATTCCAAGGCCTGGGACATCACGCAGGTGGCTGTGGGCGGCGGCATGAGGTGTTGTTCCCTTCTCGACGACGGGCGTGATGGATGTGTTGTAGCCGTCCTTCTCCGTCTCCTTGCCCTTCTTCTCGTCGACGAATCCAAGGTCTAGTGGTGCCAGCTTGGGTGAGTTTGGTCTGGAAGTCTGCCACTCTGCCGAGTTCTTGCGCGTCGACACCTCGGACTCGGTCCACGCCGAGTGTTGGGGATCTCTCCGATCCATTGTGGAAATCTTTTTTTTTTGTTGTTTTATATGATGATGTATATGCTCGCTGGTGGTGACCGGTCGAAGCAGGAAACAGGCAAAGCACGTCGAATCTCGCAGAGAATAAGTCGTTCGCTCGCGTATGGGGGTTGTTGAGTGAGTGTCGGTTTGTGGGTAAGGACCAAACAAGAGGCAACTGGGGAAAGATGGGGTATGGAGTTCTTGATATATGGAGGCGACGATGGTGAATGTTGTGAACCAAGAACCAAACAGAACTAAAAAAGGGGCACTTGCTGTCGCTGAACAAGGGGATTCCAGCTCCGGTGGATTGATGCTAAGATTGGAGGTCTTGGACCGGATGATATATCTCGAGAGACTGGAGAAGATGAGAGGGTGCGTAATGAGTCCGGTTCTTCAGACCAAGCCCTGGTTCTCAGAATAGATACAGACTGACTGATAAAACAGGGTATCAGTCCGGTGGAGACAGGTACGTGCAGTCAAGTCAAGGTGAGAGGCATCAGTAGTAGCAGCAAGAAGCAGGGGGGAGTGAAGAAAGAACAAAAATACACCAAAGTGTGTGCGTATGAGACAAGACAGTCCGGTAACTGGAGACTAGACGTATTTGGTTTCTGCCACCCTTGTTTGAGAAGTGGAGGTTGTACGGCAGAAGGGGGATGGATGTGTCTGCTGTCTCTTGTCTCCTCCAGGTGTTTGTGAGGCTCACTGACCTTGGAACAACTGTGCGGTACGAGAGAGGGCACGTCTCAACACCAAATTTGGCTCGAAGTTAAGACGGGAGACCCGCAGGAGGGCGTGTACTGTAGGGTGTCTGTTCTGTCCATGCCAAGGAAAGCAATATTGGACTGTGAGAGGAGGGTATGGACGAGCAACGATGAAGATCCACAGATATGAAGATCCAAAGCGGGCGGCAATACCGCATCGCGGTAACATATGGTTACGTTGGCTTCGGTGGCCGAGTGTCAACACATCCTGCATACCAAGGCCCAGCTTGCTGCTTTGTGTGTGTGTATATGTGCAGTGTCGTGAGGGCTGCGGGTGCAATGGGAAGTTGTGTAGTGAGGCTCTTTGCGAGAAACGTGGGCTGGCGTTTGGGTGAGTCGTGGTGGCCGCCAGCCGGCTCGCGAATTTCCAAGACGTACCCCCACGACCGACCATGCACAGGGTAACCCAGATGAGCGACGACCGTTCGCCAGAAGAGGAAGGATCTCAAGGCCAGGGGTTGGCTGTCGTGGGTCCGGCAAGACGGCGAGCAAGAGGATGGGCAGGCTGGTGGTTGAAGGAGAGTTATGGTGAAGGGCGCCTACCGTCGCCTGTCTCAGACCAGGGTCACAAATGCGGTAGCTGATGTACATTGATAGGAGAGAAGAACCTGCGGCCAGGGTCAAGGGGCAGGCCCATCGATGTGAAGTGATACAAGCCTCGAAGTATTTTGGGGCCCGAGGGGTACTCCTGGATCGACACGGCTTGGGCAAAGACAGCAGTTCGGTCGTAGCCGTGCCAAGAATACAATGAGAGAGAGAGAGGCGTGCCAGGACGGGAGATGGACTAAGAGTGCGTATGAGATACCGTACTCAGAGAGAGAGAGAATGAGAAGTAGGTTGGGTCGGCCAATCGGGGGGCCGCCAGGACACCAAGGCCGCGAATCCTCGCATGTAGGGGCCGTGTGTCACACACACCCGCGGCTGGCTTGCTTCTTTGATTCATTCCTCAAGACTTCCTTATCTGAACAATGGTGGATGGGGGCCATCTCGACGTCGATCACCCACGCACCGCATGGGAATTGGAGGGGACCATCATAGCTGCGGCTCTCTCTCTGCTTCTGCTATGTCCTGTGCTGCACCTATCCGTACGGACTCGCAGACACAGAGAGAGTCCAGGGGTACAGGGGTGGCTGGTAGGTTATGAATCGGGAAATATTAATAGCCCATGCATATGCTTGTTCAAAGCTCGCCTCAGGACGGGCTGGAACATCACGTCTTTGGCAGATACCAGACGACATAGTCGTAAATAGTAGGTAGCAGAATACATCATCAACTGTGGTAAAGACCAGCAGAAGAGAAGGTATACGTATCCGATCTCAGATTTTGGGGGCCCATCAGAGACATTCAGGTAGGATACGCACCGTGACGCACGTCAGAGTCGAAGGGGGCGTCTGCGCACGCGCGGCGCGCTTCTTTCGTTGCGGTCCGCCCTTCCCTTTCCCTTCCCTCCCTCCCGCGCCGCCGTCGCCGCCACCACGGGAGGATGATGCTGGCAGCTGCAGAGCAACGCTTGAAGCAGCACTGCAGTCTACAGCAAGCATCAAGCACAACTCGAGCTGGGAAGGGCAGATAGGTGTGACCCTCACGGGGGACCCCCGGCTGTCCGAGTCGGGACATTCGTTTCACGATCTGAGCTCTGGCCGCCAAGAGATGGGAGGACCCGCCTCTTGGACCTCGAAACACGTTACTAGATGTTGATGAGAGAAGAGCCATGACAGGATTCGCATGCAGAGCTTTCTATTCTTCCAAATTCCTGTGCATTGCGGATTTGTCCCTCCACTGGCTTTACCCTGTTTGCTGACTGTTGCTGCTGCTGTTGCTACTGCTGTTGCTGCTGCTGCCCACCGCATGGACTTGTGAGAATGGAGACGAAAAAAAAGGCCAAGCCGGCCTCAACAATATTGGACTCCTGCCAGCTCGTGTCTATAGTCTTGGCCGCAGTTCGCGCACTGGACAGAAGAAGCGTTCGTAAAAAAGTGCTGCGCATCTTTGCCAAGGCCGGTTCTAGCTTGACATTTCGAATAATTGTCCCCGTATGTCGTGATGAGACTGAAGGAATGCTCCATATGGTTCATCTGCAAACATCGCCCTGCCACAATATGTTCAGTGTCACCACCGGCCGAGACGTTAGCGGCCTACGCCTCACTTAGATGACGGGCGCGAGTCACCCAGATCATAGATTGCCCATCGCCCAAAACGCCTCAACCTTAACCAAACACTCAAGAATCTAGATCCA